TTGTTGCGAGGCGTGTAGCCTCAGCTTGAGCACGCGACATCTGAGGGAAAAAAGAATGGATTCGTGATTGAACTACAGTATGGGGAGGGGCAGGGGATAGAGCTACGGTAGCAGAGCTAATGTAATAAGGTAGCGAAGAACTAGCAGAGGAATGAGGGGATCCGGATGGAGAGCCAAGAGCTTGAGGGATTGGTAACCCAGTGAGGCGGCGACCATCATGACGTGAAGTGATGATATCATTGAGGGAGCCTAATGCCGGCTACGAAACATAAGCTACGGGCTAGAAACATTGGATGGGGCACTTACAAAAGAATATAGACCATTGTGCGTCGCCAGGAGTAACACATACTCGAGACGCTCAGCCCTCGCATGCTCCGATGTCCAAGGCTTTGTCTCTGGCCAGATGAAGCGTTCAATGGTGTTGATCGTGATGTCGGGGCATGAGTAGTCGTCATGTTGCGTAGCATGGGGCAGTGTCTTGACAGAATGTTGGAACGTGAGGCCGAGAGCGTTGCCAAAGTTGCGCATGCCTCGGAGGTCATGTGCACTGATGTTGCGATTAAGGGAGTCACCGTACCAGATGGAAGTGTCGGCGAAGTCGAGCATGGCAGTGGAGAAATGGTTTTCGTTGACGTGCAGGGGGAAGATAAGCTTGAATTGGAAACTGCGGCTGCGTGCTTCATCACCGAGACGTCGGAGGAAAGATAGTTGACCGGGCTTGTCGCTGTCGAACCGGGACCAGTCGATGTGCCTGTCAAAGAGAAAGGGATGCTGTACCTCGAGCGTAGAGACATGAACGTCACTACGTATGCTGCCAGCACTCTGCCAGTCGGCAAGCATGCCACAAGCAGTGTCCAAAAGAGTACCGGAGAGTGGTTGGTCGAAGAAGAGGGGGATGAGCTGGGGGGAGTACAGGTTGTGCTTCGGATGGACACAGGTGTTCCACCCGACCGTGGAGAAGAACTCCTCGAGACCTTGAGGAAGATGAGCTAGATACGAAGGGAGGGTGGCCAGGGTGGTGGAAAGACGAGTCCGGAGGGCGAGGTCCACAGCCATCCACTGCTGCCAAAGTTCGGAGGTCGTCCGCATGACAAACCAGTATTGCAATGCATAGGGGGGGAGGTGAAGGTGAGGAACCAGCCCTGCAAAGCTGCAGGGCTTGGTATTGCCATGAATACGAAAGTGGGTGCGTAGGGCATTCTCGAGATTGACAAGATATGAACGGGGTGGGATGGCGATTGTTTTGAGAGGTGGGTCAATTGATGGGATATGATGAGTGACAGCGTCATGAGCCAGAACAGGAGGGTCAGAGTTGGCAAGAGGGGGGAGGGAGCAGCGAAGGAAGGTGGCAATGGGGAGGGATGAAGGCGGCAGAGAGTCTGCAAGGCGTGGAGGAAGAGAGTGCCCATAATGCAGGAGGAGGTTTTCGAGCGAGTCAGTCATGATTAGAGGGAAATTCCAGCATGCGACGCACCTTGGTCCCGGTCCCTTTCGTTAAGTATCCACTCGCTGTAGCCTCAACTCCTCGCCCATCCGACCGAGATCCTCAAGAATGCTTCCTACCAAGTTGGTAGAAGCTCCTTCGGCACCGTGTTTGCTCTGGGTCCACTTCTTTCTTATTGAATGAGAGGGGAGGGACCAATAGCAGAGGTGAGAAGTTGGCAATGGAGCCGCAATTTTGACAGCTGAGACAAGAGAAGGAAAGTGGGAGTAGCACCTCGAGGCTAACAGTGAGAGTCCTCGAGCTATCGACGAAGCACGGTCACGGACGCTGATGACCGCGGACTACTGTCACACGTCACGACCGGGCCTGAACAGCGGTGACCGAGGCGCCTGTTCTTCGGCGCTTCATTACATAAGGTTTTGATGAACGCTTGGTCGAAATGCTACAGTATGTTAGGCTGAACCTCGTAGAACACTACTGTTACGAGTTCTGACTTAGTGCTCGGAGAGCTTCTTAGATTCGGACTACTAGCTCGCAGCTAGCTTTGCTTTAGATAATACTTAGTAGTATTAGAGGTAGACTAAAAGTCTGAGGGGGCGAGGCTCAGTACAGCGCCCTTATATACTGTCTAGCTACTGGTCATGTGACATTGAGATAATAATGCTATTGGTTGAGAAGAGCCATTGTTCTACGAGTTAGGCAATGGCGATTACTCAGCAATCCCGATTTAATCGGTGATTAATCAGCAAATCCCAGTTTAACCGGTGATTATTCATCTTATGATCTGTGGCGTCATTAGTGGTACAATGTTTATTATACACTGCTAATAATCGTACACAAGCGTTAGATGCGAGAGTAAGTACTAATGTCTATGCAGTACTACTCGAGAATACAAGATACGAAAAAGTAAAACGTTCGGCTGCGCTGGCGATGACCGATAGTAACGAGAACCCCACCCAGGTCGTAACAATACCTCCCCTCTTTGGATCGAACTGACCTCAGTTCGAAGGAGATAATTGAACTTCTGAAAAACCCTTGATTAGAGGACCGAGAATTTCTGAGAATTTCTGAGCGTCGTGCTTACGCTGCTCCTCGGTCTGGTTCATCAGACGACGAAGGCCGGCATTGGCCTTGTTGCGTCGTACGGGGGCGGCGGCTGGTAGGCGGCGTCCTGTCGAAGCAGGAGCGGCGGCATGCCGTAGACGGCAGTCCCCAGGGGGGTGTCCGGGCTGCTCCATGCCACACCGTGGGCAGGAGTATAGCCAGCAATCCCAGCGGGTATGACCCCGACCCTGGCACCGATAGCAGATGGCGTTGACGAATGCCTGTCTGCACCAGTGAACGTCTCCGTCGTCCTGTACCACTGGTACGACTCGTCGGGGGTCGTCGGCCATGCGTCCCTTGTTCCATCGGTCGGCGTCCCGTTGCGTGTAGATGGGAGGTCACGCTCCCCGAAACCGAAGCGTCGCTGACGGGATATGTCGTGAGCGGACTTCGGGGGAAGGGGGTGGAGTGAATTGACAGACCTCCATCTCTTGAGGCCCCCATGCTTCGGGTCCCCACTGTTGAGGAGCCGGGCTTGGAATCCCAACAACTCCAGGTCCTCGGAGGTCCTGGTTCGGCAGCTGGCCGGGCCATGTCGTCTCGGTGTGGGCCGGGACGTGATCGGGGCTTGCCCACGTGTGGATGGTGAGCAAGGCGTTAGTAGCCTCGACCTCCTCAGCGTTGAGGGGAGTGCCCTCAGGGGTTGTCTGGGCCGTCGAAGGCGAGTGCTGGCTCGCCGTTGACCATGGTCCTGAGGAGACGGTCTCCCATCCCGACATTGTCGAAGGAGATGGTGCCGAAGACCTGTTGACATTCTTCATGAAATATTTAGCAGGTTTCTTGATTGTTCGTGGATTACTTACCACATTCGAAGGGATTTCTCCCTGCTGAACGAGCAGCGGTAGCGGCTCGTAAGTGCCTCCAGCAGGCGGCTGTCCGACTGCCGAAATGGCAGGAGAAATGTCTATGGCGCGAATATTAACGTCGTCAGCGTGCTGTACGGGGGATTCTGGTTCGCGAGGGTCAAAGAGAGGGTTGCCTGGAAAATCGGCGCGCGAAGGGTATGCAAGACTTGTAAAAAGATTGTCGGGTAAGGATGAAGGAGGAGTAAAATATTCATTCGAAGATGGAGATGATACGTATGAAGTGTTCATAGGGGGGAGTAACGGTATAGCAACGTCCACATGAGGACAATCATCAGTCCTATGAACCCCATCGTTATCGCGAAATGGTGAATGACAAAATATACCATCCAGCGAAATGCTGGGTCGATCGAAACGGCTTGATTCGTAGGAATGAGGAGAAGAAGATCGAGAGCGGGGGTTTGAAAAACGAAGAATAGGATCATTGAGGAAAGGGTTGCCGGGGAAGTACTCACTATGGTCGTCATTCTCGTCGCCGCCGTCGCTATCATCGTCGTCGTCTCCTAGGTTCGGAGCGCCGTTGGGTCGGGCGAACCCGCTGACCGCCGCCATGTCCAGGGTTCGGGCAATGACGGTGAGTGCGCCAAGGGCCATGTCCATCTGGTCGACGTATGACTCGAAGTCGAGCCGTGCGTCCTCCTCGTCTGGCGTACACTCGTCCGCCAGGCTCTGGAGGTAATCGTGGACCTCGTGGATGAGACCGAAGGTCCAGTCGAGGTGGGACCCAATGGTCGGCGGGTTACCGTCCGCGTCGGCGTAGGTCCTGCTGAAGAAGGAGCGACGACCACGAGGGTCGTTGAACAGCCTTCGCGTGGCGATGTGCTGGCGGTTGTAGTCAGGTTCGAGGATGATCTGGAGGAGAGTCCTCGGGTCGTTGGTCATGAAGGAGAGGCCCCTGGCTAGGGCCATCATGGGGTAGGAGTTGGCGGAGGAGGTTGAGTGCGAGGTCATGGTCACTGGGGAGTACGATAGTAGGATGAGTAAGAGTGATTGATTTGGGGGTGATGATGAGGAAGTATTTGTAGACTTTACCGGTGGTGGTGGCAACGAAGTATCGGTTGATAGAGTTCTGAGAGCTAGAGGGCATTCACTTAGTGAGGCGCTGAGCTTGCAAATACCTGCGCTCGAGCGCTTTTATACTCCTGCAGGATGTCCTTGGCTCCGAATTTGACTAAGTCCGATTCTTTCTGCCACTCCCTTGTTTCGAATGGTTCTCCCTTGTAGGTAATCATAAATTGCCATTTTCCTCGAATTTTCCTATGTCCTACTATGGCCTCTACTTCGTAGAGTAGTTCACCGTCAACTAGTTCCGGTGTCTGCATTTGGTGATTTGGTCCGTGTATGGAATTTTCCTCATATGGTGTGAGCAGACTTGCGTGGAATACATTATGAATTTTCCATTTCTTAGGTAAGGCCAATCGGTATGCGATTGGGCTGATCACTTTGGTAATCTTGTATGGTCCTATCCGTTTTGGTGCGAACTTTCGACTGGAATATCTCAAATCTAGATTCTTGGCCTCTAGATAAACTTTATCCCCGAGTTGGAAGGGTTTAAACTTAGACATTTGTCGTTCGGACATTACCCTCCTGGCTAAATCATGTGCTGCTTGCGCTTCCTTTCGGGCTTTGTCTAATGTGGCTAATCTGAGACGAACATCCATATTTGTCGATCGTTCTTGAACTGTTGGAATAGGTTCCGGGTGATATCCCATAATTAGGAAGAACGGTGTTTCTTTAGTTACTGAATGAACTGCGCTATTATGACAGAATTCGGCTTCTGTAATGTGTTCGCTCCATTCTTCTGCTCTTCCTTCGCAGAATATCCTAAGATATGTTTCTAATTCTTGGTTTACACGTTCAGTTTCGCCGTCTGTTTGAGGATGAAATGCAGTTGAAAGTCTCAGTTGATAACCTAGTATGCGTCCTAGCTCTTTTGCGAAGTCGGATGCGAACTGTGGTCCTCGATCTGAGATGATACTGGTATAGAGTCCGAATCTTTTGTAAATATTATCGAAAAATAATTGCGCTATTCCTTCCACAGTGACTGTTTTAGTCGTTGGAATTACAACTACCCCCTTCGAAAGTCCATGGTCGACTACGACCAATATAGAATCATAACCTCCCGATATGGGGAGATCTGTGATTAGATCGCAGCTGATTTGTTTAAAGGGTTCTACTTCCTTTGAGGGTATAGGGGTAAGCGGTGGTACTGTAGGGTGTGTATTGACTTTATTTGTTTGACAAATTCCGCATCCTTCCACGTATTTATTTATAAACATGGTCATTCCTGGCCACCAAAAGTTCCGTGCAATTAGTTCTCGGGTTCGGAATTTCCCTGGGTGCCCTGCATGAGGCAGATCGTGGTTTGCTTTGACGATCTCCTTTCGGAGATCTGGTGGGATGTATATCCTGTTCTTATAATAGAGCCTTCCATCGGAAAACTTCCATTTTTCTCGAACTTGTGGATCTGATCCCAATGTGGATTCATTAAGGGCTTCAATTGTTTTTGTTGCCCATTGGTCGTTGGTTGTTGCTTGTTTTATTTTATTAATTAGTGCCGTGTCTAGGAGTCGGATAATTGCTTCTTGCGGTATTAAAGCCATATTCTGGTTATCTTCCGACGTATCAACTTCGTGCTTTCGTGATAATATATCCGGTATTGTCATCTCCTTGCCTGGCACATATAACCATTGTAGGTTCTTTTCGCAGATCTTGATTGCCCATCTCGCCTGTCTTCGGTTGAGATTTCTTTTTTCGGCAAAATGTATAATATTCTTGTGGTCTGTTCTAATTTCAGTTGGGAACGGGCTACCGCTGATATAGTGGTCCCATTCGTCGATTGCGCGTATTACTGCTAACATTTCTTTATCAAAAATATCGTAATTTCGTTCTGCTTCGGTTAATACCTGTGATAGATAAGCTACTGGATGTAGGTCGCCGTTTTCGTCTGCTTGCATGAGCACTGCTCCGGCCCCTACTCCAGATGCATCGGTTGCTATTATCCAGGGTTTCCCAAAGTCTGGTAGCGTTAGAATCGGCCATTCCAAAAATTTCTGTTTTAGGGTTTGGAACGCGCTTTCTTGTTCTGGTCCCCATTCCCATGGTGTTTTTCCCGTTCTTTCGGTTAACGGTTTCACCAGAGTCGAGTAATCCCAGATAAATTTTCTATAATAGTTTGCTAGCCCTAAAAACTTCCGTAGTTGCTTCTTCTTCTGGGCTTGAATCCATTGGATTCGTCCTGTTTCCCCTTTAGACTTACCGCTGTTTGGGTTCGACGGTTGCCATTTATCAGGACTTTCCCAGTTTCGGATCGCTTCTACTGTTTTCGGGTTCATCATCATCTTTCCTTCTTTGAAAACGTGTCCTAGGAACAAAACTTCTTCCTGTTCGAATGAACACTTTTCGGGATTGAGATAGAGTTTATGTTTTCTTAACACGTCTAGAATAATCTTGACATATCTAGAGTGTTCTTCTCTCGTTTTCGTATAGATTAGGATATCGTCCATATAAATTACTACCCATCCCTTATGGAGTTGTTCGCTAAAAATATCGTCCATAAACGCCTGAAAGGTTGCTGGTGAATTACTGAGTCCGAAGTACATTACATTCGGCTCAAATAGTCCCATTGGAGTAATGAATGCAGCCTTCCAGCGATCCTCGGGTATAATTCTAATATTATTGTATCCGTTCTTAAGGTCAAACTTTGTGAAGTATTTGGCCTTCGTTAACTTATCAAATAAGTCTGTTATTCTTGGTAACGGGTAAGCGTTTTTCTTCGTGAATTCATTCAGGTACCTATAGTCCTGGATCGGTCGTAGCTTCCCATTTGCTTTTTCTCTAAAGAAGAACGGTACAGCTTGTGGTGACTTAGATCGTGAGATCTTCTTTGTTCTTAAACTTTCGTCTATAAACTCCTTTAGGGCATTTTCCCATTGCGGAGTCATCGAGTAGTTCTTTGCTCTTTTTGGAACAAAGTCCTCCTTTAACTCGATTCGGTGATCATATTCTCTTTCGGGTGGATATTCAAATTCTCCCTCCAAGAAGACGTCTAGGTAGTCCCTATATTCTTTCGGGATCTGATCTAGATAGGATTTACTTTGTCCTTTCTGATCGTCGTGGTTTTTCCCCTGGTTTTTCCCTTTTATTCCTTTTTCGTCTTTGGTATCCTCAATTCGTCTGATTGGGATATGATCGCTGTCTTCAGTGATCGAGATTAGTCGTAATGTTCCTTTTTGTGGAACGAAAAGGGTTCCGTCTTTGTAATCTATCCTTGTCTGATTTCTTACTAACCACGAGTGTCCTAGAATGGCTTTATCCATTCCGAGTTTCGTTACTGTGAAGGTTTCTTTGGATTGGAACTTCCCTGCTGTAAAAGGAAGTGTTACCGTTCGTTTCTTCACCTGTTTGGCATTACCATTTGCCATTCGTATATTGATATAATCTTCGTGTTCCTTTATTGGAAATCGCTTTTCTCTGGCGTAGTCAGCGTCTATTACTGAGACCTGAGCGCCGCTATCTATAAGAGCTACTGTCGACTCTTTCCGGCCTCCGATTCTTGTATCTACTTCTAGATATAATCCTTTCCTATTCTGGATTCCTTCGATAATCGGGGCTATTCGTTGTGAATCCTTCATCGAATCCCCATTCAAAAATCCTGGGAATCGGATTCTTCCTCCTTAGCTATTTCCTGAACGTCTATTTCTGAATCTTCTTCGATTTCTCGGACGTTCTTGTTCTTTCGGAAATTCCCTTGGGTTCTATTATTATTCCTTTCTTGTTTCCGAGGAGGTTTAGGGGGTTGTCCCTTAACCGGTGGTAGTTTCCCTCCTAGTTCCTTATAGTGTTTGTGTTGGGTATGCCCAGTTTTGTGGCATAAATAGCATTTCCCTTCTTGACGGTGTTTCTTCCGATCTTCATAATTCATCCGGATAGCATCTACATCCATCGCGTCGGGATCTCGCTGATGCGACCTACTTCCGCCATGATTATGGGAGTGGGATGTTTGATTTTTATAGAGTGATGCTTCCGGTAATTTATGTCCTAGGGCTACTGAATATTGTCTTCGCCAGTTGTAGGCTTCCGTTACTTCGGGTATCCAATCGGCTAATGTTTCCGGAGGTTTTCCTCGGTTAATAATTGATAACGCGAGATCTTGGTCTAACCCTCTCATAAACATCTGAACGATTGTCTTTCCATCGGGTAATTTGGATCGCATAAATGCTGATTGGAACTTCTGGATATAGTCATCCAAAGTTCGGCACTTCTTCTGAGTTAAGGTTTGCATTTCCGAGATAGCCGAATTTTCTTGGTCTAGGGGTTGGAATGATAACCAAAATTGGTCACCAAATTCGTCCCATGTTCCCCAAGCACTATCTGTTTTTCCCAGTCGTCTATTCTGATATTCTTTTGCCATAACTTTCTGATAAAAAGAATCTACCCATTCTCGAGCTGTACCTTTAGTCATTCTTTGAGTGGCAAACTTAACCCATGATTCATCGGTATCGTATATCTCATGATTTTCTTCTAAATATACTCTGACGGAGATGAACCATCTGACTGCGTCCTTTCGATTCCCATCAAAATGGGTAGGATCTCCGATGTGTTTCTCCTTTGCGTATGGTTTCCTATTTCCACTCCCTTCTTCTCCTGAATTAGTGGGAATTCTCGGGTTTCTAGGACCGGGGCCATTTGGCCCTCTTGGGTCATCGGGGTCGTCTGGATCGTCTGGATCACCCAGGTCGCCTGGGTTTCCTGAACCCCCTTGTCCCTTATCAGGTTCTTTTCCCTTTTTGCGAGATTCTCTTATTCTTTGCTGCCACGTCCTTGGTGCTCCAATTCCTAAATGAGGAGCTGGGTCTCGTCCCATTTCTCGGACTTTGTCTTGGGCATCTGCTAAGTTTTCTTTAGCTATTTTGTTTTCGTCTTCTAAAATCTTAATCCTTGATAGTGCGTGTTGAAATATTAAATTGCACTCGAGTGTGTCTCTATCAAGGGTGCTTGCAAACAATCTTTCATTTTTCATTTCTCTTAAGAAGTCGGTGCCACTCTCCGGTTCTTCGGTTCCTCCTTCTTTTTCTGAGTACATTGAATCGGGTGAACCACTTCTTTTGACTACTTTATACTTCCTTCGGTTGTACGCTGATGCGTAGGGATCTGACGCTGTGACCGTTCCTCCCCTAGTTCTGGTTACGCTGGTACTTGTTGTAGCACCTTCATCCCCCTGAGTTATCGTAGTTGATCCGGTCATTTTTATTGGATAAAGAACTGTGTCTTTCCGTTGTAGCTCAGACTTTTAGTCTTTTGTTAGGCTGAACCTCGTAGAACACTACTGTTACGAGTTCTGACTTAGTGCTCGGAGAGCTTCTTAGATTCGGACTACTAGCTCGCAGCTAGCTTTGCTTTAGATAATACTTAGTAGTATTAGAGGTAGACTAAAAGTCTGAGGGGGCGAGGCTCAGTACAGCACCCTTATATACTGTCTAGCTACTGGTCATGTGACATTGAGATAATAATGCTATTGGTTGAGAAGAGCCATTGTTCTATGAGTTAGGCAATGGCGATTACTCAGCAATCCCGATTTAATCGGTGATTAATCAGCAAATCCCGGTTTAACCGGTGATTATTCATCTTATGATCTGTGGCGTCATTAGTGGTACAATGTTTATTATACACTGCTAATAATCGTACACAAGTGTTAGATGCGAGAGTAAGTACTAATGTCTATGCAGTACTACTCGAGAATACAAGATACGAAAAAGTAAAACGTTCGGCTGCGCTGGCGATGACCGATAGTAACGAGAACCCCACCCAGGTCGTAACAGATTACTTGAGGTCTCCGAGTCGGCTACTTTGCGTAGTCACCGGGTACTGATTGATGTCCACCAGTGTCAACCTGGGGAACAGAGATCGAAGAGGATTGGAGGAGGTTGGAGGTGACGGCAACTGCTCGTATGTCGTCGTCCTCCAAAACACTGGGGCATATTAGCGCTAGCCGAGGCTGTTCAGTGTTCAAGATCAATAGCTGTTTGAAAAAGCTTGTCGCCCATGGTTATGTCCTTTACGTGTACCTAGACTGCTGACACTCCAAGGGGAGAAAGAGGTGTGGTGTATCCGATGGGAAGACGAGGGTCGATATCCAGAAACGCGAGTGGACGATCGGAAACAAATTGATCCATCACTCTATTTATTCTAATTATCTCCTTTAATATTATATTTTAACTCCGCAAAGGCCCCGACGTCGGAATGATATCCTCCGAGACACTGAGCTTCTATCGAAGTCGTCTAAATGTCAACATGCACCCACTCCTCTTGCGATGCAGAAATCGACTGGACATCTACACCACACAGCTAGTGTTTTCCAGCGGGAACAAGAAGGGGTCTACACACTGGAGCGGCTTTATCCAAGCGCAAGACGTTATGCCATGAGTGTGTGCCTGCGACGTAACCTGTCGTAACGATCAGAAAGTTGCGCAAGACAAGGCAAGACATGTCATTTACGGGTCACGGGCACCAACGGATGACAACAATTGGAGAAAGCGATTGGCTGGGCGCTATTGAGCGGAGACTATTGGGTCCTGGCCGAGATGCGGCACGAGACGGCATCTTCGATTAGTTGGATCCTCCCTGCCGCTTCTCTTCTCCTTTTCACCATCAAAGACTTGGACTGAATTGACGCCACCCAGGCGACAAATGTGAGCGCTTGAGCATGCGCGCATTATAGTCCCTTGCTCAGCTCCCCTCCGCTCCGGACGCATTCACTTTGCTACTTGGTGCTTGAATCATGGCGGAGCAGCCTCCTCATCTGAGAATAACACTCAACGATATCCTCAGCTTCCCGGTATGTCCATCTCAGCCTCCATCAGGAATGATCCCGTTTGAACTGCCTTACTACAGTACCGTCTCTGTCATCCTCCTCCCGCAGTAGGCAAAGTCAGGTCCTGGAGCGTCACACCATTCGTCGATGTCAAGCTCGATGATGTCCTCGCTCGGAAACACATCCCCCCGCTCGGCCTAAAGGATTTCGAGGAGTATCTCATCTTTGTTGAGCAAGCCCCCGAAAACCTTTACTTCATCCTATGGCTTCAGGACTACACCGCGCGCCACGCCACCTGGGGCCAGCGCGCGCAGGTCGCTCGACCAGCCGGCGGCAACACCCTCCCCCCAGACTCCTCCCTCGCACTCTTCTACGCACGCGCGAAACAGACGTTCTTCACGCCCAACGCCGCTTTCGAGCTTGACGTCCCCTCGGACATTCTCGCTCCGTTCCACGCGCCATCGTTCCGGTCCAACTCCCCTGGGAATCGCGTACGGTCTTATTCGCTTCAGTGGCAGGCGCAGGTTGTGCACCCGGACCCATCAATATTCAACGATTTGGAAGCCGAGGTCAGGCTCAAACTTGAGCAATCGCTTTCCGAGTTTATTCGGGCGGCGTCTACTAACGTTGGCTCAACAAGGGCAGCATGTGGTATCACTGCGGGTATTACGTTCCTTCTCCTTGCCGGCTTAGTTCCTCTGGTACTCGAAACCGGAAATTGGACTATGGGGCCGCATAGCCGGCTCATGCGTCTCGTCTCGCTGCCCGGCATCTGGCTCGGGCTGACTATTCTCATTGCTAGTCTCCATGGCGTAAGGGCTTCTTCCGTCGGACTTCATATGTGTATTCGCCCTCTGATCTTTGTCATGACCTTGTTTCTATGTAGGTATGCATCATGATCTATGTCTTCGGTGATATCCGTCAACTACGCAAATTCGAGCTCGAACGTCCACCTATCTCAAGACCGATCCCCGTCGGACCAGTGACCAACCCAACGCTTCCTAAGCCGGCGATGACGGTTGCGCCCGCACCGTGCCCACCAGTTGTGCAGCCCCCAAGTCAGAATGACAGCCAAGGCTCTCGCCAGATCATGCCTCCTTCTGAGCCACAAACTACACATTATTTTCCGTCCACCGCATCGCTCTCGTCTGCTCATTCTTCCAGCGAGGATGCATGCGACGAAATATCATCCATTGAGTCATTCGACATTTCCCCAGCCTACTTTGATCCTTTCCCCGCACCCGAAGGGCCAGCCACGTCCGCCGCATTCTACCGCACTACTGCGATGCCTGTCCATTCTCTGCCTCCACAACCTTCACCCCCAGCACGGGTGGCCGTGGACCCTAACGCGTGCGCCTTCCCGGCGGTGACGTATATACCCCCTGACGTCCGCGCGCGGCACCCGCATCTCGCGTCTTACACACACCCTCTTCCCCGACCCCAATCAACCCGCGCGAATGCCTCTGTAACGCCGGCGGTAGGAGCACGCTTTATTCCACCCGATGACCTCGAACCTGCTTCTCCGTGTGATACCTCTGCAACCGCCATTGAACGCTGCGAGGACGCCGCCGACGAGCTCGAGAGGGGATACCGCAAGGATAGGCCCTGCCCGGAGCCAGCGAAGCCCGTGTTCGATTTCGATCTGCTGCCTATTCCTGTGAAACCTATGCCAGCGGCTGTCAACAAGCCGCTGCCGAGCATCCCCCCTCGCAAGTCCTCGACGGCTTCCGAACAGCACCACCAGAGAACGCCGGAGTCCATCCTCGGACGCATCCAGTACAAGTGCAACACAAGGGCGTACCACGCTGACACCAGCGCCGTTTCGGAGAAGTACACGGGCTCCCCCGGCCAACCGCACTCCTCTCCGAGTCGAGGGAGCGGCGGCCCGGGCCTCCTTTCGTCCGCCCGTGCGCTCGTTCTCCCGCGCTTCACGGCGCATGTGCCGTTCCTTACGCCCGTCACGCGCGTGCGCTCGCCGGTCGTCGTGCGCGCGCAGTGGGAGGTGACGGTGCGCTCGGCGGCGCTCGCGCTCGTGATTTCGGCGGTGTTGATGGGCGTTGTTGTTGGTGCTGTTCCGTGAGTGGGGTAACTCGTTGACGGACACTGGCAGGAGGACCTTGGTTGGTGTTTGTCAGATGTGCGAACACTTGATATACCCTCATGTTGGTATTTGGAGTGTCTGGGTGGTTTGTCGTCGTCGGTTTACTGGGACATTGCGGTTGCTCATATTGCTCCCTAAGGCTTCTTCGTCTTGTGTCTGTGGTTGTAGGTGCATTTCGTACTCATCCATTCGTTCGTTCGCGTGTTATATGCAGTCCATTGTACAGTATACCCCATCTCTTGTAATTGTGTTCATGGATTTACTGCTCCATGTTTCTAAGTACAGCTTCCGGACCACTGGTTCTAGGTGTAATTGAGCAACGGAAATCCGTTGGATATCTTCAAGGGGATTCAGTCTCTGCACTCACTCGCGCTACGGGCACTCACGATACTAGCCCCGTTGTCCACCGTGGCGGGGAATCCACTTCGTTGCCGTCTCCATCTTTCTCCTTCGAAATGTTAAACATGGTAAGTATAGTCGCTGTAGCTAACCAAAGCGAGGATTCGGCGAAGTGTTGTCCCGGGCAAACACGTCTTCCAAACCCAAAGGTCATTGCGTATGATGTGTCATCCGAGATTGAACCGTCGGGACGAAGCCAGCGTTCAGGATTGAAGGTGTCAGGATCTGCGTAGATGCGCTCGTCGTGAAAGATGTCCCTGATGTTGCGATGTTGTGTTGGTTACTTCCTTGGGTGATATAGTATGTGCACCCACGTACCAGAGATTTACAAGGACTGTGGCGCCTATCGAAGTGAGAGATCGTGAATTTGAATATGCACAGTATATCGGTTTGAGGCTTCACCTTTTGGTATCAAGTAGCCCTCGTAAGTGTCATCGGCACTGGTGCTGTGTGGGATGTTAATCGGGACGACCGAAGTCCACCGTATGGTCTCCCTCAGGACCGCGTCTACCAACGGTAGAGAATTCCTGTCTTCAAACGTAGGCAATCTATCCGCTCCCAGTGCCTCAGTTATTTGCTGTTGGACGCGTCTCTGAGCTTCGCCATGCGTTAACATTGCATATACAAAGCTCAGAAGAACCGATGTCGTCTGTCGGGAGTGTTTAACTTTAGTGAATATGCCAATCAGAATATGAGAACATACTGTCTCCGCTCCAGCTAGACATGATAGTTTCATCAATCCTGGCTACCAATAACATGGACAACTTTAAGTTACGCACCACCAAACGCTGTAAAAGCTGCATTTTTGAGCGCCGCCTCTGCATGATCTGAGGGTGGACTGTCGTTCCATTTCCGCAATATGCCAGCTACCATAGAGGCTGAAACTGGTCCGTTTGACTAAGACACATATATCAGTATGAGCTCATTGCTAGGAACAAAGGCTCACTAGAGCGGCTTTAGCATGCTCGTAAGGTGTGATCGTGGCTGTACTTATACTATTGCATAGTGCTGCTATCGTCGTCCTGAAACCGAAGTCCGGGAGCCATTTTGGCAGCCTCGTAACTAGATAACCAAGATGTATCAAGTTCCTCTGTTGATCAGGCGGAGAAACATACGAAGGGGTAGTGCCGAGATAAGTCCTACATTGGTGAATGCGGCGTTTGCGACAATGAGGTCGTCCGCGGTTTCTACAATGCGGAGCAAGGGATCTTCAGCTGAAGTTACTTCGTACCCATAAACGGCAGATAGAATGGTAGATGCTGCATATCTGATATGAATATGTATGAGAAAACAACATAAGCTGAGCCCTAAAGTAGCTCACGAGTGGAAGTGCTCTCCAAATGATCCGGGATCGGATAGCAGGTATGAAAGAAGTACCCGAGTTCCGTGTATTTGCGTTGTTTGGTATTGGGACACTGCATCGCGCTTGAATGCATCATTATATAGGCGACGATGTAATTTCCATTCCTCTGAGTAGCCAAGGAACGCAGTGATAGTACCAAGACCCAAGCTAGATTTGATCAACGTCCAAACAAGAGGTTGATGCTATGACCGCGTACTTACGCGCTATAAGCTCCCACGAAAGGTCTATCCGAGTACTTGGCAGAACGTTTGTCCAAAAGTTCTTTGGCAATCTCGGGCGAGCTGATGACTATGATCTTCTGGCCCAACACGCTGCAGTATACCAGATCACCTTGCATGAGCGTGCATCAGCCGTTGATAAGTAAGTATGACCTCATAAAGTCCTTACCAAACCGACGTTTAAGCAAGCCGAACGACTTTTGGGGTCTCGTCCAATCTATTTGCAGTGCGTTCCCAACCAAGGGAAGCCCAGCAGGACCAGGTGGTAGTCGAACACCACCACTGCGGATGGTAGCATGCCCCTTGAAAATAATGTAGGCTAAGAGAGAAAGGACGGTACCAGCGATCCAAGTGGTAAACATTGAGACAAATTTACCGGATGCCATGAGTGGTGTGCAGCTTTATACGAGGTCAGGCGCTTGTACTAGGGGTGAAATTTGCAAAGAAGATTCGACAAGCTCACCATTGAAAGATAGTAGCAGGAAAAATGGAGGGCACCCTCTATTTACAAACTACCATTTATGCGGAACGTGGACACGTAATGCACGTTAACACGTACTACCGAACGCCAACAAGGTGCCTCCACTGATACTCCACCGACCGAAACTTGTCGTAGAACTTCCTATATAGGCGTATACTGGAGAAGGGAAAGGCAGCTTCCCTTCTCTCGCAAGGAGATCTACAACTTGAAAGCCGCAACAAACTTCCACTTGATGATAAATTACCTGCGTGCACTGCGGATCAAACCGTGGTTTTGCCGGGAGAAGTGAGACAGAATATGACGATTTGAAAGCCCTTTTACGCGTGACCTCTCCCACGAGAAAAGTGAGCGAAAATTTTAACTTATGCAAGGTTTGAACGTTCAAACGTTTACGTTCATGTTCAGCGCCGAAGTGTTCGGAACCCCCTTTCTCCCCTATCGAGACAATGATAGCGAGGCGTATACAGTATAGCCCAGGGTATAGCCCTTGGCAAGATCCTGGAGCATCAGTGCTAATGTCATCCGCTACCAGATAATCGCGAAAAGTACTCAATCATCTCCCTTGGACTTTGCACTTCACTGCGAGTTGAATTGGTGGGGGGTGGGGGGTGTCCGCTAGGCCCTTTCAACCTACCCCGACAACCGTCCCTATCAATGCATCATTACTGGTCTTCGCTGCAATTCTGTTTGGCTGCGACATGATATAGGCTTATACATATTTTACTACGTTTGCGGCGGAGGATAAAACTGGCTTTAAGGCATTGGCACGTCTCTCAAGCGTTTATAGAATTTCCAAGTCCGTATAGACTGCTTGCTAGCTGCGTAAGGCGTCTTTGAACGGCTATGTCATGCTTTCAACTATCAAGTATTGTTCGACAGATTACACGGACGCGCTCGACTACGCCACGGGGATGATTGCCGATGAAAATTCTATCGAATACGAGCTATTGCAAGTGGCATAGAGTCATGACGCATTGGCAAGGTAGGTGGCTGGAGTTGCACTCGCCAATAATTAACGACTCGGAGCTGATAGGATTTTGTAGCCGACACTTGTTTCTGGAGTTGTGCTGGAATTTACTTCTCGTAACCGCCAATGGTTCAACCTCGCCTGCATTTGTTTACCTCTCCTCTCTTGTGACGCATCCAGATTAATAAGACTTCGTTGCCTTGCATCTGTGGCATCCTCTTCCAAAGTTATAGCTCCTTGTTAATGAAGTCTCAAGAACGTCGCTTGAGCTTGAAGAGAAGGCACTGCTGGCTATGCAAGCAAATGAAGTTGTAAAGTGTACGTGATGAGTCGCTTGATGACATGGAGGTGTTTCCGGCGTTGAATATTGTCCGGGAGGGTCGTATGCTTGTGGTGTCTTGGTTCGGCTACACTGGCTGAAGTGCTGAACAGTGCATCATCGATACATGTCGACAACCCAGACTCTGGAGGAGTTGTTGACGTAGGGTGACACTGACTTAATTTTTTTTTTTTTTTTTTTTTTTTTACAAAACTTTGACTCCTGAAGTTGACTTAGAATTACATCCCGGAAAACACTGACTGCTGAAAACCGAAAGGGACAAAGAGAAAAAAGCGTGGTTTGGTTGACGGATGCAAAACGGATGTGCTTGCCGGAAACCGGGGTGGTTACGTAAGAGTGAGGCAAATGACAGTCGCACGTGACCTGTCGCGCGCAACGCCTCGTGTTGTTCGAATCTCGAACGCACATAACACAGCCCAAAACGTCCCTTTTCCCTCCGTCCTCACCTCAAGACACCCGTCTCCCCTTCGCTGTCACGGACGACGCGTGTCTCAGCTCTCCATTGTCTTACTTTGGACTAGCGTCGAATCAACTCACTGATCAAGACACCCAACAGGACGACACAAGACACCCGCGACTGTTGCACAATGATTCCGTCCACATCCTCGAGAACATCGTCGCCAACAGCATTGCCGCGAATCTCACCACCGCATACACCCCCATCAACCTCGCTCGACGTTCCACCCATACCGGCGCGCCAGACATCGCCTCAAGCGGGTTCGGACGACTCGTCCATCATCGAGCTCTCATTCGACTACGAGCTCGACTCGGCTGGCAACTATGTTCGCGTATCAAAAGGTTCCTCGAGATCCGACCAGTCCAGCCCACCAACACCTCAGGACATCCTCAAAGACGTGCCCAACCTGAAGCTCGATTCCCACAAGCCGTCAACATCACCACCTTCCTCCCTCGCACCACAGCCTTCCCTCCACCCCTTGCCGACGTCGTATGTCAACCTCAACATCGATCAAGACAAGCTCTCTTCAAGTGGCATCTCCCATGCGCGGGGCTCCCTGTCGCGATCAGAGAGCGCGTTTGGGATGCTCGAGCATGGTGGTGCGAGTGGCTCGAACGGGCGCCTGACCACCCGGGATGACCTATCGCAACTACCACCGCCACCCCACTCATCCGTGACAGCCTCGCGCTCATTCCAGCGAGTCCCATCGCATCCAGCCACCCTCAGCACTACTCCGGGCGCTCCCTCGGCACGCTCCGGAGGCATACCGCTCTCGGGCGGTCTCCGCGGGACGGGCCGCAAACTCGGCCGACCCCTACGTATTCCCCTCGAAGCCTACCGCGAGTCGCTCAGCAAGGCCGCCCCATCATCTGCTCAGCCTCTTGATGATGCCCGTTACGATGAGTGGGACCTCCGTACCCAGGAGGAGAAGGAGAATTACGGGAGTGGCGCCAACAGTGCGCCCCTCGAGCCTACCGACATTCTCCCACCCGACCTCCCCCCACCGAAGAAGGGCTCCCCGCCGCTGGCGAGCCGCTCTATATCGAGTAGCCAGATCGACGGACGCGCGGTCTCGGGCCTCCCCAGTCGTGCCTATTCATCGTCTACCTTCAACTCAAACGGGCCCCAGCGGCCTGGGTCTGGCGGCTCAAGCCGACAGATCCTTGCAGGGCCCAGCCGAGCCGGGCGGATTCTCATGGGCGCCAAGTACGCGTCAGGTCCTGGCATCGACAAGATAACGGAGCACGAGCCCGAGGTGCACGATCAGGGCTACGAGCGGGATGCTGGGTGGAGCGAGAGCGAGCAGGAGGGCGACCGCGGCGAGTACTTCCGGTACAATATGAACGGAGACGACGGTGATGTAGACATGCGCCCACCATCCTCCTCTTCGGCTGGAGCAGGGGGCAACGGTGCGCGGCACATGAACTACGTGCCACCCGCAGCGACACTTTCCAAGTCTACCGGGACTCGACCACGCCGGAGCGCAAGCATGGGCGAGGCACCCTTGGGAGGTGCGTTCTCTATCTGGATCATGACGTTTGCACGTTGGTGTGTACAGCCCTTGACTGACCGGATGGTTCCTTGCAACAGGCGAGACTTCTCCGCGGGCGCATCATCACCAGGCTCTGTCCGGCGGGAACGGGACCGGCGGCTCATACGGCCCATCATCCTCACGCCCTGGCTCCAGCATAGGTCACAACAACAACGTGGGTCGCATGAGGCGACCTGGAAGCGACCACCTGGATCGCCTGGACGGTACGTCTGCCTTTCTTTCACCTTTCACACCATTGTCTGGATCCACGTTTTTATCCTCGTCGATTTTTCTGGGCCCCCATTTGTCTTTATCCCATCATCGTTCCCGCGTCTCTCCTTCCTAGTTCCTTGCACAACGTAGCTCCTGCTGACACGAACATGGCTCTGGTGTTTGTAGACTACATGTCCGAGTACGGCCGCGACGACCCCCTCATGGCCCACGTGCCCTCGTCGTCCACTGTCTCGGCTTCAGCCACGGGAGCACCCGTGGGCAGACACTCCCCGAGTCCGACACACTTCGATGCGGCGCACTACGCGCACCATGTACGCGCCACCAACAACCGCCGCGACTCGGACACGGTGCGAAGTAGGTCGCCGACGGGGGAGCAGCAGCAGCAGCAGCAGTCGCACAAGCGGCTCTCCCCGAAGTCATTGGCCGTGGACGGGCGAAGGATGTCGCCGATTCCGTCGTCGTATCTGGAGCGGGAGCGTGAACGCGAGCGCGAGAGGGAGAGGGAACGGGAAAGCGAGAGGGATAGGGAGAGAGACAGGGAGACGCAGCGCACGCAGCGGCCGCCGTCCCAGCGCGGGGAACCCGACCCGCCCGCTGCGTCCTCGGTATATCATCGGAGAAGCCCGACGGCGCCGAGTCCGCCGACTACTAGTGGGGGGCTTGGGGGTACGGCGCAGAAGATGGGCGGGAAGACGTGGGTTGCGGGGATGGAGAGTGGGGATGAGCGGGGGATGGAGAGTGAAAGGGAGCGAGAGAGGGAATACGAACGCGATCGCGAGAGGGAGAGGGACCGGCAAGGTCTTAGGGAGAGGGAGCGGGAGCGGGACAGGGACAGGGAGAGAGAAAGGGAGAGGGAGAGGGAGAGTAACCGGCGGAGCATGGAGAGCGAGCCGGAACTGGTGAAGGGGTCCTCGGTTGGGGGTGGTGCCCGGGGCAGCGTGGCGCACAGGCAGGCGCCTCCGCCACCTGCGCAGCAGCAGCAGGCCGCGGCGGTGCGAAACCACAACATTGTCGTGCGTGTTCTATTCTTCTGGTCCTACCCAATACCAACTTCGGCGCTGATGCTGCTCTTTACGTAGGTAAACCGAAAGGTGTACGCGCGCCTGGACCTGATCGGCAAGGGCGGCTCGTCGCGCGTGTACCGCGTGATGAACGCGGCGAACGAGATCTATGCTATCAAGCGTGTCTCGCTCGACCGGACCGACGACGAGACGATGAACAGCTACCTAAACGAGATCGCGCTGCTCAAGCGGCTCGCGGGCAACCGGCGCATCATCCAGCTCTTCGACTCGGAGCTGCGCCCGGGATCGGGCGGCGCGCGAGGCCACCTGATGCTCGTGATGGAGTGCGGCGAGGTGGATTTGGCCAAGTTGCTCACGGAGAGGCAAGGGGAGGGCCTGAACATGGTGTGGGTGAGCTATTATTGGCAACAGATGCTGCAGGCGGTGCACGTTATCCACGAGGAGAAGATTGTGCATTCGGACTTGAAGCCGGCGAACTTTGTGCTTGTGCGCGGGCAGCTGAAGTTGATTGATTTTGGGATTGCGAATGCGATTGCGAATGATACGACGAATATCCAGCGGGATCATCAGGTGCGTTCCGTGCTTGTTGTTTTTGTGTGATAGGCACGTGTTGACTGACATTGTCTGCTTCGTAGATCGGAACGGTGAACTACATGTCACCCGAAGCAATCGAGCACCCCGAGGGCTTGCGCCGGCTCAAGGTCGGCCGCCCATCGGACGTCTGGTCGCTTGGGTGCATCCTGTACCAGATGGTATATGGTTCACCGCCGTTCCAGCACCTGTCAGTTTACCAGAAGATGAAAGCGATCCCGGACCTCGCGCACGAGATTGTGTTTCCTGAATCCTCCGTGCCCTCCGTCATGACCAAGACGGGCGAGCGGCGGACCCTCGATCATCTGAGTCGGCGCGTGCGTGCGGACGTGATCAGTGGTATGAAGAGCTGTCTGCATCGCAATCCGAAGGATCGGGCGACGATTCCGGAGCTGCTCGAGCAAGAGTGGGTCGCGCTCAAGGAGAACGGGGACGGCGGGGGAGTGGGCACGAGCGGAAAGAAGGGCGAGACGCAGAGGAGGAAGGACGCGAAGGCGCTGTTGGCGAAGGACGAGACGATCATCAACCCGCATTATATGCGGCAGCTGCTTGAGTATGGGATTCTCCTTGGGCAAGGAGGCAAGATTACGGAGAGTCTTGAGGATATGGCTGAGGTGCGTTTTATCTTCTTCCTTTTTATTCTTGCCCCCAGTTGACGTTGTCATACCTTGGGTAGCGCCTTGTTAATGAGCTCAAGATGGTCGACTCATGACCGGTGATTCATGTTCATTCGCATGTCGGACGTCTTCCCCTTCTCATGCATACACATCCACCCAAAACACGCACTGTGCATCTCAGTGTATTATATCTTGCATGGCGCTTATGCCCGCACCCATGTACTCCCCTTTGGCACTTCCTCTCCCACATATTGACTTTTGCCCATATTCTTGCATGTATACAACGCACACCTGCATTGTCCCATCTGTCTCCCGTGTCCCACCACTCCCATCTCCGTCATATCATTGTATTTATTGCGGTCGCCGCTCGAACGAGAGGGCCTGGTGCCTTGTTACATATCGTTGTCGTTGCTGTTGTCCTCGCTATGTTACTGCCCGCTATTGCATCTCAGCTCGCCCTCTCGCCCTCTCTCCATCTGTTCTTTTTTCTATCTTCGTCCCCGTATCTAAGTTCTTACTCTACCATATTCTTCTCTTACATCCTCCCATTTGTCGTCATTGTGTTTTTATTGAATATATCGCTACCACCCGACTTTCCGTTATCTCTTCTTTGATATATTCGTTTCTCCTCTAGAACTGTTCTCAGTATAATCTTTTCCTCTTCTTTTGTTATATCTTGTTTCTCGGTCCTCGGTGTCGTACAGGAGAGGGTGATCATATATAGTCTCGGGGGGCGTACGGCTGTAGGTAGAGTACATGTGACGGACCGCTGACAGTTTGTGTTGCTGGTTGTAGATATATACCATAATTGCGTGGTTGTAGAGTAGGAACAATGCTATATCGTTGTCATACTGCTGTTTTGTTGGAGAGGTTGCGTAAGTGAGCGCTGCTCAGGCTGTGGGAGTTTGGGGCTGCGAGTCGTGCGGGACCTCTTTGCCGAATGCATCTGTTAGTATTTGTTTGATATTCAGAACTCAGAAGGCCTTACTGCCGGATTGTTGGTAGGAGCTAGGCGGCCTTAATGTTATGAGAGCGTGCTCGAAGTGGAGAATACAAACTAATGTCTATTATCTCAACAAGTCCATGCAGTATATACACACAACATTAATCAACTGTCCTTATGCTACAGTACATCATGGTCCCGGTAGGAAGCTCGATGGCCTACTAGTTACAAAGCTGCGCCAAAACTTGGCGTTAGGCCGCTTAGTCGAGGTAGTGTCGCTTCTGCGTCGGGCTACCAGTCGAGTTGCCAGTCGAGTTGCCTGCTGGCTGAGCACTGGCGCTCACGATGGCCACGAAGTCCTGGGCTGTCATGCTGTACGAAGCGCACGTCAGAATACCGTTCTAGGGATAAGAGTGACCTAGATGGTCTACTCACTTGACGAGCTCGCCCAGCTGTGTTCCGACCGCTGACGAGATCTGGTTGCCGCTGACGAGGTCCTCGATGAGGCTGTTGAGCGTTCCCGCAGCTCCGGCTACGACCTGTTGGACCGATGTGGGGCCTGTAGGAGGCGCAGTGCCGGTGCTCGTAGGCTTGGCAGACCCGGAGCTTGCGGGCTTGGTTGCGCTCGACGAGGGAGGAACGGAGGTGCCGCTGCCCGTTGGAGAGCTTGCGAGCGAGGTCGCGCTAGACGACGGCGGAACCGAGGATCCGCTGCCTGATGGAGCGCTCGCGGACGAGGTCGGCATGCTGCCGCTCATGCCTCCCGCGGGGGCCGTGGTCCCGGATGCGGGGAAGCTGACGGTGGTCGTCGATGAGCCGAGCGGTGACCCAGTGCTCTGCAGCGTGACGGTGGTGGATGACGCTGGCGCGGGAGCCGCGACGACGGCGACGGCCGACATGACGAGGGAAGCAAAAGCGATGGAGGCCTTCATTATGATGATGTTTGTTGGCGTAGGATTGAGGGGGTCGTGCAAGGTTTGGAGGTGAAAACACGCGTTACGAAAGGTAAAGGGGTTTGAATTGAACAAGTAGGCTGTATAATGCTTGATGTTAGCTTGTCGAAACGCATGTCATGGTCCTGAGACGCTTACCGGTCCAGCACCTGAGTGAGCTTAGAAATCAAGGAGGAAAGTAAGCTGAAGTGCTGCAATCTTCGGCCCCCTCTACTTATGCCAGAGTGCGTTCACCGCCATGGGTGCTATGACACCAATACCGGGGCTGTCGGTCGCTATCCAATGGGCGAAACTGCGCCAAAAAGATGAGGAAGCAATGAAAGCTAGTGATTGCATCAACGCCACTAGTGCGAGGCACTGCCCCGCCGTAAGGTGAGATGCGCAGTCACGAGCGTAATAATTAGGGCTGGAAGATGCAATCGAGTTAGCGCGTGCATCGGTACGACATCCTAGTGGGGTCCAAGCATTTGAGGTCTTCCTTTTCGATGCATAGGACATCGTGGACGGGGATAAAAGCACAGGTGCACTGGAGCTTCGCACGCCCTGCCAGCACTGTGGGATGGAACGATGGTCAGATGAGCTATGACATCAGATGTAAGTGGACTTTGGGAACAGCCTCAGCGTGCCTCGACCCTCGGGTGGTTTGGTCAAGTCTTTGTCTCTCCATCCTGCAGGGGATTCGTTCGATTTAGCTCGAGGATCATGGCGAAAACCACTTCGTTGTGATCTTCGTCGCCAATATTACGATCTGGCGGTACCAGGGCTCAGGCAGTACCCAATCACTGTTCGTATAACTATGGATTGACGGGCGCTGACCGCTGAACAGCCCTACGACTCCGCAGCCCTCCTTAGCCCAGAATGGTGATTTCTTTGTTTTCGTAGAATGAAACTCTAGGCCTGTCGTGGTTTTATTGCTCAGCCCGACTCCACCAGAGATGCTAGCAGAGCATAGCATTGTCGGTCAGCACTTCACCTAGCGGAAGCACAGGAATGCTAGTAGGGATACTGTCCCGCATGATCCCCTCTTGAAGTTGATGATAGGAAGATTATGCAGATAGGAAAATCAGAGAGTCTGATGCGTAATTGTTACTTCAGTTCAGAAAAGAGGCAAGTGGGAGGATACCAAGAGTGCATGAGCTTCAAAATTAGAACTCCGCTCTGTCGCAAAGTTCATTTTCCGGTTGCAATGAGTTCTTGATTGAGTAACCGTTGGAACCTGATTGCAATGGTAACGAACGAATCCAATTGATTGCAAGCTTCTTGAGACTTCATTGCAATGAATTGCAATGCCTCGTGTCCGTTGGGATTACATTGTAATTAAACTACAAGCGAAGGGTCATTGCAACCAATATGTAAACTTTGCGACATTTCTCAATGGTAAACACTGACAGTGATAATGCCTTTGATCAAATCTAGGAACTCTGTGCGTTCTGCTTAGGCTTTCTCGCACAATGATAAGTACATTCTAACATTTTTTGGAGGAATTACTGTGAGCTTGCTCGGTGTACTCAGCAGGAGTTTTTGGAGAGGGTCGGTCTTGCGCAGCTTGATGGATTCCGCGCAATCCGGTCTTTCCCGAAGCTGAGTTGCAACGTTGTGTGCTGTACAGAGGGCTGTAACTAGAGACGTTACCACCACAGTACCAGCAAAACAGAACCATAAGAAGTATGTTTGCCATCTTTCAAGACTTATCGCTCCTAAAAATGTGTCCGCCTATAGCTTGGTATGCAACCCGTAGCAAATGACAGCTGGCAAAAACTTGCACAGGAATGCGCTCAAGGCGCTATCTACGATTCGAACGAGCGTCACCCCCACTCCAGATGTCTTCCGGGAACCAGAGTCAAGCTTCTCAAAACGCTCAAAGACATCGCTTACGACGACAAGAGCAAGATTGTCTGGATTTCGGGGCAGTCTGGCTCAGGGAAGTCTTCTGTAGCTCACACACTCGCTGACGAACTTAGCAAGGAGGGCCGGCTCGCAGGGACATTCTTTTTCTCCAGAAAACATACCAAGCGCAGCACTTTCGACCATGTCCTTCTAACCCTTGCCTATCAGATTGGTCTTTATCATCCTCGTGCTAAAGAGGTCATTGTTAAAGCTATCTGTGATGATCCCGCTCTCCTCTCTGCGGAGAAATCACGCTTTGAACTGCTGCAGAAGCTCATCTGCGAGCCGTTGAAACAGCTAGCATTCATTTGGAAAGACAAGCCTGGCATGTCAATCATCTTGGACGCACTTGACGAGGGCACTAGCAGGGGTACATCATACTTAGCTCCTTCCGTACGCCTGTTCGCTCGTCTCGTCAAAGATTCGTCTCTCCACATTAACAACGTCTTCATCACCAGTCGGCCATGGCCTCAGATTAGCTCAGTGATGAGCGACATCGGCATGTCGGTTGTTCTCAACACCGTCCAACTTGAGGACTTCGACTCTCGTGAAGATGTTAGGTACTTCTTTCGACATGCATTTCAAGAGATATACAACAATCGTCTTCTATCTTCTTCACTGCCCAAGCCATGGCCTCCTGAGAAAGATCCACAGATGCTTTGCGAGCGATCACAAGGGCGTTTTATCTTTGCTGCAACTATCTTGCGATTTGTGGACGTAGATCAGCCTCAGAATCGTCTTCGGCTTGTGTGCAACATGCTACGTGGCGATGCGGAGCACGTTTGGGGCGATATCCATCACCTGTACTCTTCGATAATCGACGAAATAGACCCTGTCACGCGCGCCAAAGGCACCAAGTATCTCTCTCTTATCATGGATCTTGCCGAGCCTCTGGCCTTGTCTGACTTGAATCAACTCTTCGCCGACCACGTGCACCATTACCTCGTCCCCTTTTCAGCTCTGGTATCCATCCCTCCTCTCGAGTCGCGCGAGCCAGTCCAGATTTTTCATAGTTCTCTTCGCGATTTTTTACAGAAACACGCTCAAGATGAGGGTGATTCTATTCACCATCAGCTGACATTGACCTGCTTTCAGACCATGAGGACGTTGTTAAAGCGCGACATATGCGGGCTCAAAGACCCGTCTCTGCTGCATGAAGAGATACCCGACTTTGCCCAGCGGCGTGAGGGTATTCCTTGGGCGCTGAGATATGCGTGTCACTATTGGGTTCACCATCTCCAACATGTCTCGCCCGACGATGAGGTCCAAGAACAGCTTTTGGATTTCCTCCAACGACGTGTTCTTTTGGCAGTTGAGGTTTATGCGGTGCTGGGTGAACTTGGTCTTGGGGTAAATCTACTCAGAACTGCTCGGAGACTCGTGACGGTGAGAGATTTACTTTCATCGCATCGTACTAATCACTAAAGTCAACATCTATGTAGGCCTGGCCGAAGGACTCGTTCTCGTCTAAGGAGGATGTCATAGCACTGCTGTATGACAGCTGGCGACTAACACTGGACTTCTTTGATCCTATCAGCTCTTCAGCTTTACACGTTTACGAGTCGGCCCTCCCATTCAGCCCAGCAAAATCGAAGATCCGGCAGGTTTATGATCATCTTTTACAGAGCGCAACCGTTTTCACGATCGAAGAAGGCTTAGACGAGGAGTGGAATTGTGTTACACGCATGATCAGCGTGGATGCAAAGGATTTGGAATTTACAGCTACTCTGTCACCCGACGGTTCGGAAGTCGCGGCTATTACTCCAAGCTCAGTACATGTGTGGGGTACGGCAACAGGGGTGCTATTAGCATCTCTTCCTCTCGGCCAACCATGTCTCATCCGGGGAGGGATTGCTCACAGTGGCTCGCATATAGCGTTCTACCAGAGTTCTTCGGCGCTTTGTCACGTATGGCAGCCTTCCCATGGCACAGTTATCTCGTTCGGGGGCGATAGAGAAGCGGGGCACAGCATGCTGATGCCTTTCATCGGTTGTGTCTCGTTTTCCCATAATGAAGCAAGGCTCGCCTGCTTGTGGGGAGGTGCAGATAACCTCCATCAGGAAGTCACCGTGTACGATGTCATCACCCGCCAACAACTATCGAATGTCTCTCTAGGTGGCTTCTCCCAGCAGCCACAGCGCTCTATCCTCCCTTTCAACAGGGACCGTGACTGGCTCAGGTTCAAGATACGCTCTACAACCATCGACTTTTCTCATGAAGGGGACTGCCTGATGGTGCACTTCATGGGCTCCACACTGATCTTCGACCCAGTGACTGGGCGAGAGATGTTGCGTAGGGAATGCTGTGGGAAGAACCACGTCGTCGAGAATTTTGTGCTACTATTCTTCGGGCCGGAAGATGCTTATATCTTCCATAGCAGCTCATACTTGCCCTCTAGAGATCTGCCACAGTTTCGCTTCCACCACAGTATTCTGCCTGCGAGTCGAAATTATGGACGGAAGCTCCTGTCAGCGCTTCCTTGGTCTGTGCAGCGCGAGGCCAGTTCTTCCCTGGGCAGAGAGGAGGCTGGGATGGCGGACCAACCACAAACCGTACCCGATTCCGCATCTCGTAGAGCATGCAAAATCAAGCGTATCAAGTCCGGGAAAGGCCAAACACCCTCAGAATCATCTCCGTTCGAGGTGATTTATATCCTCGGTCGAGACGTAGGCGCAACCATGGATGGGCATACCGTGGCATTCTGCGGCGCTACTAGGACAAGCTGGAGAACGCCCGGATCGGATTGCGTCGGTATGATCTGCGAGAAAAGCGACATTTGGCTCCTGGACCTCATTCAGGCCGCTCACCAGCCCACTTTTCACTTGTCGTCTTCGGATCCCTATCTTGAAAATGGATACTCTTTCGCTTGCACATCGGAATTAGAAGATTGGAAGGCATACAAGTGTTTGGATACCGAGAATCGCTACCTCATTGTGGACTACAAATCCTCAGATGGCAAGAAGGGAACGGAGATCTTGTCGGAGACATACGTTGATGAGGTGATCACTGCGCTCTCGCAGAGTGGAAATTATTTCGCCATCGCAGGTCGCAGCGGGTCGTCTAAAGGCACCAAAGTGCAAATCTGGGACCTCGCTGTGGAACCCACTCCCGTGAGATGCAACTGGAACGGCAAGAGATGCACTCACATCCGATTCTCGAGCGATTCTGAGCTGATTGCTATACTGGGAACGCTAGAAGACGGCTCATACGGTGTTGTTACATATTCTTTCAGCGACGACGGGTTACTCCGGACGGGCTCGATTTCCCTTCATCCTCAGTTCTGGCCCAAAAACTCCAACAGATGCGCTATCGCTTCTGTCGGTCAAGACTTTGTTCATCTCTGGGCCCGTCCGACTATAGACGGTACTTTGGTGTACCTCCTGCGGTGGAAGGTGGCGACGACAGAAATTGCGACAGTAGCGGAGGTGCCGCACACAGGACTGTACAGTTTTTACCCAGCCATTTCTCCATGCTTTGAACGGATATACAGCAAGAGTAGAGATAGCAGTATCGTCATGAAGCTGAACGCAGCTCTGGAAAACAAAGCTGCTCAGAGCGAGAAGTGGCTGTATGATGTCGATGAAGAACATAACCCCAACATTTATTACGACGCACTCTCATGGTCCGATCTTTGTCTGGGTACGGACGGATGGCTTCGAAAGAGGCAGCGCAGGTTATGTTGGCTGCCTGCTAGGTACCGACCCATGTCGGATCAGGAAGGCCATTATCTGCGACTGGTGATATATTCTGGCACAGTAACGTTTCTTGGTCTGAAAAACAACAAGCGTCTCACCATGCGTCTTCTCAATACCAAGATCGAATACCTTAATTAGATACGGCGAGCTTCATCCACTTGAATAGAAATGTTGTAAACTTGTACAGGCGTGGATCGTACTCTCACTAGGATGTCGCGGTTTTGCTTGTTGGTTCGGTTACGTGGTTAGGCAGCTGATCAGATCGGAAGGTGGCAAGTAATGAGAAAGTAAAATGTATACGTTTCCCCTTGCGTTCACCCAGTCGCCAAGACCACCCCAACCCCAACCGCGCCAAGCAGCACTGACCGCAGCCGTCATGGATGGGCGAGACACTAGAGAGATGGGCCACGACTTTCCGATTCGGGTCCGGAAAACGCCAAAGGCAGGGAGAAATAGCTGGCTCAGAAGCAGTAACTGGAGGGTCGCGCACACCCGGCTCTACCTGTCAAGCTGCGTCAGCTCTTGGCCACTAACTTACTGCGAATGCGGGCTGGATGACGATGCAAGGATATGAAAAATGGATTCATGACCCCACACAAGATAGAATGCGATATCAAGAATCGAGCTACGCGAACATTAACGAAACCTTTCGATGAGGAAAGAGCAAAAATTGATTCTAAGATGTCTTGTATTAATGATAATCGGGACATGGGAACGGGATCACCTCGACAGGATACTCTAAACAACATGTACGGAAGTGGCCTCCTTCTTGGCCAGATGGTGGAGGTCTTGCTCTATGCGGTGGGTTATGGTCAGAAGAGGTACGGCAGGGAAGACATGAATGACTTACGCATGCCCCATACGTGCGACCTCAAATCAAGGAACTCTGTGGTGTGGTCAGTAATAGAGTCGAAGGTGAGGGGAGCAAAGAACGCACCAATGTGAAGGCCGTCGTAGACCTTCTTAAGCTCTGCGCGCACCCGCGAAAGGTCTTCCTTGCTAGCAGAGCCGGATGAAAGCGCCTTCAGGTCCTTTTCGACAGCTTCAATCCTTCGGACATGCGACGACACCTATAGAACGACGAGTTGAACATTGTATGCAGGCAGAGGTGGAGCACTGAGACTCACCTTCTCCGTGCTGACCTGTAGCTCCTCCACACTAGCCTGCAGTGCTGCAGAGGCGCGCTTGTATTCGTCCAACAGTGAGTAGGCGGCAAACGACGAGGCGAGAGAGAAGCCAAAGAGGAATCCTATGATACTTCCAACGCCAAACCCATCGCAATTCGCGTCAACGTCAACCGGAAAGCTCACGACGGTGGACATACCCTCCACGGAACCCTCCGACTGGCTTCTTCTGCTCCTGGACGGTGCCGATGTTAGGAGTGGGCTGCGCCTCCTCGCGCAGGACTCTTGAGGTGGAGATGAATCGAGAGCGAGCGCCCTGTGCGACCCTAGGGACTGTGGAGAGGCGGCATAACGAGGAGGCCATCGTGGGCAGTGAGCAAGGTGTTGTTGAAGGACCGGATTTAACCGGACTCTTTCCCGCCGCCGCCCACCTGTCGCGTGTTGGCTGGCTGGGAACCGCGACGCGCTTGAGCATGCTCGCATAAATTCTGGTGACTCTCGTAACGTTTGTCCCACTTCATCCTTAAGATTCATCTTCTGTTGACCTCTCACGTTGTGATTGTCTTCCGACTCGACGTTCTTTTCTGATTCCCATCCTCATACCCAAATGGCCCCTAAACGGAAAAACGATGAAGGCGAGGGACAGTCATTCCGCGACAGGAAGAAGCAAAAGATGACGGAGGCACGGACGATTGCTGTTCAGCAGTCTGGTTCATCATCTCATAACAATGTTACGGGGAATGGCACGTCCAAGTCAGCGACTGGCGTAAGGTTCGACAGTACGTGATACCTGCCTCCGCAAGAAGTCATGTATCAACGCGCAATTCATCTGGGCAGGCATGCAAGGCCTTCCAAGCGCGATCGACGTGGAAAGATTCACCGAGGTCAGATTTATGACTCCTTGAATGGCTCCTGGCGGGCACTGACCTCATTCTGTAGGCGCGAGCTTTCGAGATCTCTGCGATGCAGACGGCCATGCAGAACGCAAGGTACGCAAGAGTTCGAGATGGGCATCGTGACAGAATGCTGACTCCTCCAACAGCGAAAGCTCGACGACCCGCGTCTGGCAAACCCTCCCTCGTCATCTGCGTCGCAGAGCAGCTAGCCACGACGTTCGACGGGTTCCCTTACGCCTGAGAGAGAGAGCACGGCAAGAGGTGTGTAACTCAGCTTTCGTCTTTTATCCTCTCACAACCCCCTCAGATGGACCCTGTCAAACGCAAAGCTCTCGGGCGCTCTCAGCCAAAACGCGGCAAAGGAAAACAGATAAGCCGAACGGAGTCGCTCCTTAAGCGTCAACGTAAGTGGTGGTCAACTTATTCCAAGAGCTCGTCATCTTGACATGTGGTGCTCTCCTCAGGCGACAAGAAGTGGCTTGAGACGCATTTATGGCATGCAAAGCGTATGAAGATGGAAAACATGTGGGGTTACCGCCTGGCAAGTCGTTACTCCCTTTTGACTCTTATCCCTTTTATTGATAAAGCCCGTTCGCCCGGCTAGGCCGTCCACCCGAACGAGAAATCCTACCGCTCGTCTCACCGTGCATCTGTCCATGGCTCTATTATTCATGACGCGTCATATTACAACCTCATCCAGCTTGAAGGCCCCGAGACGCCCCTGCTTTCCATCCTCGAGAACTGCTGCGATCCCCAGGGGCCATCGCTCAAACGGTGAGCATATTCCAGCAAATCTCTACACTGCGAGAGATTCACGAAATATTCTCAGCGGGAAAAGCGGCTCCCGAACCGTAGACACGCATATGTACAAACACGCAGCGTACCCACTCGATCTCATCGGCCCCGTTACCATCATTTGGAAACCTCTTTCAACCTCCCCCGCCTCCTCAGCTGACCTGGAAGAGTCATCCAAGAAGCAGAAGCAGAAGCAAAAAGGGAAGCAGAAGCAAGCTTCAAACACTGTCTCTTCCGCCTCTACCTCTTCGTCACCACGCATCGTCTGGATGTGGTGCCATCCCGCCGTATACCAAGATGTCTTCGATGCCTTACACAAGGCGGGCGAACACGTCGTCCAAGCTGCGAACGCCAGGGGGATTGTAGAGGGCGCGCACTGGCAGGTGCAGATCTCGAACATTTCGGACAGCGTCAACGTGTTTGAGATTATGGGACCCAAGTCGAGCCAGGTAATCAAAGGTGCTTTAGCGCTTGCCGGAGATGAGGATAGGGATGAGTTTAAGAAGGTGCGCTGGCCTCTTGTATCTGTTGAAAGTGAGAGTCTTATGCTTGAATGCTGCCACTGCAGTTCTGGGCCTCCCTAAACGACCTTCAGACGACTGGATCACTTGCGCGGGGTATGGTTGCTGGCTTCAAGGTTCTCGATCCGCGTCTCAAGTGAGTAATCGATATCGTTCGACCAATAAGTGTCTTGACTTTGCTAGGTTCCCTCCGAAGAATGCCAAACCGACAGCAGGGGCGAACACCTCGCTGGGAAAGGATGACCCATGTTTCTGCTTCCCGACGGCCAAGCTCGCTCAGAGCGACATATGGGACGAGTCGGCACGCAAATCGCTTAAGAAGCCGAAGTACAAGAAAAAGGATCTCGACGAGCGGCGTTCTAAGGTAAGATAGCATCTGTCTTCCTTATTGACCGCAAGGCTCGAGTCTAACAAGCTACGTTTCAGAACCTCATCCCGGGCACACCCCTCCGCGCCCTCCGCCAGGACGACCGCGTCCCGCTGCTGCTTATCCAGCGCTCCGTGCAAAACCCCGCGTCCATCGCCTCCGCCTCGCTCCCCAAATCCAACTCCGCCTCCGGCTCTATCTCAAACCTCGGCCTCGGCGGCACCTCATCCCGCACGAGCACATCGCACGCACAGGAAGACTCGGCCGGCATCCACGGCTGGACGCTCGTCATCCCCGCGGGATGGCCCATGGCGTTTCTCAGCGCCCTAACGCACACGGGGACGCGCGTCGGTGCGCAGCGCGAGCGCGCGACGCAGGCGTTCGAGGCTGGGACGCCGTATTTCCCGAGGGACTATCCGTGTACGGGGTTCTACGAGCAGTTCGCGAGCGAGAGGGAAGCGAAGGAGAGGGCGGAGTGGGAACGCAAGCCGCCTGCGAAGAGGGTGAACTTTGACAAGTGCGGGACGCGGAGCGCGTGGAGAGCGGATTGGGAGGTTGTGTTGGGGCTCGAAGCTCCCAAGGCGCAGGACAACGCTTGGGACAAGGGGAAGGGGCAGGACCTCGTTCCTGCGCAGCGCGACCCGCCTGCTACAGCTCCAACGCAACCTTCGTCTGCCGTCGCGAACACCAACCCCATGAAAACATGGCTCCTCCGCGGTCCCCAGGTCCCCTCGCTCCTCCGCACGCTCGGGGACATGCTCAACCCCGCCGCAGCCCTTCTAGCCGAGCTTAACGCGCTCCGGCTGAAGCGCTCGCTTGACCCGCTCGAGCAGCAATACACCCCGCTGAAGGCGGCGGACCTGTGGGCGAGTGCGCTCGTGCGCGTGCGGCTGCGTGTCGTTGGGAGAGGGCACCCGGAGGAGATGGGCGTGCTGTATAAGGTGGAGGATAGGGAGCTCGTGGAGGCGCTGGGGCGGCCGGAGCCGCCGCCACCTGGGAAGGGGCCCGAGGCGCCGACGGAGGGGCAGGAGAAGGGGAGGGGTGGAGATGCGGAGAAGGCAAAAGCACAAAGTGGAGGGGATGAAGAGGAGGAGGACGAGTATGATAAGGTGGAGATGGACGTGGATTTTGGTGCGGATGAGGACGGCAGCGACGTGAGTCTCTCATTCTGCTTTTCTTTCGACGCAAGAAGTTACGGATCCTAATTACTGACTCCCCCATCCGTCTCGCTCCAGCTACAGGCCAAACACCACATCCCCCCGCAAGAATCCATCATCGGCTACGTCACCACAGGCAACTTCTCGCTCACCCGCGGGCGCGGGTTCGCCATTGGCGCAGTGCCCGCGCGCGTGTACGTCGAGCTGCAGCGCCAGGCCCAAAGGTGCGTCTGATCTTCCCTGATTTCCGGTTGCATATTTTACTAAATGAACCATCCATGCACACCAACAGGCTAAAACAGCCCGGCCCCGTCGCCCTAGTGCGAAACCGCAACGGGCTCGTGACGCGGCCTGTGTTTTTGGAGCTGTTGGATGCTTAAGGAGACGGAGGAGTGCATCGAATTTCTAATATGGACGATAATGTGGGTATTGTCATAACAGACCAAGATGCAGTGCAATAAATTAGGACGTGGCAATGCTAACGGTGGTCGGTACAAGGTCTCGACGGGAGCTCGAAGAGTTCTGGGTGCGAGTGTATATCGTAAACTCTACAAACATCGTCTCAATGCTGCGAACCGGAAAGAGGGGAAATAGATGATATGATGAGATACGGTATTAGAGAGAGAAAAGAGAAAGAGGAAAAGAGCGCGCATGCCAAGAAGTGAAGCCCGACCGATGGATTCGAGTGACGCCTCCGCGAGTAGAGTACTACACGAACTCAATCATGGGCACTATAGATATGTAAAATGCACAGACATGTACGGGTCTTACAAGCACACAACACAGCCAACCGCCCCAACCAACAGCACCACCAGCACCATCACCAGCACCGTCACGACAACGTCCACTTGCTCACCGCCGCCTGCACAAGCCTGACCATCTCGTCCTTGGCCTGCTTCTTCGCGCTGTCCGTGATGCCCACGAGCGCGTCCAGCGCGCGCGGGCTCGTCGTGAGCGGGTCGAACTCGAGGACGTGCCCGTCTTTCGTGGGTATCGCGACGATCGCGCGCGCGCTCTGCAGGAACGAGGCGGCCGAGGGCGGGCGCGGGGGATCTTGTGCGGTGTGCCCGTCGTTCGACGAGTCCGATGTGCGGCTCGAGGTCGTAAGCGCGCCGGAGGGCACGTGCGAGCCGCCGCTAGATGAGGACGTCAGAGAGGTGACGGAGGGGTCGCGCCGCACGGTGATGCCGCTGTTGGCTTTCTTGAGGTTGCGGCTCTTGGGCCTGTTGCTCGCCTGGCTCTGCGTTCTTTGTGGATTCGGGTGCTCTGCCGAGGGCAACAGCCCCGTTTCGCCCTCGGCGCCGTCCCCATCCCCGTCCGAATCGGAGGGATCGTCCGCGGCGCCTGCGAACCACCCCAACCCGAGTGTGTATGGGTTCGCGAGCGGGGAGCCGTTGACGGAGAGCATGTTCTCGTCTCTTCGGGGTGCGCGTAAGGTTGGGTATATGGGTGCTTTGGGGAGGGTGGGTGCGAATGTTGATGTTGAGGGTGGGCGGCGTGACGAAAATTGTGGTTGTGGATGTGAAGATTGCGTGATCTGAGCTCGGGAGAGTGACGAGTGGGTAGGTTTGGATGGGGATGCGGTGCGCGCGAAGGTGGATGTGGCTGAAGGCGTTTTCCTGGTGAGCTTTTGTGGGCTCGGGGATGGTGGAGGGCGGCCAAATGTTCTGGTCTGCAAAGGAAGGGAATGGTAAGTGAGCTGAAGGTGGGGTGCAGAGGGCAGCGCTAGAGGAAGAAACATGGAGGACGTACAGCGCCGGGCGTCTTCTGAAATACACGCTTCTGTCCGCTCTCGTGTATCGTAGAGAGGCCAACTTTCTTCTTGGGTGTCATGGGAGCAAGACGAGCTGTACAATACATTCGTGAGCATCACGCTCCCCTCTATTGAACCAAACACCACGAATGATCCCTTACCGTTCTTTGGCGGCCTAGATGGCCCCGCATCCGCATTGTTGAGGTTCCCCGAAGAAGAGTCTGCATCCTCCTGAGCAGATGCCCACTTGCGCTTGCGCGTGTCCTTGTCGATCGCGAGCGCGTCTGTGCCGCCGGCGCCGAGACGGGCGCTCTGGAGGCCGCGGAGACATGCCTGGACGTCGCCGTCGTACTTGTCGGCAAACTCGGCCATGTTGACTGCGCGAACAGGCCTGGGTATGCGTGAGATGAGGCCTTCCTGGTGGAGCTTAAAGTTCTGGAGCGCGTCCTGGAGCCATTCTTCGAGCTGGCGGATGCGATGTTCGACTGTGCGCCATAGACGTCAGATGTCGAGCGATTTCCAAGGCGAGAAAGAGAGAACGAACCTTCAAAGTCGAGATTCGCCAGTAGCTGTTTCTTCTCCTCCTGCGAGAACCTTCTTGTTGTCATCTCTGGCTGACGATGAGACGGGGGAGGGGAAGAGAAAGTGCAAGGGGATGTCTTGCCTTTGGGAGTCTAGTTAGTTTGGGTTTGTCTGCGCCGACGTCCAGCGACTTGTCATGTGACCCGCGTGTTTCCCCTCCCTAATAGTTTTCCCACGCTCAGCGCGTCCCGAAGCCGGAACATCGGGGGCAATAGCAGAAATATTGCAGACGGCGGATCGTTCCACTTCTGCTTGCACACGTCCACCCCACACTCAAATCCTCTTCTCTCCTTTCGAACGACTAGCAAAATGTCCAAGCAGCGAGAAAACTTCCTGGTCATTGGCGGCAGTGGCTTCGTGGGCCGTCACATCGTCGACAGGATTCTCGCGCGTGGGGACGCTGCTGCTGTTTTCGACATCGTCCAGCGGCACCACGACGTCCCGTTCTATTCGGGTGACATATGCGACGAGGGGCAGCTCATTGATGCTATCAAAAAGGTCAGTTCATCTGCCTTTCTTTTCCTAAGCATGGAGCTGACAAGGTTGCGTTTTGCTTTCATAGTCGGGCGCGACGTGTATCATCCACACCGCCTCCCCCCCACACGGTGCCAAAGACCCGTCGATCTACTACAAGGTCAACGTGGACGGCACCAAGGCCGTCATCGCTGCGGCCATCGCGTGTGGCATCCGCAAGCTCGTGTACACCTCCTCTGCGGGCGTCATTTTTGATGGCAACGACGTCGTCAACGTCGACGAACGCGTGCCCTACCCCGAGAAACCGTTCGACGACTACAACGACTCCAAGGCCAAGGGCGAGACCGTCGTTCTCGAGGCAAACGGGAAAGGGGGGCTGTTGACGGTTGCGTTGAGGCCTGCTGGGATCTTTGGGTGCGCGCTCTCACTTTCGCCTCCTTTTTACGTGTTCCGACCAAAATGACGCGGAACTACAGCCCGGGAGACAGACAACTCCTCGTCGGCCTCTACCAGGCCTACCAGCGCGGCCAGACGCACTTCCAAGTCGGCGACAACAACAACCTCTTCGACTACACCTACGTCGAGAACCTCGCCACCGCGCACCTCATCGCCGCTGACAGGCTTGACTCAGAAGTAGCAGCCGACAACGCCGAGCCCTCCGAATCTGCAGTAACAGCAGCAACAGAAGACTGGGCCTCCGAAACAGCGACCCTCTCCGAAAAAGAAGCGCTCGACCTCTCGATCGCCCTCCCGCCCGTAAGCGCAACCGTCGGAAACCGCCGCGTGCCCACGTGCGTCGCGCGCCCCCTCGGCCCGTACGTCGTCCCGCCGCCCAACGCCGCCGCGCTCGAAGCAGCCTACGCGTCGCCCATCGCCTCCACGAACGTGCGCCCGGCCCTCCGCGGGCGCTTCGACCAGTTCTCCGAGAACGCGATGGCGGTGTGCAAGACGCACCCGCTGCGCGTCGCGGGGCAGACGTTCTTCATCACGAACGGCGAGCCCGTGTATTTCTGGGACTTTATGCGCCTCATCTGGCTCGCGCTCGATCCGCCGCACGATCCGAGCAAGCGCGCCGAGCAGCGGATATGGGTGATTCCGCGGGCGTTTGGGATGGCGCTTGGGTTTTTGGCGGAGACGTGGGCGGGGCTGATGGGCAAGGAGGCGGGGTTCACGCGGTACAGGGTGGGATATAGCTGTGCGACGCGGTATCATAATATCGAGCGGGCGCGGCGGGTGCTTGGGTACGAGCCCGAGATTGGGATTGAGGAGGGGGTGAGGAAGACGGTTGAGGTGCGTTTCTTTTGTTGCCTTGTCAATGTTGCCCGGACGATGCTAACGCGTTTTATTTGACAGTGGTTCAAGAAGGAGAACAACCTCCCATAGAGTACATCAATCCCATACACCGGGCTTGAGCCTGAGCATGAGAGCGCACACGATATACCCTACGCTATACATAGCCCCAGACCGACGTCAGCCTTACTTACACTTTACATGGTTTATTCGCGGACCCGTCATGTGTTGTTATACGATGCTATACTTAATATACCTCGCCGCCGCTGCACATAGGGCGTGAATCTCGCTCCCATCCGCTTTAATTGCACCATGTACTGCTCCGTGTGGGACCGACACCGACGTTGGCGTGATCGTGTGCATGAGCCAAGCTCGAGTCCAAGTGCCGAGGCAACGCAGCGCAAACACGGATGAGATGAGATGAGATGAGATGCAATGGGAATCGGATGAACGGAGTGCGTGTCATTGCAGCTGTAATCATAATAGATGTGTGCGCGTACACGAAACATGGCGAGCGATGATTGGACGTCAAACATGGTGGAGATGGGATGAAGGAGACACAGAAGCGTGTGAAGGGATAAGAATCGTGTGCGAAAGGTATACTGCGAAGAGAGTGATTATGTACAGAACACACATGAATAATTTATGTTGTATGAACACTAGGAAACAGGGTCCTTGGGGTATTGACAACCACAGCACCAACGGAGAACGAACGGATTGCGTCGTGAGCAGCGTAAAGGGAACGTCAATCAGGGCCAACACGTAGGTATGATATGCCATGGGCGATGGGGCGGTGACAGGCAGAACGTAAGGGGACATGCAGTGGACGGAACAAGCAACCAAAACAGTGAAAAAACACCCGTCAACTCGAAACACATCCTACGACCCCGACCAGCTCTTCTCCTGCATGCTCCCTTTCGACGAATGATGCGACGCCGGCGGCACCTGCAGACTCTGTATTTCCTGTGGCCCGCCCAAAACCCATCCGTCAGCCCCATTCTCCATCGATCGTAACCGTATAAAGAAACGCACCAAAGCCTCAACACCCCGCTCGCTCGCCTCCACCGGCCCCCGTTTATTGCTGTTCCTGCTCCCCGTCGTCGTCGTCGTCGGCGACGTATCGTTCCCGTTATGCCGCTCCGGCTCATCCTCGTACTTGCCCATCGACTCCACCTCGCCCGAGCCTTCGATCCCGTGGTGAAGGCGCGATTCCTGTGCCGACGACCGCACATTCAGCGACCACCCTCCCAGTCCAGCATAAAAAATAAAATAAAAAATGAAGCACAGCTCCGTCCGTCCATCGCTCGGCACCGACGACAGAGCAGTGGTGCGATAGGAAGGTAGAAGAAGAAGAAGAACAACGCACCTCCTTCGAACTCAACCCCGCAAACCGAATCGTACTCGGCACAGGCGGCGTCGCGCCCGAAAACGGCCGCCCGGCAGGCGTCGACGAGCCCGTCGCGTTCGACTCCTCCTCGTAGATCCCCAGCCCGTGCCGTGCCTCGCGCGCGTTGAGCCTAAACCACGTTACATCGCCGTATCCGTATCCGGGGTGCGTTGAGATGCATCACACGCAATCGCCGGACGACGTGCGTCGTGCAGAACCGTTCGCGTCATCCGGCGAGGTAGGCGTATTAGGAATGCGCGGTGACGGGTCCATGAACGGGGACCGGCGAGGGCGAGGGAGGGCGCGGCGGTGTATTAGTCGGTTGGAGAGAACAGGGTATGTCAGCCGCGTATTACAGCGCAAGCTTAAGGGAATGTGGAGACACGCACAGAGCGAGGACGGTGTTTATGTAGACTAACCGTAAGTAACAAAGGACAGGTTGAACGTCAGCCAGGCTTGCTGTGGTATCAACGGACGATGAACGTACATTTAGAAGCGACGAGCTGAATCGGTATCCACAACGCCTTAGACGGTATCGCAGCAAACTACAGCACCCCAGAACACGCATCAGTCGACCGACGGAACATGTCCTTGCCAGTAGCGGGATCGAAAAACGCACCACGACAAGGTATCCTATCTGGAGCACCCTGCACGCCAGAACATCAAGTCAGCCTCGCCCATCCACAAGAACCAGAACAACCAAAAACGACGAACGTAAACCCAATCCCCCGGCTCGCAAACAGCGTCACGGCAGTCTCGAACGTGCTCTCTGGCCTAATAGCACACCCCAATCGCGTCCCACGTCCCACGTCCCACGTCCAAGTCCAAGTCCAAGTCCAAGTCCAAAGTAAGCCGACATACCCCACCGAGATAAAACAGACGAAACGCACATGAACACATCCGGAAACCGCGCCGGCCGCATGTAAAACACCATCGCACCGCAGATGACAAGGTCCGCCGCGCCCGCGGCCGCCTGCGCGACGATGACGACGGCGCGCTCGTGCAGCTGCGCGAGGTCCGCGAGGTTGCGCTGGTGGTATCTGCACACACGCGATGCATCTCGGGGTTAGTGATATGTTCGTTTTTTGTTTCGGTGATGGTTTGGGTATTGACGTGGGTTCAAGCGGGGGATGCGACTGTGTGAGAGAGAGACATGCAAGGACGTACATTTGCGCAGACATAGCTAGACGTTTGACGCGTTCGTATCGTAGAGATGGATCCATCTGTCAGCACAAACCACGACTCTATGCAAACAAAAATAGAGCCCGGCACTCACTTATCCCGAAGACTGAATGCGCGATATGAAAAAGAAAAAGAAAAAGACAAAGTTCGAGTTAGCGTCCGACGCATCAGAGATCATGGCAGCAGCGCATTCAGTTGCACAGGGAGTATTAATAATATAACAACAACAACAAAAAAGCGCGCGTGGACGCAGAGAAGAAATCCATTGCACGTGCAAAGCAGCTGCGAAACATATGACTCACCAAATGCGACGAACGCGAAAAAAGTCTTTTTAACACAACATGTATATCCGCATCCACGTTTACGTCGTATCAGCGCGCAGCGCGCATACAGCGGACGAGGCAGCTGGTGAGAAGAGCGTCGGGCGTGGATGGGATGGCGTGCGACTTACGATCGAAAGACTGAGGGGACGCGAGCGGCTGCTGACTGTGCATGGAAAGAAGAACGGTACCACGACGGGTGATCAGTTCTCCGCGCGTGCGTTCAGTGCGTCATCCAGGGGCACGTACCCGCGTATACTCGCAATACGAAGAACCTGAGAACGGAAGGGCGGGTGAGGATGAAGTGTTAAGGCTTTAGAGAGGGAGATGCGTGCTCACAGGTGGACGATGAAGGTGAGGATGGTCTGTGTTGATAGCATATTGCGATAACGATGGCATGCGGAAGAAGAGTGTAAGCAACGTTGTCGATTCGCGGTGCGCATATAGCCACTGAGAACGGGAAATGCGCACTCACGGAGAGGAGAAGCTCAACCTTGACGACGCAGATAACAGATTAACTCGTGCCGCTGACTATGCAAAACAAAAGAGACATACACATAGAGTGCTGGTTAGGGTCCCACGCACACACAAGCCAGAGAATAATTAGCACGGCCGCATTCAAACGACTAAAAGCATAATACAGAGGGGCGGGAGGACGGGTGGGGCGGGAAAGACATTCAGGGTGCGGAAGAGGGGATGCGGGTACTCACGTCGTGGCGTATATGGTGTCCATCTGCACCATAAACTGCGTGATGAGGTAGTGGTACACTCTAAAAGCAAAAACCATGTGCGTCAGCTTCTCTTCTCTTTCTCTCCTCTGACACCGCCTCTCCCTCGGATTCCAGCTGGAGCTCTCGTGCACCATACATCCCCGGGAGCGCAACTCCGGGGGCAATCAGGGAGCCAAGAGGTCACAGGTGGCATTGGGGAATGAATGGATAGATGGGTGGTACGCACACTTCGGAGACTTTATAGGGATGATGTGTTCAGTCGCTCCGGTCGCGCAAAGGGGACGGATGGAGAGGACTCACTGAGGGCTGAGGATGCCGTGTCTAGCAGGCTGCATGCGCCAGGGGCAGGTTGCTCAGCGTTGGGCGTCTGAAGGGGCTTCGGAGCGCTCACCATAGTGTTCCGACCTGTCAGCCGACGGGGGTGCGATCAGCGCGTGCACAGAATTGGATGGAATGGACACAGGGGCAGTTGGGTCAGAGAGCGTGAGCGTACCATGAGGCGGAGGTAGTAGCTGTCTTTTGGGAAGCGCGAAAAGTAGATGTATGCCTCTGCATGTGCACAATGCGCACGTTAGCGATGAGGCGAGGGGAGAGAAACGGACTACAGAGGGAAGTGAAGGGGACGCACGGAAGAAGGTGAGGCCATAGAGGATGATTGCAGCGACGAAGCCGATGAAGATGATGCCAAGGTTCTCAATCTCTGCGCTGGACGGCGCGGGCGTCGCCGAGGAGCTCATTGCATACGGTGGGCTATGAGGGGGTGGAGACGAAGAAAGGAGGGTCGAGTCGAACGGGGAGAAGGGAGAGCTGGAGTCGGAGGGCCTGCTTGGTGGTTGCGGGACGTGCAGTGGGCGACGAGCGATTCGGTGAGGAAGCAAAAGGGTTTTTACGGAGATATTTATGTATGCTCAGGCGTGCGGGGGCCCCATGCAAGGACAAATTGGACGGACGCTCTTCTTGCCTCCGTCGTTCTCACCACCCATACACTCGCAATGGCTGGGGTCAGGCGCGCGCGGTCGGCCGCTCTAGTTCAGTGCAGGTATGTTTGCATGGCAGAGAGCCTGTTCTGTCCTTATTCACGTCCTCATTGGTGCGCCCGCTGTCCGGTTCAGTGGGCGCCTGTGTTATGATGGAGTGGAAGTGGGGTCGTCAACCTGGGACACTAGACTGTACGTTTGCAATTGAGAAACTCTGGTGATAGCTTGGCAGCCTCCGCGCACATCTCCCAACGATGGCGTCTCCGGCGGAAGGATGCGCTAATCCGACTGCTTCGCCCATCCGTCCCACACTTTTCCCCACACCGTCACCTTCTTCCTCACACTCCCTCGGCATCCCTGCACCCTTCTATTACTCATGTCCTTGCACCAACTCTAACTTCCACGTAAAGACTGTAATCTAGAACCCAATAGCGTTCAAACTCAAACACACGACGATCCCAAATCCAATGCTCCTCGAGGCCGCCTTCCTCCTCGCCCTCGCAGGCTACCTCTACGCTATCCATGTCCGCATGCGTGGACCCGACCGCCCGAACGAGTTCACTCCCGAGCAGCTCGACAAGGTCCGGTGGGACGACATCGACCTGACCGCCAACGTCCCGCCCGCGACCCACAAGGGCTACGCAGTCGTCGGCGGCTCCGGCTTCGTGGGCACGTACGTTCTTCTCACTGTCACCCAGAACACATCAGAGAGCGCGTTATTAACGGTCTCGCCCATGCCCAATCAGATACCTCGTCCGCCTCCTCATCCTCCGCGGCGAATCCTCCATCCGCATCATCGACCTCCGCCCGCCCACCGACCCCACCGTGCTCGCCTCCCCCGCCGTCACCTTCGAGCCCGCCGACATCACCTCCCCACACTCCGTCTCCGCCGCCCTGCGCACGCCCTTCCCCGCCACAGGCGCCCCGCCCTCCGTCGTATTCCACACCGCCGCCTCCATCCGCTTCTGGGAGCGCGCATGGCACGCCTGGCCCCTCTCATTCAACGTGAACGTCCTCGGCACACAGAACGTCGTCGCCGCGTGCCGCGATGCCCTGCCGCGGGGCACGGTGCTCGTGTACACGAGCACGTGCGATGTTGTCCTTGCCGCGCGAAAGTTCTGCAGGCTTGGGTTCGACCGCGGCGTGTGGCCGTGGAGCCGGAAGGTGCTTAGTGATGGCGATGCGCCGCTGGGGCGGCACGAGGCGCATCAGTCGAATTATACGCAGAGTAAGATGCTTGCGGAGCGCGTGGTGCTCGATGCGAATGGGCAGAACGGGATGCGCGTGGGGATTCTGAGACCGGGGTAGTGCGTACTCCTATTTCTGCCCCTCCCCACTCTCGTTTCTGACGCAGATCTATGTGGGGATTGCAGTACGATCACAGGCCCAAACGACCGCCTCCTCGCGAGCTCGCTCACCCTCCCGCGCATCCCGACGATCGGACACCGCTTCAAACAGACGTCCATCTGCGTCTGGGACGTCGCCGCCGCGCACCTCTGCCTCGCGCACCGTCTCTCCCCTGACACCCAGAGTGGATGGACGAGAGGGCGCGGAGGACGCCGCAGGCCAAGCGTTCCTCATCACCGGCAAAGGCCCCGCCCGCGCGATCCGCGACGTCCGCTCCGCCCTCGCGCACTTTGCCCGGCGTGCGCTCGTGCTCGACGACGTCCCCGAGGCTATACTGTTCGTCCTCGCGCACCTCGTCGAGGCGCTGCTTTTTGTCCGGTTCTGGGCGCTGGTTCCTGTGTATCGGCTTCTGTGGGGCGGGGGAGCGAGGCCGGGTGCGGACCCGGGGTGGATGGGCGAGGGCGTGTATCTCCAGCCGCCGCTGTTTGAGTTTTTGGAGGACTGTGTGGTTGATGATGCGAGGGCGAGGAGGGTGTTAGGGTGAGTTCTCGGGTGGAGCTGTGTTCGGAGCGGTTTTACTGACGTGTTGATTGTTGTGGGTGTGTATAGGTACGAGCCGCAGTGGACGGTCGAGGCGACGGCCAAGTACGCGGTGGATACGATGGCGAGGGAGAAGGCGGGTGGAGGGCATGGGTTGCAGATGAAGCGGTGAACGTGCCGCTCAACGTGTGGTGGTGTTAGGGATTAGGATGTACGGTATTGTCACTTGGTATCAGGCCGCTGGCGGTCGTGCTGGTATTTATGGCGCGAGTTCTTGGATATAATACCTGGCCTATTGCAAAAACCCTGGCACTAGCAATCCCAAGAATAAGCGCCATGTTACTGCGAGCTCACGATGAAAAAATACTGGACCCGTGGGAACGATCCGCGATAACATTGATTGGGCACTTGAAAGGGCCAAGCGCGAGTGTGCAGGTGATTCATGGCTGGACATACAGTTTTGATGCTCATTTTGACTACATTTCAGCGGCTAAAACTACATGACAAAGTCAAGCGTTGATTTCAACGGAGGATATTTATGAAAGCGCGTTAGGATCAATAACTCGAAGATAAATAACTAATCAACTAGCAAAATAAAATAAAAAGAGCATCAATCTGAAAGTTTTCTATGGAGACGCCGATATTATGCTACAGTGGGGGAGAAGTACGATTGTTAGTAGCATGGATCGAGCAGACCAGCATCTCCATATATTAAGATAAAGGTAGTATAAGGTTCGCAATGTTGAGCTAGTAGTATGTCCACACTAATTAGCATGCCGAGGCACTGAATTGCCACAAGCCAACACAAGGTTACAATTGTCCTCCTGACGCGTTTAGCCTTTAAGTCTGTGAGGCGGTCTTGCAAGAGACCGCGATGCAACCTTGCCATTTAGCCATCGGATGTCGCCACCTTTTGCGGCGTCATGGTACCAATGGAGGCAATGCTCAATGGAACCTATGTTTATCAAGCCACCATCTTTGGACGTATATGACAGGCGATTTCGTTCCAAAGACGTATTTTAAGTGCCCAATTGCAACAGAGGTAGTAAGTCGTCACTATAGTTTGACTTTAACACCTTTTTAGATCCAGAAGAATATAAATCTCAGGTTCAACGATCAAGCGTAATTACCGATAGAGATATCTCAACGCAATATTTATTGCACGCCAGGGCTGCCTTCATCGGTTGGCACTTACTCGGCATCTCTTCGCTGAACCTGTGATTTGCCGTATAGCTCGGTCGGCAACTTGACGAAAACATCGATGCATTACTGGATGTGGCTCTTACGCGGCCACCTTGCGTTTTCCAGGCGGACCGTCAAGCACGGGGGCTCTTAGCGGACTATTCTTCAGCCACAGTACCACGATAGTCATGAGGCTTTCTCTTCGCCGTTCCAACGTGGAACTTAGATCTGACCTTTTCGTGATCAGATACTGCTTGCAGAGTACCAGGCTTTAAAACCAACTTCATAATTGAGCTGGTTTTGTTGAGAGTGCGATGGTACCAAAGTGCTGTGGGATAAAACCTGAGCGCATCTCATGTATACAGTCCTTTGATATTTGGCATCAGAAGGTAGATTTGATGTACTTGAGTGCTGGATCGGAGCGGAGGCGTGTGTTATTTGAGGTACCCGTGGCACTCCGTGGCACAGCCGGCGCTTCCAGTGAGTGTCAGTTAACAGCGGTGTTCAACAGCAATCTTTTTCAGTTCCTCACGTTCCCACCTCGACCATGACATCCATTGCGAACATGCTCTTCGTTCCATTCTGGCGTATCCTCCCGGAGATCGTCTTGTATGGTTAGATATATCTTAATGCTATTGATTTACGATTTACTCATGCTGGGACTCATGTTTGACTTGCAGGATCGTTCGCGGTGCTGCTCGCTCTGGACATCTACATTATCGTGACCCGGCGACGGCAGGCTGGTAGACCTCTCGCAAAGGCCAATATCATCGTTCTCATCGTCGGCTGCCTGATGTTTGTGGTGGCAACGCTGGTAAGCATCATATGCTTTCACAGACGGAAGAGACCTCACGCAGACCTCACGCTTGTCATAGCATATCTGCTCCTCTTTGTACAATGCCTACTTTGAAAACTTTCTCCAGGCAGTGGCTGCGTTGTCTCTAAATATCCTCCAAACTATAAATTCTGAAACTGTCGGGATGAAAATCGTTATCCCCGAAGAAATTCAGATGGCCGCTTTTGTTGTGCAGCTCTGGCTGGGGGATGGATTTATGGTACGTCTTCTAGATGATAAGATGGTATCCCAATCACAGTTCAAACGTTCACCGTCCATCATCAAAATGTAGCTGTACAGGCTCTGGAAGGTCTGGAATAATGATAAACGCGTTGTCATACCTGTCTCCGTTGGGTTTATCGCCAACATTGGTGAGCACCTCTAAGCTTTAGGAGACCGAGTCCGATTTTAATTTGATATCACCTAGTCATGGGGATTGTCTTTTTATACACGTACGGCCTCGATATTGCCGAATACGAAGGAACGGAGATGTCCGAACTTAACTTCAAATTCTTGCATACCATGATGATGCCTGTGAATCTGTCTGTGTATGCTGTTAGCTTTGTAGTTCACGTTAGCTGCACAGGTAATCCGCATTCAAGCTCTTCAACTCGGGCGAGATGATTTGACGAGATTATTCCCAACAGCACTAATTGCGGCGAGGATATTCCATATTTACCGTCACATACGCCAGCAAGTACACGGTAATTGGTGCACCAATCCCATGGCTGTCGCGATTACCCTGATTGAATCTGGCGCAATGTACTCAATCTCGATGCTCATTCTTCTTGTGGTATTTGCAGCAGAGATGGAAACAGATATGACATACTCCCCCATGGTCATGAATGCGGTGAGCGTGCAATCATTTTTGGCATGGTTCCGGATTGACATGGCACGCTACGTTGGACAGATTGTGCCGATAGTTGTGAGCCCCGTCACTTCACTCATAAATGATTAATCAGAGTCCACTTAAGTTACTCACAGGGAATTGCATTCTCACTCATCGTCATCCGGATGGGCCTGGGTATAACAACGGAAATGCAGCCCCAACCATCGGAGACCAGGAAGACTGTCGCGAGGAGTGCCGCAGGGTCCAACTCGATAGCTACAAACTCGATTATGCTATTTGCCCAGGGCTCTTCGACGAACACTGTGGATCCTGAAATGAAGACGTCCTTTTGAATCAAGGTGGCAGGAGGACGAACATGTGGAACTAAGTCAGTACATGACGGAATAGACTTATCTATTTTCAGTCAGTTGTACGATTAGAAAAGTAAAGTTTACTAGTGCAACCGCAAAAACATCTTTTCTGTGCAAAAACAGGGTAAATATCTGTCAAATTGAGGAAGTTGCCTATTTTCCTATCCAGAAAAGGCTTTGTCTTAGGCGCAATGGCGACTTTCCTTGTGATTTTTTTTTCGGTCAAGCTCGGGCCGAGGAGGCCGAGGCACGGGAGGCGCGGGAAAGCGCCGCACCCTGATCAATTTGATCGCCCTACATGCGTTGACTCCTGATGCCACCTACTTTAGGCCTAGGCTTGAATGTACCTACGACTCAATATGACTCACAACGCTCTCTCGCTACATTAGTTCATTGCAACGTCCCATCTAAAGCTGAAGCACTGAAATACTCATTTTAGATCTTTGCACTGCTAGTCGTTGAACACCACTGCTTCCAACATACACACGAACAACGTCAACATGAATGCGAACACAAAGTACTCAGACATGTCAGGCTCTCCGCCCATTCCGCCGCAGGCGCCACCGACGTGGACCTACACGCCCGAGCATGTGGTCGCCCGCGCGCAGGATGCGATCGCGCAAAAGAAAGCGGTCAACGATCGCATCGCTGCGCTTGCGGATCACGAGTGCACATTTGATTCGGTATGTCGCAATTTGAGGCTTGCTCATGTGGTTGCAATCACTCATGCGTGATAACGGCGCTCTAGGTTTGCGTGCGTACACTATGCTACTCTAAGAACGTGCGCTCACCACTGTAACAGATCCCCATCGCTCTCGCCGAAGGCCTCCTCGACAGCATCGTCGATCCCCTTTGCTTCCTACAACATGCAGCCCCAAACGAGGCACTGCGCACCGCCTCCGCCGAAGCGAGCACGCTCGTGAGCGACTTCAAGGCGGAGCAGTATATGCGCCCCGAGCTCTTCCGCGCTGTCACCTCCGCACACGACCACCTGAAGTCGTCGGGCGCCTGGGATAAGCTGGGTTCGGAAGAGAGGAGATTGATTGAGCGGATGGTGCTCGATGGAAGGAGAGAGGGGCTGGGGCTGGACGAGGAGGGAAGAGATGCTCTGAAAGCGATGAGGAAGGAGGAGAGGCGGGCGAGCATGACGTTTTTGGTGAGTATCTTACGTCCCACCAATCCGATATGAGTCATTGAAACGGAACATCACGTGGTTTTTGTAGAAAAACTATAGCCAATCTACTGTGCGTTCTCGCCCTATGTCTTTGGCAGGAAGCATCGAGTGACGGCTGTTGAATTTGCAGGCATCCATTGAATTCACCACTCGAGACCTCGACGGCGTCCCGGAGGACGTCCTTTCTGGATACCCCACCAAAGACACCGACGTGGGCAAAGTCCACATCATCACGTTCAAGAACTCCGATATCCTTCCCGTTGTACGCACATTTATCGTGTTCATACTCCTTTTGTTAACTGACGGGTACCGCATCGTCTAGCTCAAGTTTGCACATTCACCCGAGACGCGCAGACGTGTGCAGGAAGGCATGGACTCGTACATACCCGAAAACGAGGCTCTCTTTGAGGAGGTGATCAAGCTCCGCCGCGACATGGCGCGTGTGCTCGGGTACAAGTGCTGGGCGGACTATGTGCTCGAGGTGATGATGATCAAAGGGAGCGAGAAGGCATGGGCGGTGTGTCTCTCCATTCTCCCCCCAATTTCCCTCATCCTGATGGTAAATGGTGGTGCTCTGAAGTATATGCAAGACCTCGAGGCGAAGCTGCTTCCTTTCGGCCAGAGGGATCGCGAGCGATTCCTCGAGCTCAAGAAGGAGGAGCATGAAAAGCGGGGATATCCGTTTGATGGCGAGCTGTACATATGGGACTACTGGTATGTCATTTAACCCAACGATGTTGCATATCCCAATGCTGATGCGCCTTCCCAGGTACTACGATCGACTCTCCGTTGAACGGTCGCTCAAGCTCGATGAAGGCACTGTTCGAGAGTATTTCCCGGTCGAAAACACGATCAGTGCCATTCTTGACATCTATCAGGACCTTCTCGGGCTGAAATTTGTCGAGGCAGGGTACGGAGAGGCCGACGTTTGGTATCCAGGTGAGATTCACACTTAACCTGGGCAACTTGGGAGCTGTTAGCTTACGTTGATACGATACTTAGGCGTTAGGCAGTTCGCGGCGTGGGATAGGACTTCCGACGGCGGCATCGACGAGTCGAGCTTTGTCGGTTACTTTTACATCGATCCTTACCCTCGGCGTTCGTTCTCCTTCTCTCCTCCTTCAATCTAACTTCGCCTTACATCTGCACGTCTGGCTCAGCGTCCAAATTCCCGCACGCAGCCGTCTGGTCGCTGCTCCCCGGCTGCTCCCTGACGCCTACGCAGCGCGTATATCCAGTCGCGGCGCTGCTCGCCAACTTCCCGCGCGAGACGCCGAGCGTGCCCGCGCTGATGCGACATGCGGAGGTGGTCACGCTCTTCCACGAGATGGGGCATGTGTTTCACAATATCCTGAGTCGGACGCGGTTCGCAAGGTTCCACGGGACGTCGGTGAGCAGGGACTTTGTGGAGACACCGAGCAAGATGTTGGAGTATTGGTGGGCTGTGTATTCTCATCAATGGGCCAGGGCCACTGACGTGTGCGATACTTAAGGTGCTGGGAGCCCAAGGTGCTGAAACGCATCTCTAGCCATTACTTGACGAAGGATCCGATGCCTGATTCGCTCATCGACAAGATTGTTCAAAGGTATGCTGCCATTTCCTAAGTTGTTATACTTTGAGTCCGATGGAGTTTTCGTCGCCAACAGTCGATATGTCAACTTCGGTTTCCTCTTCCTCCGTCGTCAATTCTTCGCCAATTTCGACATGAAGGTCCATTCTGATCCTGGTACGTATCTTTACATGAACAAATATGATTTTGTACACCCTGACTCAGCTTCTTTTATGTTCACAAAGACATCGACGATTTTACGAAGCTCTGGCAAGAGACGCGTGAGAACACTACACTTGTCAAGGGTGGCGGGCAGCCCGGGTATATCGCGTTCCCGCACATCATGGGCGGGCAGGATGCCACTACTTACGGGTAAGACTCGATCTATCATAATCTCATAGCTTCGAAAGCCAGTCTCATCACAATGCATCCGTACACAGATACACGTACTCCCTCGTGTTCGCGTCGGACATGTACAATACCATGTTTAAAGAGGATCCGCTGGACCCCGAGAAGGGCAGGAGATACAGAGAGAAGGTGCTGCTGCCTGGTTCGACGAAGGATGAAGAGGAACTGCTTGCTGTTCGTTTTGTCTACCGCTTTTTTGCTTGTGCGCGTCAGCTGACTTCATGGGCCGACAGGACTTCTTGGGGCGGCCTGCGAATGCTGAGGCGTTCTCGCATGAGCTGTTTAGTCAGTCAGCCTGATTCTGCTGGCGCGGTGCAAAGCCATGAGTGCCTGGATTTCTATATTGAGCCCAAGCTCGGATTATTATACAATCGCACTGCTGTGACGTGCGAGAACAAATAGCAATGAACGACCCGAAGGAACTCGAGAAATCGGGCGAGGCTGGGCGAATAATGCCGTTGCAACCTTGTAAGGAGATCTACCCGAGTATAGCTTGTCTATAGACTACATACTTAGCGGAGCAACGGACTAGCCAGCTGCGGAACAGATTATGTAAAAAGACAAAGTAAGGTATGCAATCACAAGAGCGCTCTGTATGGACTAATCCCGCCACAGGGGCTACTAAAACATCTTTGAAGCAAAGCAAGTAAGAGATATAACCGACATAATCTCGTCCAGTCAAGACATTGTACATACGTGATTAACTCAGTGCCGTAACGCAAGAAAAGTGAGAAGGAAAGACAATATTTGTAGTGAAAGTGACCGTGATGGAAGTACAGCAAAGCGTGCGCGAACCCCTAAGACGGGTGTCCGGTGCAAAACATAGCCTCCCTATTTTAAACCTTAGTCGGTGCTGGCAACATGGTGATCCAAATTCCGAAAACTCACGTTATAATTAAGCTAGCACACAAGATTGCGAGTCGATAATCGTGCGAGGTTGAACGTTGAGCATGGTGGGCTCGTATTCTGACGAACCCCATTTGAGTATCTCTGCGTAAAGTGCTTCCAGGTCACTGCACATGACGAAGCCAGCCGCTTCGAGAAGAGCTACAGCGTGCAGCGTCCAGGTTTTGCATGTTAAGGCAGGATATCCGGGTGGGATCCGGTTCAGTGGCATGCCTCCGAAGACCTTGTCTAGTTTCGCTATGTCATTGGCTATACAGTGGCCAATACGCATAAAACCAATAAGAGCTATCGATTTCATGCAGCGGGAGCTTTTGCCATGATCAGTAACCCAGAAACCGGGCGCTCCATTCTTGATATGATATTTGTAGCCTGATGCACTGTCACGGTGATGGTACAATCCCCAATGGTACGTAGCCTCGGGTGTGTCCCGCGCCCACAAACCCAGGTAGAGCGCTCCAACCTTAAATCGGTTGTCGATAGTGTTATTGGGGTAAGACATAGAGCAAGGGTAACTCTGAATAGTGTGGAGGGATGAGGGGATAAAGATGGGAAGACTCAGAAAGCATCGGATTTATATGGGAGCCAAACTCTGTGACACGGCTACTGTCTTCTTCCCAGTTAAAATGTGACTCAGCTGCCATCTTTTGGGTCGCCCTTTTGCGCGTCTGAAAGAGGAGAGCTAAAGTCCTTTGAGTGGTTTTTCTTGTCACCTTTGCTACCCTCAATAATCTTCCCAAGCCTGTTATTGGCCTGTTAGCGAGATCACCGCTTTTAAAAAAACTTACGGTAATGCCATTGCAATATTTGGGACTCTTAAGGACTGAGCACGGTGTGCTGAGCAGCGGATTCACGTTGATGAAACTTAAGCAACATAGATTTGATGTGAGCACAAGGCGCTGCTGTCTGGGTGCTACTTTAGTAATCTCATGGAATGAGAATCTGAAATCCCGATCTTCTTGCTGAACGTTGAGATCATGAGATCTCTAACAGACCCTTTGATTTATGGTGTTAATAAACCCGTAATTCCGATGTACTTATGAGACGAAATAGAACACCAGTTCCATCAAACGGCCGAACCTGAATAAAGCATGAGCACTTGAGCCTCAAAGCATAGCATTAGCTCAATCCGCGGTAATGCACAAGCGATAATGCGTAAAAAGAGACGTAGAATGTAAAGTAAGGTATCAACCGAAAGTGAATCAAGCACTAGAACGGCAAGCTACTAGTGTACAGCTCCTGCAGAACGTAACCTGCGTCCGTCAATTGGCTCCTAACGATTCTGGAGCCATGGCGTCATAAAATACGTAAGTGAGAAGCCGTGCATAATGAAAGCGTCCGACTCACTATCCAATGCTCAGCGTGTCTGCGGTGAGCTGGAATACCCCGCGGTACCCCTTCACCTCCTCAGCATAGGCGCCCGATGTAACCCCCTCACTCATGAACGCACTCCATGGACGCCTGCTATAGACTGCCGCAATGCTAACTTCCCAGTAGTCAGGGAGCCACGCTGCCGCCTCCCAATCTACTATGCCAGTGATACGCCCATTGGCGTTAACAAGGATATTGTGAGAATTGAGGTCACCGTGTGTGAAAACGATGGCATGACGAGGTAGTGCAAAGAAGCGTTCAGCAGCAGCATGCGCATCCTGAGAGGACGCGTCCTTGCTAGCAAAGTCCACATAACATTTGAATGCTTTGTAAAATTCTGCTTCGTCGGCGCTTGGAGGAAGGGGCCCCGCCGGCACCAAGGGACCATATACGGGTCCACCATCAATGCCGCACACAGCATCTCCCCAAGGGCTTTCGAAGCGACGCATCAGCGTGAGGATGCGAACAAGGTCCTCTTTTACCCCCTCCAGTCCAACATTGCCACCTGATTGATCGAGCACCTTCCCTGGTAGGCGCGTCATAAGCAGGGAAGGAAACGCCGTATCGCGGTAAGACGGAGGTGGGTCGCCATATGAAATGAATTTAGGCGCCGGAACACCCATTGCGCGCGCAAGGTTCATAGCGAGACCTTCTTGCTCGCGGAGATTGGGGCAGCTCTTCAAGATCAGTCCGAAAGGAAGAGGGAAAACAGCAAATTGTCTCGGGATACCGCGGATCTCACAGTACCAGTTGGAGAGTGGTTTCAGCACCCACTCATGGATGAAGAAGCATAAGCTGCTCGTGAGGGTTGAAGAGGGGGGGCTTATGGGAGGACATGGAAGAGGATCTTGGTGGAGGGGGGTCATAGGAAAGAGAGGCTTGATGCGAGTGAAAGTTGGAGCCATCGTGGTGGTGCAGACCAACGCGCGTCAGGGCGCGTTGGGGACATGTGAGTTTTGAGTTCCCACGACCAAGAATAAGCGCTAAGCGACCAAAGCTCCGCGCCAGGCTATATGTGGCGCGCGGTGATCCTAGGGCACTGACATCCTCAATCATTCCAGAGATGTAGAAGCTCCGGAGCTCAGAGAGTAGCAGTCGCACGCACCTTATGTGTACCCACGGATCCCTTCCAGAGCTGCCCTCAACTCGCAGGAGTATGGATTTTGGATGTTGCACCGGCATGCGAGAGTACCCCGCCGGTATCCTCGTTCTCTCAATTTTAACCAGAACAGATCTTTGATGGCAGTCAAAACGTCCTAATCGATATCGCCGCGATGCGATGGTTTGAGTACCCATTATACGCGTCTGATTCAGCCAAGGAGAATAATATTGACCTGCATTAATTGTGTATAGCCAACATCCCGCCTTTCAGTACAATGAATACGAGCTTGACACCTCTGAGATGATGCTAATGCAAGGGTAACATACACCCATGAACAATACATACTAAGGATAGATTGAGTATTTGACAGTCCGCGTGGTGGGGTTGATTACTCGTCGCGTCGAGTTCCTTTTTGTGTAGATTTGCAACTCGCCTCGTAAATGCATCATACCACACAAGTGTCTGCAGCTGTCGGAAAAATCAGTTTCCCGTGGCAACGCATCTAAATGCGTGCCGACGTTTTCGCTACCCATTTAGACGCGTCGGCGACGGCAAGGACCATTCCAGGCCGTTTCGACGGCATTGCGACGCGTCCCGATGAGCGAGAAGCCAATCACGATGCATCTGTATGACCAAAATTAGCCAAAATTCTTATTATCTCGACGTCTCAATGGTGTTGCAACGCGTCTCAACGAGTGAATGGCCGCTTAGACTCGCTTGGACGCAGTGGCGACGGGGGGTCTTGGCTTTCGTCGAGACGCCCATTTTGACTTTTCCGACAGCGGCTGTGGCGAGAATGTGCGCGAGCCAGCTGGTCTTCCAATACAATGAGATTCTGCGCCTTGACCTCAATCGTTCGTGTTTCTTGCTGTTGCCGCCGTCCGACTCGTGCCGGCGGCTTCGACCCCAACGCACGCAGCTATAATAGCGCCGGTGCGTCGTCGTAGGTCGCCGTTGACAACGTTGAGCAAGGGCGCATCACCGGGCTAGAAGCGGTGGTGCCTCGATAAGGCGGAGTCAGCTTTATGCCCGTTTATGGCAGCTGATTTCAAACTCCGGTTTGTCGCGTTCTCGTGTTTCCTCTCCGCGTTCCCCCTTCCCTCTTTTCTTTATTTTCTTCCGGTGGAGGGCACTGCTGCCCCGGTCCACATCACTACAGGACATCCGCAGCCTCGTTACTGTGGCTCGGGGAGATACGCTCAGGCGAGGGCTCGCCAGACATCTGCTTTGGACAAGGCAATCTTTGTCATCCCTCGCCTCCATTATCTCTCCCGATCCATGCACCGGCATGGGTCGGCTTGGGCGTGGGCATCTACGACGCGTCAGTGCACGCCCTAATAAACACACGACCGCGCCAAGCGCAAAGGCACAAAAACCTGCTAGATAGCGCGTCAAGTATGCGCCGTGCGGCCAACAATCGACACATGCCCTACGGGCGACTCGGAGATGTGTCTCTAAAGTATACATATTATCCTCAGTCGGATGGAGTTTGCAAGGTTTTATGGGACATCAATGCGCAAGGGCTTTGTGGAAACTCCAAGTAAGATGCTGGGGTATTGGTGGGCCGCGTTCTCTCTAATCTGAATCCGGGTAATTGACAGGGTGAGATTCGATCCATGAAAGTGTGTCTCATAATCATGCATCCATACACAGATACACATATTCCCTCGTTTTCACGTCGGATATGTACAATACCATGTTCAGAGAGGATCCGCTGGACCCCGAGAAGGGCAGGAGATACAGAGAAAAAGTGCTGCCTGGTTCGACGAAGGATGAGGAGGATCTGCATGCTGTTCGTTTGATTTACCGCTTTTTTGCTTGTGTGCGTCAGTTGATTTCGTGAGTCGACAGGACTTCTTGGGTCGGCCTGCGAACGCTGAGGCATTCTCGCAGGAGCTGTTTAGTCAGCCAGTCTGACTCAACTGTTGCGGTATAAAGCCATGGGCATCTTGATCTTATAGACCCGTTTGTATCCAAATGCGATCTTTACTTGTTGTACAATGACGTATTTTGATCAGACCTTGCCGATAGCATCCGCATCCTCAGGATTCGCGTACCCTCGAACTGTAAGGCAGTGAACATGCGGCGGTTCCGCCGCTTTCGCAAGGAAATCTATCCGGCATACCTTCCCGGTGATTCTCCTCGATTGGTTCGAAGCGGAAATCCAGATTGCCAAACAAGAGATTCATTGCAACCCTTCAAACTCCCTTCACTTCTCGCCTTCTGGAGGTACGGGCGCTTCAATTTGTTGGATTCTCAGTTCGCAACCGAGTTATGTACACCTGCAGCTCAAGCCCTGGCATTTCTGCAGCCTTTGCCTTCACTGTGTGCAAGGTACCGCTGCTAATATCATCTTCACTCCACAGATGCGTTGTCGGAGCGTTGTGGTCGGACGTTGTGTCTGCATGGCGCGTCTGACTACACGAACTCACTCCTGACTTTCACCTCGTCCCCAGCACACTATTCTTAAAACGCTCCATTCTGGGGTGTTGCGCAATGCTCTGATCCACGACACTCCTGATCGTGGCTCGGTTTCCCGACGCATAGGACCATCTAGCTATCATGCCGGGAGCGGCTTCGCACGAGAGCTGCACGGGAGCGATAATTGGTCTCGGACGTCCGTTATTTTAGTGTCAAATTCTCGATGATCGTTTACTCTACGATCAGACCTTCTTTTGGGGCCCTTACAGCTGTGGGTCCCTTTCGAAGCCGGTGCAGACGATGTCAAGGCTTACTTAGGTCTTCCACTTCCAAAGAAAAAGGTGCCTGGCGCATGAAGTTCAATAACGGGAGACACTGGCTCTCTTGAACGTCCTAGATTCATTTCTTCTTGGTAACTTTCACACGAGCGGCTTTGCTAGGGATCTTTTTTTCGTGCGATGAATACGGAAGTAAAAATCGGTAGGCGGTGCTGATGCAGCCAATCACCGGAGTTTCTCAAGGATATTTATTCTGACGGTGTTCCCAAAATAAAGCCCCACCTCCATGCAGCTGCTCGCCAAAAGCGAGGTACGTCGACGATGCTAAAGGTATAAAAGCTGGACAGAGGACGCTCTCGTTTCTCCAGCTTCTTCTTCCACTTCATCTTTGGCTCACCTGGTGCTGGTCGGTGGGTGATCTCGGCATTAAATGATGCCACCCGTGTAGCTGACGCCGGTGCCTTGGCAGCCTTCTTTCCAACTCACTACTTTCATTCTTCGGATTGTCTTTGCATTTTATTCTATTTTTATTCCGAGAATCCCACATAAATAAGCGTTATCATCATGAAGACTTCCGTGTTTGCTCTCATTTCACTCGTCTCGGCCGCGGCTGTTGTCGCACCCAGCTTTGCTGCTCCAGTTCCCAGGTTTGTTCGGCTAAATAGGGGCTCAAAAACTCGTGCTAACATTTGTCTTTAAAGTGGGGCGTCGAGTGCCGCATCCAGTACTGTGACCACAGCGGCTGGAGACATTGACAATCTCATCAACAGCATCGTCTCCCAGGGCACAATATCGTCGAGCGTCGCCCAAGAGCTGACTCAGCTCGTCAAGTAAGAGATAGTATTCTCAGCCTTTCCTCTCGCTAACACGCATTTGCAGCTTGACCGCCTCCGATATTGAGAATATTGTTGGTTCATCCACGAGCAGTGCGACGAAGCGCAATGATCTGCCTGACGGGCTCACCCTCACGATCCCGACCTTTGACGAGCGCGATGTTGACGACGTCAAGAAGCGCAGCAATACGACTGGCGTTGCGAAGGCTGCTACGAAGGGATCACCAGTATCATCGACCATCTCCACTTCCGCGGCACCGATGAGACCGAGGTCGAGAAACGAAACAACGCGTCCGCTGCTGCAAAAGCTGCCACCAAGGGCATAACGAGTATCATCGACCACCTTCACTTCCGCGATGCTGACGACACCAACGATTCGGACATTGAGGCGCAGAGCAACACATCCAGAATAGCAAAGGCGGCCACGAAGGCTGTCACCGGTATCATCGACCACATCCATTTCCGCGACGTCGACGAGCCTGAAGTCGAGAAGCGAAACAACGCCTCTGCAGTTGCCAAGGCGGCCACGAAGGGTATCACTAGCATCATTGACCACATCCACTTCCGCGACGTCGAGGCTCAAACCGATTCCGACACGGGGGCTCAAAACTTTACACGACCGTGGCGCATCATTTCTAGCGCCCCCGTCGACCCCGACACCGGCAAGCTCATCCGTCGCGAATTATCCTCCGACCTCTCCGGGCTCGAGCAAGAGATCGAAGCCGGGCTCAGCGGACTCCTCCAGCGCAAGCGCGATTTGTCATCGGAGCTCAGTGGGCTGGAGCAGGAGATCGAACAGGTGCTTGGGAAGCTCCCTAGACGTCGCAGCGTAGACCTTGATTAAGTTTTAGTTCATGCTGTTGAGGATCCTCCCTAGTACCTCTCATGATGTACGAAGCTCATGGTAGAAGCTATTTATCTATGCTTGGGAAGAAGATTTTGTGAAGGCTAATTTATTTTTGACACCTCCCAAAATGAGATGCCGGATGAATGCATCCCAACCTCATTGCTCGACCGGTCGAGCGACGTCCCAGGAAGGCATGTCATAAGCAGTGATGGAAAGGCAGTATCGCGATACGATGGAGGCGGGTCACCAAAAGAGATGAATGTATGTGCGGGAACACCTATCACGCAGGCGACGTTCATGACGAGACCTTCCTGTTCGCGGAACGTGCACGGGGACAGCTCTTGATGATGAGACCAAAGGGGAGAGGGAAGACAACGTATGATCCGGAATGCCGCGTATACCGCAGTACTAGGTCGAGAATGGCTTTAGTGCCCACTCGTGGATGAAGAAGCATAATCTGTTGGTAAGCGCCGAAGGTGAACAGCCTAAGGGAGGACATGTAAGAGATTCTGTGGCGGGGAGTGCTCTACTGAAGAGACGCCTGAAACGAGTGACTTCTAGAGCCATCATTATGGTGTAGAAAACCGCGCGTCTAGTTGCCAGTGGGCGTTTGAAGGCGTTTGAGTTTTCGGATTCAAAGGTCCGAGGACCGAGCCGGGTTTAGGCGCCCATCCCAATGAGTCCGCATCCGCATCATGATCACGACTTGCCCGAAGCCGGACATTTCGGGCTTCTTGCTGCATGAGGTGACTTACTATCTTCCAAGATCAGCGGTCTGTAGCAAGAAGCTGGGCTGAAACGTTCAAGAAACGCTGAGGCCAACGGCTAGCTTTTCAAGCGATCTCACTTATATGTTCAATCCCTGATGGGAATTTACGAATAGGCGCCCGCATACAGCCTGTGGCGCTGCCCCAGTAACGGTGCACGGCCCAAACTTGGGATTGCGACCATCGCCAATGCTATGTTTAAAAATACGCGTTTCAGCTGGTAAAATCAAAGAGAGGGAGAAACTTGTGATGATTCAGACGATACGCTTCCTGTGCGCCTGATCTCCCCTTCTCTTTGTTGTCAACTTACGTTGTGATACGAGGGACTCTCTGGGTCAACTCTTAACACTGTCTGTCACAGGGCCGTCTCACCGAAGCTACAGTGTGCTCGCGTGTTTATCGCAATGCTCTATATTATTATGTTATTGATGCTACACTCAACATGTGGGTCATCTGCCTACTATTGGTGGGCTAAGCTGAATGGATCACGTTTTGTCAAGGACCCGATCTATGCCAGAAGAAGCATTGTATTAGAGAATCCCAGCAAATCAGTGAAGATGCTGCACTGCGCCACGGGCATACTTCGATGAAATCCCACCGCCACTTTTGTCGCCTCAATATGACTTAGTACGCACATTGTCGGATCTTTGATAGTAGCAAGAAGGGTGCTAATTTCAGGGCACTCATCGCCTTCGATGGGATGTTCTAAGTATCTACGATATGTTCGTTGTCCTTCCCACGATGAAAGTTCTAGACTTTAAACGAGCAAATCAGCCACTAGAGATTCGCAGAATTTGTATGAATTATCAGACGCGCGCGAGGTTGTCTCATGAAGACTTTGAAGTAGTCATCTGGGCAAGAACAGTGTGCCTGCGTAATGAATTACGGCTATTCATGCCCTTGTTGCTATTCTACGGCTCTTCTATTTCTGAGCGCGCGCTTACTCACTTCATTGTTTCAGGGTGACAGGCAATCCATTTGCCTGATAGTGGCTCGGGCCGACTGTACTTGCGCTTGCTCACGCGTTTGTCGGCGCACACGTTGAATATGTGCTACATATTGGTCTTCTAACATCCTCATGTCGGGTGCTAGATAATGCTATCTATTCTTCCGACAATTACTTGACCAACCCCTCGTATATTTCCAATAAAGACAAAGTATGACGTAGCTTGATTGTAGTAGTAGAGTACTGTCAATATACTTATATTTTCTCGAAGAAAAAAGGCGGAGAACCTCTATTAGTGCTTTTGTAGTGCGTGAAGCTAGTATCAATTCGCACCTTTCGGCACGATGGACGCGCGATGGACGCCCTTGGGTGATGTTGACGCGAGGGTCGCAGGTCGTGAGTGATGCTCAAGGATCTTAGGTCATGCTACTTGCCACAAGTAATTTCACCTCTGGTACAAGTAATTCACCGGGGTCAGGAACAGAGTCGGCCCTTGGGGTATAAAACATCGATAGCAATCGTTCTCGTTTCTTCAGCCTCCTCTTCTACTTCATCTTCGGCTCACTGGTGCTGGTCAGTGAGTGAACTCTCAGATTACACAACGATTAATGCATGACTGACAATATGGAACCCTCTAAAGCCTTTTTTCGATCCAACTCATAACTCTCGTTCTCAACTTTACCTTTATTTGGGTTTTATTCTCGACCTTCCCGCTTTTCGGCCATCAAAACAACATCATGAAGACTTCCACGTTTGCTCTCGTCTCCCTTGTCGCTGCCGCGACTGCCATTGCTCCTGGCTTTGCGGCCCCTGTTTCTAGGTCAGATATTTTGAAATGTTCTGGGTAACATTGACTGACATGTTCGGTGCCTTATAGCTCTACGACCTCTGCTCCTGCTGCATCGAGCACTGTAAATGCAGTGACGAGTGACCTAGACGGTCTCGTTACCAACCTTGTCAACCAGGGAACCATCTTGTCCAGCGTCGGCGAGGAACTTAGTCAAATCGTCAAGTAAGCGATAACATTTGTATTTGTTTGGTATGCATTCTGACCAAATTATCACAGCTTAACCTCCGTGCGCATCAGCAGCATCTTGAATTCCACAACGAATGGCCTGTTGAAGCGCGACAACTCCACCGTTGGCGATATCGCGGGAGAGGTTGCCACCAAAGCCACCGGCGATGCCCTCGGTGACGCTGTCAAAGCAGCTGCAAAGGAGATCTTTGGCCGCCTGCACTTCCGTGACGTCGACGCTGGCGATTCCCATTTCGCGAAGCGGGACAACTCCAGCGTTGGCCAGGACATCGGTCAGGCTGCCATCAGAGCCGGCGAAGACGCTGCTGGAGATGCTGCCACAAAAGGTATCCTCAATATTTTCGAGCACTTCCTCAAGCGTGATGATGCCAATATTGGCACCAACGCACCTATCCAAAACATGTTCGGACCGGGACCACGCAAGCTCAACTTCACGGAGCCATGGCGCCCTGTCCCTACTATCCCCATCAACCCTCAAACCGGCAAGCCCATCCGTCGTGACTTCTCTGATGACGTTGATGCTGTGGTGACGACAATCGAGGGTATCGTCGCGGGGTTTACCGAGCGCAAGCGTGATCTGTCGACCACCTTGGCTGGGTTGCAACAGAAGGTTAATGAAGAGCAAGGAATCTTCACTTTGAAGAAAGACTTCCTCAACCATGACCTCGCCAGCGACGCCGCCGGCATTGAGACGACGATTGAGGGAATTATCAGCGGACTCTTTGAGCGGAAACGCGACGTCGAATCGGACCTGGGAAGCCTGGAGCAAGAACTCGAGAGCGAGCTAAGCAAAATCTTCACGAGGAGTACTATCCCGTCAGACTTCAGCGGACTTGCACCAGAGATTAAGAGCGCACTGGGACACCTCGCACGGAGAAAGCGTGACCTATCGTCGAATCTGAGCAGCTTGGCGCAGGAGATTGAGCAGGAGCTCAGGAGGCTCGCTAGGCGTCGCGGTGTAGACCTTGATTAGTTTACTACGCCGATTACGATACATATCTTTTCATGATGTACGAAGCTCGAGATTAATATGGACATTCTTCTTTTGGTTTTCATAACGCAGATTTTTGAGACCAGACGCACCGCAAACTAGTCTCATAGAGTGGCCTGCATGCTACGAAACAGTTAGGTTATCCGCATCAAGGAAACCAAGTCCGCGACAGACCGCTATATCCACCATCAAGGTAAAGCGTGGCTTAGCGGGAACAACATCAGTGAAAAAAAAATCATCTGGAGATTGGATTACTAGGAGCGGTTGTTTGGCTTGAAAAAAATTGCTGGAGGGTGAGTCACGTTGGCGAGCACAATGATTTCTGAGATTTGAGCTCTACTAGTTGCCGTTCTTGGCCTGTGGAGCGTGTCAGACAACACAGCAGCTATGGCACCCCGGAACGCCAAAAATGTATAAGTTTGTTGAGCTGATACTGCGAAGAGGTGAAGTGTGTGGTCGGCGCGTGAAGCTAGGCGCGTGTTGAGTTGGCCTGCGGTTGACGTGGCCTGACGTCATTCCCACGCGACGGAATCATCCGGCCGAACGGAGGCCGAGAAACTGAACTCGTCTTTTGCTTGTCCTTCGCTGTCAGTACTCCACCTTCACGCCATGCTCCGCAAGACAACTGCCGCCAGTCTCCGCCTCCCTATGATAGCCCATAACCTGGGGTGCTACAACGTGTCGCCAAATCATCAGTAAGTAACGTCCTTGTAGACTCGTTGCTTTCAAAATTTCTGATGTCACACTGAATTCCTTGAGTATTTGTAGATTTCTTGTTCCACTACTGGAACGACTTCCGGAATTCGGACCGCGCTTTGGAAAATTTGGGATCGGCACATTGTGTAATGTCTTGCTGTTAAAGAGAGCATGCAAACCTATTTTTACACGGCACTGTACAGCTGAAGGCAATTATACACCCGGACCATCCGGGGACAAGAAATGTCGATCAGGAACAAAATTGGCAGAAAATGGCGGCACTTCGCCCTGAGTAACAACCTTTCCCTTCGGTATCTATCATACTCAGCTGTTACCTATCAACACTCATCCGTCCCATGGCTCCGAGGAATCAGGCCGAGAGTCTTGGCTCTCGAGCCAAGACTCACTGCCAGCAGATACCATTAAGCTCAACAGTCTTCTACGCGTCGTCATGCTTCGCCGTGCTAGTATCCAAACACATATAAAAAGGCTCAAGAATGTCCTGCAAAAGACATCACCCGTCGACTTGACTTTTCTCACTCAGTCCAGCTCAACCACAGATATCTCTACTCACAAACCAATATGATGAAGACCGCCATCGTCGCTTCTGCCCTTGCCCTTGCATCGACCTCGATGGCTCGCAAGGTTACCATCACCAACTCATGCTCTTACACTGTCTGGCCTGGTGTAAGATCGCTTCCTTCGGCTCTACCTACCCCGCGCTCACCTGTTTGTTTCTAGCTGTACACCGGTTCTGGTGACAAGCCCACCCAGGCAACTGGCTGGCAGGCCGACCCTGGCAACACCGTTACCTTCGACGTAAGTCTCGCACCCTTCCTCCATTACTCTGAACCCCATTCTAATATTTACTCCTCAGGTCCCCGACAACTGGACCGCCGGTCGCATCTGGGGTCGCCGCGAGTGCGACTTCAGCACCAACCCCGGCCCCAACTCCTGCGTTGACGGCGGCTGCAACGGCGGTCTCGAGTGCACCGACCCTGGTGTCCCACCCGCCACTCTCGCCGAGTTCACGCTGAACGCGAACAACAACGATTACTACGATGTCTCCCTCGTCGATGGCTTCAACATCCCCATGGCTATCACCAACACCGGCAGCTGCAGCGTCGCCTCCTGCCCCGCTGACCTCAACGCTAACTGTACGTATTCTATCCGTTTCTCAGCGTCACGTCGCATTTTAACCCCTCTTTCGCCATCGGGCCCCGATGACATCAAGGGCCCCAAGGACTCGCAGGGCAACGTCGTCGGCTGCAACTCAGCCTGCAACGCTAACCTCGACGGCAACCCGCAGGATTCAGCCAACTGCTGCTCCGGCTCGCACAACACCGCGGACACGTGCCCTTCGTCCGGCGTCGCGCACTACGACTACTTCAAGTCCAACTGCCCTAACTCGTATGCCTACGCCTACGACGAGTCCTCCGGCACTGCCCTCTGGATGTGCGCGTACAACTCGGCGACCGACTACACTATTACTTTCTGCCCTTCCTCGTAAATTTCGTATATTTAGGTGGTTGCGGAGGTCCCTGGATATCTGATTGACCTATAGCTATCCTGCCACGTAACTTTACGCTCTTAGTTCCTAGATAGGCAGCTAATATACCTGGGCCCAGGTACTCGTACAATGCACACATAGTTTACATACGTAAGCTGGAAACAATCAGATATTTATGCTTTGTTGCTTCTCATCCTAGAGCATGATCGTTACTTTACTTCCCGAGCTTTTCCATTTTCCGCTGAAGACTGGTCACACGTCCGTCAGCGCGCTGTTCAGGCAGCCCTTCTCGCAGCCCTTTTCTTGCGCTGCTTATCACCTTCAACAAACGCGAACGTAATAATGATCGCGTCGAGAATGTGGTATCCACCAGGAGATATATCGAGGAACCCTTCTGTCATGGTTCCGAGGAGCCCGCTACTCCCTCCACTACCTTCTGCAATGGTTGACCCGTCGAAGGCCTCTAGCTGCAACAAAAAGGTCGACTTTCTAGTTAGCGTGTGTAGTTATTTGTAGGTGCGAGAAATTGGGTAGCTCACGCGACAGGAAGACAGATGCGTCGACCAGCGGTAACTCCGCCCATCCGGGGCAGAGAAGGTATAGTCCCTGTCACACAAAGGAAGTTTATAATTCGTATCATCTCAGGGAGAGATAGCGAGCCCGCTCACTTAGAGAACAGGATTCCACTCGACTGCATGAAGTCCTTCGCATCGATTGTTTGTCCGTTGATATGGAACTCGGCCTGACGGAACCACTCCCATTCAATCTGCGCGATCTCGGTTGTTGCGGAGCCGTGCTTCTTGTTCGGCGGAAGCGCCTTGGTGATCGACGTTGTGCCCGTGTCGAAAAAGTGGTGTGGCGTGGAGGTGCGGTAAAGCGCATGTCCGTGCTCGTCGATGAATGCAGCATCACGGATGTCTCCCGATGTCATTTGGAGGTGCATGGTGTACTGCAGAAAGATGAAGGGTGAACGTATTTCCGGGTTAAGTAGCTCGCTGCTCACTTTTGCTCTGCGCTTTTATGTCCACTGGATAACACAATTCTCGCGAGCTTAGCTCGCTCTGTCCTGAAATTAACCGAAAGACAAGTTTCACTGCAAGGCCGAGTATTAATATTGAAATTGTGGACCATGACAGCGTGAATTGAAGCCAGAAGCCCGTGAAGCCCGAACGCACGTCACGAGATTATAAGTGCCTTCACTTCGACTAATCTGAAGTGGGGACTGAAGTAATATTGATTTAGGGAACACTCCAAATTCTAGATAGATCAACGCACCTCACTGGTCGGTTAGTCAGATAGGCAGTCGTGCGCTGGTCTTGTGGAGCATGGGGCATTGCATGATGTCGTATTGTACGCAATAATAATAGACAAGATGAGAGTAGCTATAGTACATCAACGTTACACATGCTCATGTGTGTCGTAACGTAACATGAAAAGATATTGGCGAAGCCGGAGGTAGTCCCGGTGCAGCTCCTTATAGATCTTGTGGGAGAAACGAGGATCTCGAGCGACCGTCAATCATGCCCATGAGAAGAGTTGCTGGTACGGCACAGCTCTTCCTCTTTGGAATCTGTCGACTCGGACAGTTCGGCGGTCTGTGTAATATGGACCATGACGCCCTGCTGTGTTCAAGTCTGTGAGTCAATTGTTGTGTGTGAATGATCTAACGTGTCCATACCTCAACGTCGACTTGACGCGGGGGCTGATTCTCGATGGCGTGTGCGCTCGCTTGCATTTTTCTGAGGCAAAGCCTACTGTTGAGCCTGATTATAGTGTGAGCTTTGTCCATGCGTTCGAAGAGGAGCAAACCATACGAGGCAAGGCACGCGTTTGTGTAAACTAAACTAAAGTTAGGCCATATTATTTTTGAGTATTCGAGATGCACACACTATTTGGAACTGCGAGGTAGCACCCCAGCCAAACAACTAGGGGTGCCGTTAGATTATATCATCCATGGCAGGTAAAAGTACTTGTACATGTTTTGGGAAGAGTCCAGTACTAGTTCTAGTTTAGCGTTTGGCTTATTCCAGAGCTGGAGTCACTTACAACAGTAATGATTGTGATATCGGCTAGTCTGTAACTGTGTAAGCCAACGTCTTCCTTGTCATTGTCATTAAATGACAAAGTATTCACCCAGTCATAACTCCAGTCTCTATCCATTTCTATCAGCAAGCTCATAAAGACATAAGTCTAGAAATCGGACATACCGATTGCCCAATAAACCAAGTTTTCTATGGTGGATGCCGTACTGTTTAGCTCGTAAGGACTTTTGTTGCGGATGACTACACGAAACACGAAAGGAGATACCTTTTCATAGAGGTAGTACGTCTAGACTTCCTCAGGTACACCGATAGCGCTACATTTGATATGACATCCGAAACCGCAGAAGATACAAAGGTATATGTGATCACCCATTTAGTCCATCCTGTATTGCGGATCACCTCCGCGACGATTGCAAGGCCGGTGGCGTAGCTGGACAAGCTGATAATCGCGCATAATGTGGGGAATACCATAGATGCTGAGAGCTTCCAAAGACGGTACACGAAGAAAATCTACGGTGTAGTCAGCCTAACGTGTTCTTCAGCGAGGAATAAGGTCATTAACCTTGACCAAGATTGTCGTAGTTACGCTCAGGACCCACACCAGCTGCTCGGGAGGGAACTGCGTGAGCATTGATACCGAGTGGCAAAGATTTGTGACAATCTGCCACACAGTGCTCAATTGGCATATCCACGAGGCAACCTGGAGCACGCTGAAAGCCTTTCAGCCTCATATCCAAGCAAAGAGAGCGACATACTGACAAAAGGACAGCGACCTAGATCCAGGGCTATAAGCGCGATTGATGGAGGGGAAACTAGGGCTTGCTCACGAGAAGCCTGATCTTGACCATGTCTTTCCGAAATTTCCTGAAATATAGAATACACTGGATAATTGCGCATCCAAGCATGCAGGATGATACAATGACACCAGTAAGGAAGGGACCCATTAGCTCGGGGCCATCACGAGGGCCAACGAAACAGTTGAAGGTATGGTTGTGTGGTCCAGGCTCCTTCATCACGTCGATTGGGGGTGACTAGAAGAGAACGAGCACCTACGTCGCCCGTATTTATGCTTCAATGAAGATGATGCAGGGCCTATGGAATCAGTTTCAACTAACTTAGACAGTAGCTGATGGGACTTCTACATCAACATGAGCAATGAGGCGAGTTGACCAGGTACTCGTTTCATCGATTCATCGATGAGGCGGCGCAGAAGGTCACAGCTTCATATAAAGAGACGTCCTAAATATATATACCTTCCGATAGCCATTGCCGGGATCGCAAGCGCCGGGAGATGGTGATTATCACGACCGAAACATACCCGGCGACACAACAGTGGCAAGATCTTGCATCGCCACGCTTTGTTGTCGAGATCCACCGCCACCGCTCGCTCGATGTTCCGAGATGATCTGCCAAGGTTTGCCATTGAGTAGTTCCAGAACCCAATTCTAAGGACGAAGGGGGAACACACGTAACGCTATGCGAAGGCTGTACTTGAAAACCTTGTATTTATGTTTGGCACGAGACGGAGATGTCGGTAGACAAATTCAAAAGAGTAAGTCATCTGAGTCTGAAAATTCGTCTCCGCCTAGGTTTGACCTTAACCTTAACATGCAGTGACACTGCAGACAAATTGCGATTTTCCTAGTGCAAAAATGGGTTGAAAAAGGCAGATCGATGAAAGCCTTTTCCGGTCAGCTTTTGCTGCAAGAAAAGTCGTTGAAAAGTTTGAATTTTCGCCTCGGGGTTTGAAAATGGGGCGGAGAATAAATACTATTATGTCCAAATTTGGATATGTAGTGCCCAATATGGTAAACTGCACTTTTTACCAGCGCAAAAATGTTCACAATTGTTAGCTAAAAGAATACCTTTTCCTATGAAAAAGGGGTTTCCAAAACTCGGAGGAAAAGGCTTTCATCTCGCCGCCTCTTTCTCCCGGTTTCATCCGGGGTAAAATCGCCGTTTGTCTGCAATGTGATACTGTAGCATAATCTTACAGCGGTTTGCACAAAGATGCGGAAAAGCCTCTGACGCGAAATGGCCCCGCCGAGACAGCCGAGTGAGGACCCCGAGTAGTACCTGCCAAATTCGGCCACGCGAGCACAGCAATTCAGGCAGAACTCCGCATCGTTCGCCCGCCTCATGCCAGGGGTCCTGCACCGGCCCCAGTGTGCACTGCCATCTCTCCACCCAGGATTCCGCATTCACTTGCAAAGCGCTGTAATCTAGCAAAGGTATCGCCAAGCTTGCAGCGCTTCGTGTTCCCCGCAGCGGATCAGTCTTTCCCTGGTGGCTCGATGGGCGTGAAGCACTTTCCTGCCAAGGACGCCCCTCGAGCTCGCTCCAAAGACTGTCTTTTCTCCCAATCCCACTTTATGACGTGGAAAAGGGCTCTGAATGTAGGCCATTGCCCTATTATACATCTGCACTGAATTACTGATCAGCGATGCAGTGTTCAGGTTAATAATAGATCTTTTTATTAAGTTGCCGTCCGAGGCTCGAGTCGCAAAAGTAACTCTACCTCCAAGGCACCAACCAAAGAGAATGCCTGTACGCTGTACTGTCTCGGTACTCAAGTCTCTATTCTTCTCATCGGTTTGTAGAACCGACCAGACCCCGCGTCTCAGTGAGAAGGCCACCAATCCGCAGGGATGTGATGCGCGGAGGCAGGAATCTTGTGAGAAAAGATCATTAATATGCACAGGCTCGAAGACCTGGAGTCATTCCCAACGTGCATATAGCCTCGTCCGACTCGTGTATACCCAACATCCCGTTACTATTTCATCCCCCTCCTCAGACTACCAGTCCGGCCATGGGTTGCAAGGACAGCTGGAAGACCATGCAGGAACTTGGTCCTGCCCTCACAATCGGGCCAATGGAGGCCGGTATCATGTTCAGCGTGTTGCTGTTCGGTATATCCATTGCACAGACATATACTTATTTCAATAAATTTTGGAGGGATCCTCAACTGCTCAAAGCACTGGTGCACTATTTTCCTCCGCGTTACCTTGCGATGCCTTACTAATCCAAAGACTACATTCATAGGTGCTCCTAGTCTTGTGAGTACCAACGCTTCGTGTCCGCTCGTTCACACCAAACCCACTTCATCGCTAGGTGTCTTGAAACGGCTCACATCGTATGCGTGGCCGTGACACAGTGGTATATGACCGTTACCAACTACGCCAACATAGATAAGCTCGGGCATCTTCCATACGCAGCCGTCGGAGCATTCATACTCACGATCATCATCGACATCTTCGTGCATGTATGTCTTCCGCTTCGCACACATTCGTTGCCCTGACACTACAATTAGATCTACTTCCTTTACAGGCTTTACACAGTTTCGTCCTCTATAATTGTTGTCTCCGCATGCGGTACACTGGTGCTCCTCGCTGCTGTCAGCGCATTGGTGATTTCAGGCCAGATGGTTTCCATGCAAAACATCATTTGCTTGCACCGCGATCAGTATGTGCTGATCACGGTTGCATTCTTTGCTGAGGCGCTCGCGGACGTCGCCATCACGGTCAGTCTGGCATGCTACATTCGAATCAAGGTACGGCCTGGATTCGATCGGTGAGTGGTGCTTATATCCAAAATCATGGTTCTCACGATTCCAACACTTGGCTCAGGACCGCAAATATCGTGGACGGCCTCATGATGTGGATCATAGGTAAGTTCTACTATACTGTAAACTGAGACCCATAGGCTCATTGGACACAGAAACGGGTTTGTTCACAAGGTACAGAGCCTTACACTTAACTCGACTACGCGACATTGATCATCATGGTCAATTTGTCTAGCGTGTTAGCTATCGTAGTTGCCATATGTGTTTGTTTTCCTTTGATGTCCATTGTAGCAGTTGATACTCACACCGTTATCCTTCGCAGTTCTTGTCCATGAATAACTGTAAGCAGCCACTCGAGTAGTCGGTCACGCTCAATAACATGCATGCAGTCATATGGATAGCGATGTACATTTTCTTGGGAAATGGTACGTGTATAACCATGCATCATGGCTGCTGACTAACTTCAATGCTATGTTTGAAGTCTATGCAAACGTCTTGTTGGCAACGTACGTGAATTCTGTTTTCCTGAATTAACAGACTGACACATAATATATGAAGCTTGAATTCGAGACTCAAGCTCCGTCGAAAGATCACGGGCATTATGCATCTCAAGGACCCCAGCTCAAGCTCGGAAGATACCAAAAAAGCATGCTTCCTGCACTTCAAGTGCCATTCCACATCAAGCACTACATCCAAGATGTCCGAGTCTCCAGAGGTGCGCTTGCTTAAGCACGGTTTGGACTACGATATAGCCTACGTACTAACGCTGGACATTTCCGGGCCTTATAGGCTCCTGTAGTGGATATCCAAGCCGCAGACGATGACGACGATGACGACTCAGTTCAGATCAATCCAAGTGGCGCGCCGCAATGCCTAGAGCGAGGCCTCGCTGTGGCGTACAGCCCGCGGCCGATACTGACACAGTGTACGCTACGGTCCCCTCGGTATGTTGAGGGCGGATTTGCTATCTCTGAGAGATAATGAGTGGATGAGAAGGCATGGGTGAAGCTGGCTTCGCTGTTAGAGGAAAATGTGTGTATTATATGTAATATGGGTTACAATGTACTATTTTTATTGGCCAGGATGTCCAGAAACTTTCGACTGCGTGCTACGGCTGCGCTCTGCGGAGTTGAGTCATAGTCGGCGGCAGACCACCGAGGTCACGTCCGTCTGTAGTCGCGCATATAGGAAAGGGACGACGCACAAATTTGAATGTGGACATCTCCTCCTTAAGCCTTCTCAGTATGCCATTCACGACGGATCGCCTCATCTTACGTGCACCCACCGAAGATGACCTCGTCAAGATGGTGCAGCTCACGGACGACGGGCAGATCCAGCCCCTGATATGGAAGCACCCCATCGCACCCATCCCAGCGTCGGTCTGGAAGGAGAAGCTCAGGAAAGCACACGAGTCAGACGTGTTCGGATGCATCATCGAGCTCAAGGACACTGGCGAGTTCATGGGCTGCGCGTCGCTCAAGATCCCCGAGCCCAAGAACCGAGACGGGTTATTCTCGATCGTGCTTGCGCTCAAGTTCTGCAATAGCGGCTACGGGTCGGAGGCGATGAAGTTCATCGTAGATCATGCGTTTAGGTGGTATGGTCTGCATCGTGTGTCTTTGGACACGTTTGGGAACAATACAAGGGCGATTGCGGCGTACGAGAAGCTGTAAGTCCTTTTACTTCCGGTAACGATTACACCTTGATGCATCGTTGACGCGCTGGTGCTTTAGGGGCTTTGTCGTCGAGGCTAGGAAGCGAGAGGCGCTGTGGATGGATAACGGATGGGTGGATCACCTCTACATGGGTGTACTGAGAAGGGATTGGGCAGAACGGTACTGGAGTGGTGAGAAATACGGGGAAAGCTCAGACATGTGATTGATGGGGTCAGACAAGTTTGACATACGTGCGTAAATCATCTCAGTAGTCCGTTCGAATGGAGATGGAGATGGAAGTGTTGCGGTAATCACAGTCGATTCAACCACTAGCACATCTGTCAGAGCTTGTCAAAGGTCCAATCATGCACCCGTCGGAGCGATCGAAGTGCGCAGGAAGCGAGGCCCAATAACACAGTGCACAGGAATCAGAAGCTCCAGGGCCACCGTTTTGGCCGGCGAATCTCAGACCATGCCTTTCACGACCGAGCGACTCGTCCTGCGCGCCTACGTCGAAGAAGACCTCGACAAGGTCATCCAGCTCATGGACGATGAGCGCCTCCAGCCCCTCTTACGGATAGATTCCATCGCGCCCATGGGTCCAACGTGGAAAGACAAGATGAGAAAGTGGTTTGACGAGGTGTGCGTGTTCGCGTGCATAATCGAGATGAAGGGCACAGGCGAGTTCATGGGCTACGGCGGCCTGAAGCTTCCAGAGCCGAAGAACAGAGACGGGACGTTTGCGATTACGCTCGCGCCGCAGTTCTGGGGTGGGGGATACGGGGCAGAGACGATGAGGTATATTGTGGACCATGGCTTTCGGTGGTATGGGCTGCACCGGGTGTCGCTGGGCACGTTTGGGTCGAACGAGAGAGCGATTGCGATGTACTCGAAAGTGTACGTCCCTTTAATCAGTGTGACTACTTCATACTCGCTGATCAGAGTCCTAGGGGCTTCGTGGAAGAAGGGCGGGGCCGTGAGGCGATATGGCTGGATAATAAATGGGTGGATGGTGTCTCCATGGGCGTGTTGCGGAGGGAGTGGGCGGAGAAGTACTGGAAGTCTGAGTCGGGAAAGGATGCATGATAATGCCACATACTTCCACGATATCCCATACGTCAAACGTCAGGATTCTTGTGCATCTGAGCTGCTAAGAGGAGGGTGAAAAGAACGGGACAAGTAGGGACAGTGACGAGACGCGTCAAGCTTTCAAGGAGCGTCAAGGGTTGTTGGTTTGATCAAAAGGTGGTGTTTGCGACACGCGTCGTCGCACGCAACTCGTTTTGTCCGACAATGCCCTCTAGCTCATGCCATCACTTACTCGCCTATCTAGCAAATTCCATCCTACCAGCAAAACGCCAAAATCTTTATCCCTTCCCTTCAGCATATAGCAATGCAAGTTTCTCTTCCGCCATGAGTATCTAAACAGCGACCTTTGCGGGCATCGAACCCCGGCGATAACCTCCGAGATGTAGTCAGACGAGTCAAACGCTGGCTGCTTAGCGCTACGCAGCTACCGTTTGACTCATCCGGCACCGTTGTCGGAGCCCATCTCGAGTCACCCAGCGCCTCGCTTGAATGGATGTTTCAGCACTCATAGATTATCAGCTCCCTCGACGACCTCGCCTGAACTCACAGAGAGCTACCACCATCCTTATCTCCTCCATCGTCACCAATTATGACATTCACCACCCAACGCCTCGCCCTGCGCGCACGCACGGACGATGACCTAGACGACCTTCTCGCGCTCTGGAACAACACGCAGGTGCAGCCAATGCTGCACAGCCACCCATTTGCGCCGATGGGCCCCAAAGCCCGCAAAGACATAGGAGAGTGGCTGGACGGCTGCGTCTTCGGCTCTATCGTCACTCTCTGCGCCACCGACTCCGAGTCGGTTTCATCCGCAACCGCACCTGCGACCGCAAACACCATCACAAACGCGAACGCGACCTCGGAAGAAACCCAGAAGCCCAAAGACAAGGGCGGCGCGTTTATGGGCTTCCTGGCTCTCTCGATCCAGGAGCCCAAGAACCGCGACGCGAGCGTGCACATCGCACTCCTCCCGCAGTACTGGGGCGGCGGCTACGCCAAGGAGGCGCTCACGTTCCTCGTCGACCATGCGTTCCGGTGGCTCGGCGTGCATCGCGTGTCGCTGGTCGTGTACGGGTCGAATGTGCGCGCGATCGGGCTGTACGAGCGGCTGTGAGTTTGTCTTCTTCCGCAACACAGGCGTTTGATGATTTTTGAACATCTGCAGAGGCTTCGTGGTGGAAGGGAGAAAGCGGGAGGCGCTGTGGATGGACAACAAGTGGGAGGACTCGGTCTCCATGGGCGTGCTCCGGCGCGAGTGGGCCGCGAAGTACTGGGAAGATCAGAGCTAGGGACTAAATATGCGCGCGCATATACCTTTACCGGTCTGTCCATATCATATCTCTGCACACCGCAAAGCAGTCTTGCTGACAAACTATCAGCTAGTAGATAGTTATCACAGGCACGGATCCTGCATGGGAAGCCTGTCCTTGACCACAAATGTACCCTGACCTCGATAGAGGTCGATCTGCACCTGGCTGTACGCGTCGCACATTCAGATCCTCTCAATAGTCGATGCAGAGCAATCAGATCCCCCCACATCCTGTGTCCTGTGCGCTGTGCCCAGTGTCCTGTTTGCTGTGTCCCGTCCGTTGCCAGCTATCCATCACATCGCAAATCCCACATGCACGCATTTTTCCTCATCACGAGAGCACTGAAGATATCATTATGATCATGGATGCGATGAAGTGTCTTGGCGCCAGTCGACGGACATCATCCGCAAATACCTAGTGCTCCTCAAGTTCCACGCCCATGAGAGTCTCCCGCGTGAACATCACATCAAACTCCAAACTTCAAGTGTCAACACCTTCAAACTGGAGGATCGGATCGAGACTCGATGCATACACACTCCACAAGTCTGCCTCGGCCACATCCCTTGACAGCTGATGAATCTGACAGTCAAGAGGCCACCGGTCACCAGTCGCGCCTTGAAACACATCGCTCGCGGACAGCCGATGGCGTACCTATCCCAAACATATCATACTCAGAAGCAGGTCATGAGACACAAGAGCAACTTCGTGAACCGCGATGTGGACGCTCATATGTGGGATGGCATGATGAACGGGGTTCTCCATGGTCGCCGGGCAGCTATCCCTGGATGTATCGGGTGTGAAAGACGCTGCGAGTAGCCGTGTCAGCCTTTGCAATTGGATAGCGACGCAGCTATAAGCTAGTAGTGGCAGGAGCGGACATCCTGTGCGTTTATATGCGTCTCTAATACTATGAGACCGAGGCCATGTACGAAGTTTGGACGTCTTATCGTGCACAGTGGGAGGGCTATCGCCGAGCGGTGACGCCGCTTTGCATATGATAGTACATTGATGCACAATCTCTGCGTCCAAAGGGCTGGTATACTTGGTAGGCCCTGTCTTGAGACCTCGAGCCATTCGGAGCCTTGTTTCAGCAGACAGAACCTAAGCATCATGATCCCGTGAACGGCACATGCGATACAGCTCCCCGTCCCGGAGCCGGATCCGTACTTCCCTGTCCGTATCAACATCCACTTGCTCAATTAGTAGAGTAGCGCCGCGCGGTGCGCAGCATGGCCCGCTACCGTGTAATGACAGTCTGCATTGCAAGGAAGTGTGATACAACTACATCGTGTACAGTATTGGGTGTGCAGGCCCCTCTTGAATGTAACACTACTAATTAATATGCCGAACCAGTAATAGCAACTCAGATGGGTCAAGACCATGATCTAGTGACAGTTGGACTGATGTGTTAATCAAGGCCTAAGTTTTTGGTTTTTGGGCAGCCATTCTGAGGAGAGGCAAAGTGGCATATGATCAATATACGACCAGTCAACATGTACATGCTTCGCTTATAAACAATTAGGGTTATCATTAGATTGCACATATATTGAGATTGTCTGGCCATTATACAATTGTGGTGTTCGCATGGACACTCGTAAACTGGACGTCTTCAGGGAGAGAAAGAACATATACGTTTAGTCCCTGCGCACATCGTCGAATTCAATCATTGTCAGCAACATTGGTATTGTGTACGACGTGAAGATAAGTCAAGAGATAAGTGGAGCGCAAACACCTCATCGCGTTGGGTGATATCTGAGTTTCAAAAACGGATTGAAATGGTAACGATCGTGCACAGTATTTCAAGCGGAGCACCAAATATCACGTGATTGGCGCAAATGCCAGTTTTTGGCGGGCGACTCGGTAACACGAAGTTAATCTAAGACCCACTACCTCCGGTAGCGGGAATTTGAAGGTACGCCCAAGCTAAGTACATACTGTATAGCAGATCAACGCATGTCCATCCATGATTCAAATGCTGCGCAAACCCTGATGGATATGAATGGCGCTGAAACTGGATGCGACGCGGAGAGTCTGGATCTCATCGCGATAGGCCCAGCCTTCCGAGCTATCTCTTGTACTCGAGTACTTTGTAAAGTAGCTGTGCTGGTAAAATTCTCCCCGTGCGATCATGATGTCCCTCGGTGAAACTTGAAATTTGAAAGGCTCACGTTCAGCCGTCAAAGTCCACGAGATGTCGATGAGGCACTGCAGCGTCTCGGCGAGACTGAAAACGCGGAAACGTGGGTGACGTCATCCTGTGGCCTCTTAATGACATCCACATTCCGATCCGCAATTAATCGTCCCGGTCTCTGTGCTTGCTGTACCACGGAAACTGGAAGGCGAAAGCAAAGCTGACATTCGACATATTAAAGTTCCAAGAGTCGACAGGATAACGAGAGCGATGCGGAGTGCGAGGACGTGCGGTGAAAGCGGAAAGGGAAGAGGACCAGTAAACGATGCTAGCGTGGATTAGGGGTGTGTGATACGTACGGAGGTTACTGTAGTAGTACGGGGTGCCCCGGAAAAGACCAGGGAGGTGTATTCGACACATCATAGGAAGCGCGAGATAGAGTGTCTATCGGAAAATGTTCCGGAATACAAACTGTATGCGCTGGGACTGTAAGCCTTAAACCCGACGGCGAGGGAGAAGACAGGTCACGGCGAAAGCGGACGATCACCGGGGATAAATACGTATACATAGGCTCTTAGCGTGCGTGACGAACGCGGTCATGAAATGCGCGGGCGCGTAGGTGCGGTAGTAGGGATACAGACGATAGTACACAAGGATTGGGTGTAGGTGGGGTTTCATGTTCACGACGGCGCGTTCAGGTTGTCGGCGGGAAGCCGTGCGCCTACGTGCGTGACACCGATCTCGACGTTCGGCACGGGATCCTCGTTTGAAGCATGCTCGTGTTCGTGGTGGTGTAGTTCGGTGTGTGGTTGGGGCATGGCGATGAGGAGGGACACGGCGAGCGTCGAGCTGGGTGCATCCGCGTCGGGCGGAGGCGGGGAGTTGGCGGAAGGCGGTGTGCTGCCGCTGCCGGAGGGGGCCGCGCGTCGTCTACGGAACTGGGAGAAGACGGAGCGTGAACTTGGCGGGGTGGGCGACGATAGAGCCGATGTCGATGTCGATTGAGAGTGGGAGCGAGGGAGATTTGGTTTTGACGATGGTACGAGGGATGCGGCTAGGGGCTGTATAATGTTTGACGTGAGCGGGGGCTTTTCATTCGTGCCTTGTATCGAGGCCGGGGATGCCAAGGCGGATAGATGATGGACTTACCAGGAAGGTCGCCAATTTGGAGGCTGATGAATAACTCTTTCCGTGGCCTGAGTCCGAGCTTTCGTCGTCCTTCAAGTTGGTCGGCTCGCTGACCTGGACTTCATGGAAGCGAGGCTTGGTTCCGAGCACGCGCAAGGTGGGTCTGGCGACGTTGTTGTCGAGTTCTAGATATAAGCCATTCTGGAGGGCCTCTTCGACGCGTCTGTGGAAGCGCCTGCGGAGGATGAAGGAACGGAGGATGATGGCGGAGGAGATGATGAGAAGGATGAATAGAGTGGCGAGGAAGGTGAAGCTGAGGTCCATTATCGCCAGCGTGGTCGAGGAACGTTTAGGATATTACGGACGGTATCAAGGGATAGATGGGGGATTTAATTGAAGAGATAATATTGAGGGGTGTGGGAATGAGATACGGGGTGCAGGGAGGAGAGGGGATACACACAGGTAGAGGGTGGTGCTGGAGCTGCCGCCCGAGCTGCCACTACCGCTGGAGTCAGAGTCGGAGGAGGTTGATGAGGGAGCTGCGGATGTGGACGAGGAGGGGTCGGGCGTGTTCGTGGAAGACATTAGGATGACGAGAGCATGCTAGACCGCAGAGGGAGAAAGGCAGGTCGAGTGTGGGGAGACTGCGCCAATGATAGCACGTTTCGTTGGCAGCGACTTTGGACCAGGGAAATCGAACAAGGATAGCCTAGCATAGCCTTTACATAAGCCACCTTGTCTTGATGTAGGGCGAATCTGATGATGGGACACCCAAGTCTCATATAAAACAACCGTCCACTCAACGCCCATCCTCGTCTGGCCTCTCCATCCCCTCCCCGCATCCACATCCGCTCGAGCTAGCCTCAGGCCTCGACAACAGCAGCCATGTCGGGCAACTCTACAAACGGAACGTCTCCAGCAATTCCGGCTCTACCCCCCTCCCTCGACCTTCCCCCGCATCTCTCCGCACAAAAGTACTTCTTCGTCTGCACCCTCACCGTCCTCGCATGGGACACCCTCGTCCTCACCCCCCGCTCATACAAGCTCGGCCGCCAGCCAGGATGGCCAGCGCTCAAGTGGATGTACTACTTCCTCCAAGTATGGGTTCTTTCAGACTTCATCGTCACCGGTGAGCCACCTTCCCACTCGTCGCCATCTTCGGCGTCTATAACCAGTCGTCCCTCCATCTGCCAGGTGTCATGTTCTTCAGCACGACTGTCGACGTAGATACTGTAAGCATTGCTTCCCCTTATCACCGCTGTCTGTCGGGCTCACCGCGCTCGCCCGTAGACCTGCAAGGCTTTCTGGCCATATGAACCTATCTGCACCGCCATCCTCGTTGGCGTCGCCTCTGCCGTGCACGTCATCCGTATCAGCGCCATCTACGACAAGGATAACCGCGTTCGCTCTCTTCTTGGCGGCCTGTTCGCCGTCCAAGCCATCGTGACCGCTATCTGCTGTGGCTTCTACCGCTGTACGTGGCTGTTCTATTATCGCACTATGTGTTTCAGCTGTGCTAATAAGCGCTTGTTTCGTTCCTTTTTTCGTACTTATCGGGATTACTTGTTCTTTTCTCATGCTCTCGACACATGCCTAAATCGGCTCAATAAACCTTCTTCTCCGGTGTTTTCCTCGACCCGCTATCATCGCTGTGCTCTCGACGTTCCATTCATCCACATCCAAATCGAACGCGCTGCTCCCCGTGCTCCGATACGTGATATGCCTGTGACCTTCGATCCTGTGGTTTTCTTTGGACCAATCTATACTATTGCATCCATCTTTGATATCTTCACACCGGTTTCCGTTCTTTGCACCGTTCTCCTGATGCTGATGCTGATACTCCCAACCACCGTTCCAAAACTGTCGCCTGCATCGCCTTCCTTCCCTATCTTTGCCACCCCGTGATACGGCGAATCCACTCGTACTGGCTTCATCACGACCGCCCTCGATCGCCCCCTATGCACCCCATCCTGTGAAACCCATGTGATATTCACTGCATACAGCCGTCCACCTCGAGCAGGGCCAAGGCTGCATCGCCGGGCCCAGGAACAACGCCTCCTGGGTCGGCATCTACTGGCTCGCCCCGACGCTCCTCTACACGACCACCTTCGTGCTCGCGACGATGCGCTCGCTGCAGACGCTCCAGGCCAAGCCCATGACATACTGGCGCCTCATGCTGCGCGACGGGCTGAACCTCTACGGCGCAATCATGATCGTCAACCTCGCGAACATGTTCTTCTACTTCCTCATGACGCCGACGGACCCGACGGACCCGATCAAGACGATCGTGTCCTCGATGGCGGCCGTGCTCACCGCGACGATGTCGATGCGCATTATCCTCGGCGTGCGCGGCTCGCTCGCGGGCGGCGGGGCGTTTGCGGGCGCGAGCGCGGCGTCGTCGTCTGCGATGGGATCCGGGTCCGGGTCGGGAAGCGGGCGGAGGGGCCAGACGCATACGTTCACGCTGGGCGATATGCGCGATGCGGCGAGTGTGCCGGCGGCGCCGAAGGAGAGCGTTGTCGCGGCGAACTGGGAGGCGGACAAGAACAGCGTCGGCGAGGAGGCCAAGGGCGTGCTGCCCGATGGTGTCGAGGTGCCTGGGCTCACGCACGGGCCTGTGGGGGTGCAGGTGACTGTTGATCGGCAGGTGGAGTATGATGAGGGGTTTAACAAGGGCAGGAAGTAGAGCGCGCGGTGGTGGGCTGTAAAAGGTCGGCTTGCGGTGCTCTGCTTTGTCTGTTTATGTTTCGCCTTTTCTTCGTGCGTTTGTTGGAGCGGGAGGCGGGGAAAAGAAGTGGGGGACGATGTCCGTGTCGCAAACGCGGACACAAAACCTGATTTGCTCGAAGTTATAACCATCCATCCATCCGTTTTCTTGCTTTCTTCACCTCTTCCGACGCGTGCATGTAGGAGTTTAATTCGGCGTGCTGCTGCCTCGGGAAGGACATGCCCTTTCTTGTGCCTCGCCTTCCCTCCCTTGATCTAAATGTGTTGATCTTTGTCCCCTGTACTACCTACCTATCTTAGCTTACCTGACTTGGCTCCCATTCCCCTCCTCTGCTTGCGCCTCTGAATCGCGTCGATGCCTCGGATGCCAGATGCCTCGATGGTTCCTGAAGGTGGAGGGGGCAATCGTATGTTTTGATCTATCTATCTATTTGCTTCTTCCTAGTTTCTGCTGCTTTGTACATATGTGTATAGATGGGTTTTGAAGTAGGCAGAGGTCTGTACGTGTGTGCGTGGTGAGCGACAGAGTGGACGAGCCAGCGACGCGCCCTGGTGGTGGGTCCGAAAACCTTATGCACTTCGCTGCAGTTGCGGGTGTCTTTTCTCTTACCACAGTATGGTTGGTCGTAGTCTACATTATCAACCGGCGGAATGACTGTGATCCGTGATGAGAATGTGGGGATCACTGGAGCATTTGTCGGTGCTGAACACCAAAGAATAGCCAGTGCGATAGAGTGCATAGGTTATACATTCGTCAGACGTGTTCGATTGGCCTTAGACTTTGCGCTTGCTCGCCCCAGTGAAGTGCTGCCCACTCGCTTCTCAACACGCCCATGCTGAGTATATCAACCCACTTGGTGTCCATCCATATCGCCTCGCGCTTGCGTCCTTCTATCACAAACCCCCTGAAACGCGCTCACTTAGTTCAACTTGTGGCGGACAAGGAAAGGTCTTGGGAAAAGCTTACAGACGCTTGTACACCCCGACCGCGCGCTCGTTGACAGCCCACACCGTCAGCGACACGCGGTGCAGCCCGTACCACCTGAACGCGTGGTCGACCGTAAACAGCATCGCCTCCGTCCCGTATCCCCTGCTCCAGAACTCGGGAAGCAGGCATATGCCGACGCTCGCGTCGCGGTTCTTGGGCTCCGGGATATTCAGCACGCTCTGCCCGATGAACTCGCCCGTTGAGGTGAGCGCGATGACCGCGCCGAAGGTGATGTTATCCATGTCTTTCTGTAGCTTTTCTTTGTATGCGGGGCTGAGGGGCTTGAGTGGGGCGAGGAGGATGGACGGCTGGACGAGCGCGTCGTCGTAGAGCCGGAGGAGGTTGTCTAGGTCTGCATCGCCGTTGTAGGCGCGGAGAGTGAGTCTTTCGGTTTGGAAAGGCATAGGTGTCCGTCAAATGTAGGTGAGGGTCACTTCGCCAGCAAGGAAGAGTCTTTTACATGACTTTAAACATGTCTGCTGGCGAGAAGGCCACACGAAGGCGCAGTAAGTGTCGAAAGCAGCGAGAAGCCCGCTAGGAACCAAGCTGCGGTCGAGCATTGCGGAGGAAGACTACGGCTGCGGGTATGACATACGCATTGAAAGAGCTTATAATAGAAGATTTTGAGGGAGAAGGCAAAGATCTCAGGCTGATGTCTATCTGACTAGGTGACGGTGATGAGATGAGTGAAAGACGCGCCGCAGCCGGAACACCCGTGTGAATGTACGCGTCGCGCTTTTCTTCTCACTCCATCACAAAACCCCTGAAGTGCAGTCAACGGGCAACAAAGGTAGGGTATTGAACGATAGAAGAGGAACGCGAGCGATACTGTCGATGGTCTCGTTAAATGTGAGTGTCATATTTCCTTCATAGGTCACTTTCGTCCGCAGCTTGTCCATCCCCGCTCCAGTGTTGAGCTGCCCATTCCTTCTTGAGGACGCCCATACTCAGACTGTCCACCCATTGGTTATCCATCCACAATGCTTCACGTTTCCGACCCTCCATCACAAATCCCCTGATGTCGTTATCTTATTAGAAACAGGAAAAAGGTTGAGATGAACTATGTATGACGCACAAACGCTCGTACACCGCAATAGCCCGTTCGTTGTTTCCAAACACTCCCAACGACACTCGGTGCAGCCCGAACCATCTGAACGCGTGATCGACCATGAACTTCGTCGCCTCGGTCCCGTATCCCTTGCTCCAGAACCTGGGAAGGAGCGCAATATATATGCTGGCGTCGCGATTCTTTGGCTCCCGCACCCGCACAGTGCCGTTGCCCATGAACTCCCCCGTCTCCGTGAGCGTGATGATCGTGCCGAACGTCGCATCGTCCATGTCCTTCTTCAGTAGCTCTTTATAGGCAGGTCCCAATGGGCGAAGCGGTTCACCCGATACAAGAGGCTGGACGAGCGGGTCGTCCCATAGACGGAGGAGGTCATCCACGTCTGCCTCGGTGTATGCGCGGAGGGTGAGTCGGTCGGTTTGGAAGGGCATTTTTGTGGTGATTGACGATCGCTGCAGCTTGGGAGACGTGGTGCAGACACTGATATGTACTATATCTATGATAGACAGTCCGCAGCACCCAGCTGCGGTCATGCCTCATTCTCTTACGACGGTGGGGAAGTCTGGCGTGCTCCGCAGCCCCGTTTCCTGCGAGGTCAGTGCCTGAAAGGGCGCTTTACCAGGACAGAATTTATACTATCAAATGGCGTGTTTTAGTCCTTCATGTCAATCAAGAAGATTCAATATCATATCGTTTTTTCTTGCTGAAGGAACTTTGTAGAAGATTCTATGAACGGTGTAATGACACTAACACTTTTGAACAGAGATATGTAAAGACTCCATGATAACCCGACATAGACCAGGTAATGGTCACAACTGGGAAGATCGAGCTTTACGCTGACAAATATTAATGCATAGCTTGTCTGTTTTACGTCGCTGTGTACATCCCATTGAGATATCCTATCCACACCTCACATTGTGACTAGCCATCGTCTGCTCTAGCTTGCAGGGGGTAGCATTTGCACACGCAGCCATCCTCGTGACGTAAACTAGCGCGTCCGTTTAATCTGAAGAGCGATAGCTGACTGAGTTGAAAGCGCGACACGATCAAATGGCGACGCACAGGGCCAGGAAGCAGTTTACGTAGACTTGTATTTCTGTGAGTGGTTTTGATGTCTGACTCAAGATGACCTGCTTACTAGGGGCGACAAAGCCATATGTTCCAAGCCATATATCTGCACAAGGATCTGCTTAATCGCTTGTTCGAAGAACCACCTGCATCAAACCCCACAGTTTTTTTTCATTGTAATGAACTGTAAGTCATGACATAAACATTATCTTTCGGACTATTACGAGCGAAATGATACACCCACGAAATTCAATACGAGAAAGGCGCAGAGGCTAGAAGTTACGTGCGTCATTTGAGCGGGGCGACATACAAGGAATGATAAACACGCGTCCGCACCTGGTGACAAGACCCGTTTCTTATCCGTGCCAAAGTCGAAACCATGAACATCTAAATACCTCATAGTCGCCAATGGCATAAAGACACAAGCTCACCCACGGCCCATAAAACTGACTTCTTGAGAACTCTGGCCGTTCTTATTACACCGACAGTTGTAGATTAAGCCCAAGAGCAACATGCAGTGAAGGGGAAAAAAAACGCACCTTGTGCTGCTGCTCTTTGAGAATTTTCCACTTATCTGATACACCAAACTTGCCGTGATCGCCACATCTGCAATGGGTGCCATAATAAGGCTTGCATTGATTTCCCACCTCTCGTCCCTTTCGACGGTCGCCACGCTCGTCGACCTAAATGCCTCTGCAGCGACCAATAAACCGAACACGCTTGAGAGCGCGGCGAGGGTGCTGCACAAAGAGGGGAGAAACCATGAGCCGGAGAGGCGGGCGAGGCGGTAAATGTAGAACGCCTGTTTGACAGCACGATGGCGCTCCGTGAGTAGAGATAAACAAGGGTGACGCGGTTACGCACCTGGACAAAGAATGTGATGATGCACCCCAGAACGACAACCACATTTGCAATATGTGGGAACACGATCAAGTCCTGCGGAGTACCATACTCGACGATGGTCATCTGCCAGAGCAGGCTTCCGACGCATACTAAATGTGCAAACAGCAATGACCTGTTCCAATCCATTTGGCCATTAGCATCCGGTGCTAATCCCAAGCTAGATAGCGCGAACTAACGTGATGAAGAAAACCTGTCCGGATCTCAGAATTTCTGATATAGAAAAGTGAGTAAACGAGACATACCAGAATCTTGAACCCACGGCAGTCCTCTGTAAACATTGTAAAGTACGCATAAGCCTGAATTATAGCACAACCAAACAAGATTGAAGTGATGATAGTGCCGGAAATTATGGGGCCAATTAACAATGCAGGGTGGAAGAAGGGGGCACCCTCCATTTCCACTAGCTTGAATGAAAGTCAAAAACGAAGAGTGGTAGTGAGTTGCATGCATCGCAAATGCACATATAAATACACTGAAATGGACTAAGATCCGGAAGGTTGGAGAGATTCACATCGCCGCAAGGAAGCGAAGAGAAGTTCCAGAAGATAAGCACTGCAGAGAAAGGGTGTCAGCCCCAGTGGAAACGTGCTGTGCTCGAATCGGTGGGAATCCGGGCGGATTGGTGAATCGAAGCATATCTCGTGGTGCTTCTTTGATGCACCGATACACACCAATGCGAACCGATGGCTGGAGTGTTCACCGATTTTTTGGTGCCAATTCATGACGCCCATTGGCTCGGATCCGGGCACGTCGGTTCGTATCGGTGCACGTATTCACAAATACGTGAACTCAATTTAAATAACTAATTGCCATAATTGAATACGACTCAATCTGGTTTATTCCATCCATGACGAAAATTCCAAAGCAGCTTGATATTATATATTAAAGGCTACTAAATATAAATACTGGCTATCTTTACAAATAATAAGCAGTGGTATTAGCTGGATACGCCCGATCGCGAGCCTGTTGATGAAATGAATCATGATGCATGATGTGCGATGATAGAGGTAGCGAGTACGTACCATGTAGAGGGCAAGCTTTGTGCAGTCGTTGAGCAAAGATAAGGTAAACTGTATTGCAGGAATCGGCTCACCTAAATGCTCGATTCCTTCCTACTCGTGAACTCGACGATCAGAAGTAATCTCGAGTGATGCAAATTAGAGAGGCTGACCGGTGTAGTGAACGAGGAAGAGTCATGTTGTGGCAACCAGTAGAATGTTGTAGTGCACGTAACCAAGTGCGTACAGGTGGCGTTCGGGGTGGGGAAGAGGGTGGTGGTGGTAAGAGGAAGGGAGAGCGAAGTACGCGTCCTCGCGCAAGGCTGTAACAAGCGGGGATCAAAACTACAGAGTTTCCGGACTGTTGTCAGAGAAGCTTGTTACGACAAGCAACAGCTAATTTGAAAATACGCGTCTACTGGAATGTAGTTTTACGAGGGCATTGCAACTGTCTATTCAGTGGACAAACGCAGAAGGATATCACATATAAATTCACTGTCCGAGCCAATCAGGACTCTTACACGATGATTTCAGGACATATAAAGACTTAGCATTTCACAAAGCAAACACGGCAATACTTCCTTCCACCCGGACCGTTCCTGGGAATATTCCATCCATGAAAAAGACGATCGATGAAGCAACACCGGGAAGTTCGGGCCCGTATCTAGTTGCCTGACTGCCATATGCGCCGAACCCCTTGGTATTATGATCGAGTCAAGGTCACATGCACTGGCTTTCACCAATGTGCCCATCTTTTATTGATGAGAAATCAAAGATGTGCCCTACTATGCTCCAATTCACCAATCCGCCCGGATTCACACCGATTCGAGCACAGCACGTTTCCACTGGGTGTCAGCATTACCATTATCATAAACCCTGATGAATAAGCGAATAATGAGTCGTATTTTACACTCGGGAATCTGGCAGCATTTGACACGATGAATACAGTAAGATACAAGCCAAAATAGTTGTATTAGTACTGTAGCTGAGCGCTGATTCCTGAACTCTGAGATTCGAGTGTATCATTACATCCGCTGATAAAATTGAGGGGCGGCGGCGCATCAGGAAAAACCTTAGCGTGAAACTGGTGTTAACTTTCAAGAATTCGTAGGAATTTGTGAAACATTTTCGTAACTTGACGGAAGTTTTAGGAGCAATCAAGTTGTTAAAAAATCGCAGCCCCCCAAATCAAGTTACGACAAATTTCTGCAATTTCCGTCAAGTTCGGACATATTTTTTTGCGTTTTACGCCAGGTTGGTCGGGGTTTTTGATTGGCCTTTCTATTATTCAGGCTTCATACTCAGTTTGCGATGTAGTAAAAGCACAATAGTTATTCACTGAGTACTCATACAACGCGAGGCTCTAGCTAAACTACAGCTATGAAGCAATAGAACCATGTTGTACCAACGGGCTGTCTGATGCCCTCCAACACGTAGCCAAACCCATATTTAGTGGGACTATGAGATTTCTGCAGGTATGGCTGAAAAGGAATGACTGGTAGTTAGCATGGTGCTTGGCTGCGACGTGGAGAGGAGAATGTGTAGGAGGGGCGGCATGAACCGATCTGCGCACAGAGGGCATTTGCATGCAAGAGGGGTGTGCCCCTGCAGTAGGGGAAGGGGAAATAGACGGGGGAGGATGCGAGAGATGAAATGATGGGTGGAGTACTCACATATAACACGTAGACTGAGGGCGCTTGGACCACAAACTGGGGCGGTGGGTGTCGTGCACAGATGCGAACACCGGGTCTGGTGCAGTGATCGCAATGTAGGCTGCTCGAGTAGCATGGGGTAACACGCTTGAGATAACAGATGCGGCCACGGACTGGGCAAGAGTGTTCATATTACACGGGTGGCATACCTTTGGTGGGCGCCGCAACTCCTTCAAGAGCGGTGAGGCAAGCGAGCAGGGCGTGGTCCTGCGCTCGGAGAAGTGAGGTAGAGTGGAGTGCTCGCGCGAATGGCGGGATGGCAGCTGTAGGCTGTTGGGCGACTGGGATCGCTGACATCCAAGCAGCAGTGTCGGTAGGCGCGTGGCTGGGGCGTGATTCGGCCGAGGGTTGGTCAGAGCCATACCTTTCGCTCACAGTTTGAACTGCCTGGGACTGGGATGGGGTGGGGACTAGTGACAGTGAACGCCGATCCCATTTGGCCGCGAGAATGCTAAGGGGCATATGGTGTCCGCACGGTTGTGCCACTACGTGCGAGATTGAGACTGAGGCAATGTGTGGCATGCATCAAAGGCGACTGACAGTGATAAAGCAGTTTATGGGAGGTCTACAAATGGCTGGGAGTAAACAAAACACGAAGTTGTGCGCAATAATGCTGGGAATTTCACCTTCGAGCAACGAGGTGAATTGGCCCGGAATGGCGTTGAACTACTCAATGGGGCTTGAATTGTAGTAGTGAAGAAGCAGTTGTTTTTTCCTGAAGACTCACCATGTTTAGCGGAGAACTTCAATGCTCTATTGGCAGTGCCTATTAGATGATTCGTGAAGCAGGGATGGTAAGTTGCAGACCCACATGCATAGGTTGAGAATTACATGTACCTATGACCCTATCTCAGCACGCAAAGCAAGTTGCAGATGTTATGTGAAGGTCAAAACACTGGAAGTGGGATCGGAAGCAGCGAGAGAGCAGCTGGATGGGATGGAAGAGATGGAAGAGACGGCGAACATGAAGGTGAAGTGAAACGCGCGCGCTGCACGTAAGTCCGTTGTTGTACCATATTTGCTTGGTTCAATTTCGCTCCCTTCCATTGTTCGCTTCGCTTATGCTGTATCCGCCAAGACATATAAGCAGCCAACCTCCGAGTCGCACGGCGGGTGCAAGGCCATCCAAGAGTTCTCTTACAACGTCGTTGACTCATGCCCACTCGTCACCACCGACACGGGGAATCTGACCTGAGCATTGAAATAATGTGCGAGATCATGCACCTCGCATTTCAGTAACATATGAGTTGAGTCGATTGTAATCCAGTGTCAAGGGGCTAGTACTGTGGGTACAAGCATTCTCCAAGCAGTCGTTTCCTTGGCTCTATGCAAGCTCTATGTAACATGTACCAACTGATCCAACATTATATATGTCTAGGCAAGTATGCGTTATAATCAGTTACCTGTGTTGGGAATACGATACGAGCACGTTCATTACTTACGAGTGTCAGACCATGCGATACACGTACCTGCACCAGCGCTCGCAGCGCTTATTTTATCTCTCCCGTGTTATCTAGCCTGTTTTAGTACATGGCGTACTTATACCCGTTATAACGCTACGCGTTGGCTAGCGACTTTCACCCATATTCCCCTCCGAAATTCCAACAGGCTACATCTTTCAGACACCTATATACTGTATCCAACCTTGTGCACTGCATGTGTGTCTTACCGGGGCTGTGTGCTGTCGTCCCGTGCCGCTGCCAAAGTAAAACAGTTGAGACCTGTAACTAACTCAAGCTTAACTTAGACACAATTACGGTTCAGGGCAGACGAGAACTTATGACCTCAGATCGGGGATCCTGAGCATTGCCACCAGGAGTATCATATGCAGTACTAAGATTCTATACAGATTTGTGTTGGATTGAGATTGCGATAAGCTATGCAATGTGGCTTTCACTCGAAGCTAGAAAAGTCGTAACAAGTTTTGTCAAGTTTAGTAAACTTGCGTAGAGTTTCATTGACTTGTGGGAAAATGTCTCCACTTTTTCGGTACTTGACAAGCCTTGGAAACTTTACACAAGTTGTATCAAATTTCCCGCTGAGGTTTTTCCTGATGGCCTCAATACAGTCTTTCGACAAAGAAGGAAAAGACAGTCCCAAATGACGTCCTACCTAACTAGTTGGTCCTCAGACAAGTAAACATTAGCATTCTCCAGAACCATCGAGTACGGAAGTCTATTAGTTTATCTATTAATCGAAACTCTCTAAACCATCACGTATTGACCCTACCACACCTCATGCACATGCACCAATACTTGAACCCAGCACAATGAAGAACATTCCATTATGGTATCGGGAAGTTCGGGGATTTTTTTAGTTTCCTGACTTCCCAAACGCATTGCATCTCTCCGTATCATTAAGCACATCCTCGGCTTTTAATTGTACATGTTTGCCTTGCTCCAATTTTGTTCTCATCATGTCTCAACCCTATCTCTCACCAAATCACTGTCTATTCAATCCATGGCTCTTCAGCCAACTGACATCCATATTCTATCCCGAACATGCCCCAATTACGTTTGATGTCTTCTTATTACCCCACTGTCCATGTTAGCGACGACAAACTCAACATCCTTGCGGTTGTCGTCTCTCCACTGACCCACCCAAGCCTTGCGTCATGGCTGCACCACCATTCATTTCTGCTCAACGATATTCAATGGTTGTTGCGCCTCCGTGTTTCCTGATGGGTGACTCATTACACCGCCCCACTCTTTCTAGATATATCAATTTTACTATTTTGAGCATGCACTCTGTGCTTGATATTTAAACACCCCCGCGCTGCGTTCCAAAGCCTCACTAGGCTTCCCCCTCTTTCCCTCTCGTAGTACATAGGCTGTAAGAATCTAAGCAGGGCGGCGCGGGTCCGCCCAGTATCCGCCCCCGACACACTTTAACCACGTGCATACAATGGTACTATACCCGACGTATGTATCAGTGCGTTCACTGTGAGATTAGTGACCGTCAGTGAGCCTCGGAGGATCCGATAATACCTTAGTTAAGCATAAACTTTTGCAAGCGAGGTTTAATTCTTCTGTGCTAAAGTATATGTATATGTGGTATACATCGACGCCTGACATCCCCCCTGTCGGAGCGAAGCGATGATATGCCTTGTTCCTGTTTACTCTACTCGCGCCATGGCCACGTGAAGTGATTTTCACCGATGCGCCCGTATTCTTTGATGCGAAATCTGCTCGTCTCTCATCTGTGCTCCAATAAACCGACCCGCCCGGATACGCCCTGTTGGGCCCGGAGCAGGTTTCCACTGGGCCTCATGGCTCCCTACCGCCTGCGATCGCTTCTACGGGATAGCATTTGCACAAGCATTTATCGTCGTGACGGAAACGAGAACGACCGTTTAACCTAAAAAGTATACAGATGAGTTGAAAGCGGGACATGGGACTAATAAGGCGGCACACAAGGCTAGGAAACAATTTGCATAAACTCAACGTCATGTAAGTATGGTGATTATTCGAAAACAGCAGAGCCACTCACTGGACGAGACAAAACCGTACGAGCCAGACCATATATCTACGATGAGGAAGTTCTGTCGCGGTGGATTTTTATGTGTGTTGACATTCAGACTCACTGTTTTGCTCCATAGTAAGGAACTGGAGTTGGGACGCATATATTATTTCTGATCCGAATGTGGCCACGAGCGGATTGTTACTTACGAAAATCAACACCAGAAGGGAGCACAAACTAAGAATCAAGTGTCATCGTCTGAGCCGATATGAGGGATACGCAATGATTTAAGCACACACCTTGTGATAAGACCCGTTTCTTTTTCGTTACAACAACCCATGAGCATCGCTTCTTGCTCACTGATGCCATGAAGAATGACACAAGCTTACCTATGGCCCATGCCACCGACTTCTTCAGGATCCTGAACATCCTTATAATATACAAGTTCTTTCGTGACCAACGTGTTGAGAAAGACAGAACATACCTCGTACCACTCTCTGTAAACTTCCCCTTCATGTAATACACTAAGCTCGCCGTGATCACCACGTCAGCGAGGGGTGCAAGTGCGAGACACGCGCCAATCTCCCACATATCCTGTGCTGCAGTGCTCGCTTCGCTCGTTCCGCTTGACATCCGCAGTGCCTCTACGACGGCGAGCAGGCCGAACGCACACGAGAGCGTGGCGAGGAAGCTGCATATGGAGGGGAGAAACCATGAACCGGACAGGCGGGTGAGGCGGTAAATATAGAACGCCTGCGTGATAGCACACAGCACCTCGTGAGTAAATCCGCTGAGTTTATGTGCATAAGTAGCCCAGATCGTACCTGCACAAGGAGATTTATGATGGACCCCAGGATGCCAATCACCAGTGTGATGCTAGGGAACGCGGTCAAGTCTTCTGGGATGCAGTACCCGACAACACTCATTTGCCAGAGCGTGCTCACGATGCACACGAGATGCGCAAGCAGGAGAGAACTTCTCCAAGTTATTCATCATCAGCCACAATATTCAAAAGGTTTTTACAGTGAGCTGTGTCGACGAACATAATGAAAACGACCTGTCTGCAGTTTCAGCGCTTCCGACACGACATAAAAGTAAAGTGAAGAATGCGCACCAAGCCCTTGAATCCCAGGCAGTCCTCGACAAACATTGTAAAGTACCCATAAGACTGGATGATGGCGCAACCGAACAGGACAGAAGTGATAACGGTCTCCGAAACGATGGGCCCAATGATAAGTGCAGGCTGGAAGAGGAGCTCAACTTCCATCTCGGCTCGTGATGAGGGTCAAAGACGAAGAGGGAGTTACTTTGTTCTCGAGGATTTGCACTGCGAACACGCATATAAACACTGGGGCACCGGGGGTTTGAGGCCTGAGCCCGAGGGCTGTTAGTGGCCGCTGCAAAGGGCAGTGCTGCCCACCGTTGTCATTTTGATAGGGAAAAACTTGAGTCCGAGCGGTTTAGCACCTACCTTGCATCTAGATCACCCTTATTGCAACTCCCAAATATCAAGTGTCAGCCTCGAGCTGCGCTCTAGTACCTGTTAAGAGCCACCACTGGAGCTGAGGCCTGAGGTGTGATGGTGGCAATATGGTGGCATACCCGGAACAAGCCGCTATTATAACGTTCAACGTCAACATCCGCCGTGGGAATGTATTTCTAAGTGTTCCCTACACACGTCTGCTGCACACAGCAGTTACACACGAAGCAGGCCCAAAACCTACTCACAAAGTGTTCGGGCCAGTCGCGTTCATGCCAGCACCATCAATGGCGATACCTCGCCAGTGGACAGCAATAATGTTCCTTTCCATTCCGGAAGGGCTCTGTGCGAGGAGGCAGTAAGCCCTAAGGGCCTTGGGTTTCACTCGACCACATAGCCTAGCAACGCGTAAACATTAATGCAGAGTGTCGCCGGGCATGGTTACAGGAAGACTACATCAATCATATCGTCAGTGAGCCACAATGTCTGTCCACTGTGGAAGTTGAACGGCAGATGAATGAAATCTGTAGGTACTCTTCTCCACTTCTTTCCATCACTCTCCGTTATCTGTCGGTGGATTGTGTCGGTAACAGACCCTTGAAGCAGATACCCTATCATGGGCGAGAATATTGCAGGCATCATCTCTGCTGATGACACACGAAATTTTGCAGGATTGTAGCTTGTAACGCCAAGAGCGTAGACGGTTTGATGTGTATACGGAGAAGATTCTTCGCCAGAAAGTAAGGTGTCGTCTAACAGCTGTATGACTAAGTCGTTGATTCCTTTGCGCCAGATAGGTCTCTGAATGGAAAACCGGTATATACCCCTTCTTCGCTCATTTGATGAGTTCGCTGAGTCTTTTAGCGTTAGAGGAAGAATGATGATCGGGACGCGCAAACCCCTGCTTGTAAGTGCCATATCTAGTTTGGTAGAATTCTCCGGATGTCTCCGCGGATAACCAAGGTAGCTTCTCGGAGATGCGGGAATACACTGCGTTGCATGATGTGCAGCTGGGATGCCGCTCCAATTCAGGACGGATGGATCACCTCCTGCCATCATGATACCCTCAACGAGGCGACAGAACGCTCGCTCGGCTCCTTCCCCATACGCAGTGGAAATCGAAACGTCGAACACACCCATGAGCGAATATGCCCAGTCTTCTCCCCTGGTGACGTCGCGACTTGCCGTCCACGTCATACGCTCGTCGATGTTCGAGGGAGAGGGAATGAAGTTACACAGGTCAGCGATGGTGATATTCGTAGCTCTGGATGCGACGTGCAAGATCTCAGAAGATTCCTGCTTGTCATTCTCCGGGAGAGATTTGGAAAGTCGATTCCAGTCTCTGTCAAAAAAAGTGAATCTTCTTCGGCGCTAAGAGTTCCTGCAAAGTCCAGCCCCGACGAAACCACTCATCCTTCTCCATGTCTATGAAGGAGATCGTTTGTGCAAGATGGACAATGCATAGGGCCGAGTTCCGGTACCAGCGGAACATCGAACGAATAGCCTCGTCTAGCTCGGCGCTACTAGTCTTATCAATGCAGCACGTGTCGATCCAGAAGAACGAAATGTTATTATGAGAGGCTTCTTGACAAAATCTGATCACTTTCTCCCAGCCGGCCGATTGAAAACGTTCCTTGCTCTCAAAGTCTTGAAACGCAAGTTCATCGCTCGACCACCTGTGAGAGAGGATGGCATATCTGACGGTCTCTCTGACCATCTCGCGTATGGACTGTCGGCGGCTTGTGATATTGGTATTCCCGCACTGCCATTGGTCCATCTTGAGTTTGGCGACGTGTGGCTGAAAGTGTTCTTTCAGGGTCCACCGTTCGACCATCTCCAATTCTCCCTCGTTATTGCGATAGATAAAGCGTTTAGGTACGTCATTGCTGACATATCTGTTGAACTCTGCGGTGATATCTCCCGAACCAGAGTGTGTCATGACTCTAACTACATGATCTCAGTGCTCACTGTAGACCAGGATGTAATGAACTTACGTTTAGTAGTACAGGTAACTGTGTCTTTAATCCTGCTTGGCTGAAAATAAGACGCACTGCTAGGCTAAGTGGCACGGATATCTGCACGGCCGATAAGGGCACAGTCACCTCTACACAGCACATCACGGAGGCACTCCAAAAGAGTTCGAGTCACACTGACGTTACAGTTATCGTGCCTTATGGAATAAAAATGTATCAAATGTACTAGGCGCATTCACGGTCCCATCAGGGAACATACGCAGATTCACTCAGGCAAATTTGAGCTCCTGTATCATCCTCCAGGCCTGTATCATATATCAAGTTTTGGTTTTGGAAGATGTCTGAGTCTCCGCGCGGGTAACCTAGTGGCCGCTAGTGGCATCAATCTCAGGCACACTGGGACTTACCACGCTGTGTCCTAAATTCATTTGTGATCTTCCCATTGGTGGCGTGGGTTTCGCGGCGATTTTGCTTATGACGCCATAATCGGAGCACCACTTACTGACGTTTGCGTTCGGCCTTGCCGACGCAAAATTAAAAATCGAAAAATACCGACTATGGCAGTAAGCCATAAAAATCAGTTTCTAACAATGATAAAGCACAAGAAACCTCAACTTCTCTACCGTAGGTCCCCTTGCACATCATTTGGATGTGTATCGCAGGTTTCACAAATGCCCGCCCTACACTATGGTGTCCAAGACCGAAACGACGCGTCGAGAAGTGTGCAGGCGCAGGTCATTGCCGGACCTGCAAATAGGCTTGGCGTGCGCACGTTTGGTGCACCTGTGGAGCATCTATTTTTATTTTTATTTTTCGCGTTGGCAAGGCCGAACGCAAACGTCAGTAAGTATATCACTGGCTTTTTTCACTGGCTCACTGTCAGACCTGGACTGTTTGGGCGTCTTATTGTCATTTACCACGATACGAAGGTGACAAAAATACGAAAAACATCATGAACTCCCGTTTTTTGACCTTTTGATTCCCAGGCATGGACGCCTTGATTAATCCTATCTACGAAGAATTTGTCTACAATATCCCCACGCGCCTCATCCAAATCACCGACCTCGAGAATCTCAAACTCGTCGATAAATTCGCAATCAAAGCGCAATGCCAAGATCGAGTCTATGAGAGCTTTGCGAAACACAGTGATGCGCATAGCAGCCATGCCGGAGGCACCGATCGTATCCGCAAACTTATCAAAGATACCATAAAATATGCCATGTTTTCGCATAGATTGGGCCCAGATGAACCAACATACGCCGATTTTGTGGGAAGAGTGCCAGGGAAAGTGAAGAGGGCTGGATACGCCAAATTACAAAGCTTTTGCAAGAAGGCCAGAGAGATTGGATGTGACTTTGCTTGGTCAGACACATGCTGTATCCAAGCAGCGGACAAGGCAGAGCTGGAGGAGGAGACCCAGTCCATATTCCGTTGGCATACCAACTCGCATGTTTGCATCGCTTACCTGAGCGACTCCAACGGAACGCAAAACATGTTTGACGATACGTGGTTCAAGCGTAGCTGGACGCTCCAGGATCTTCTTGGGCCAGATCGCCTCAAGCTCTATGGGTCCAACTGGGGCGAGCTTTTCCCGGATGTAGAGAACGACAAAGCGCCGGGAAGCCATTCTCTGAAGCGCTTATCTGAAATAACACATATTCCAGCTGAAGACATCGCACACTTCAAACCCGGAACAGATAGGATCAGCGAGAAGATGATGTGGGCTGCGAGACGACGCACTACCCGCGCTGAGGATGTCGCCTATAGTCTCATAGGTATCTTCGATGTTAGTATCCCAATCATATACGGAGAAGGAGAGCGCGCGTTTTTCCGCCTGATGGAGGCCATCATTCAACGGTGTAATCACTGGGACATCTTCGCATGGGCAGGCGCCCCGTCACAGTACAATGCAGCTCTTCCTGCATCCCCAGCTTGCTATCAACAGCGGTGCACCTCGGATACAGACTTGACGGCACTCGATCCTGCCTATCCCCAAGATCGTCATTATAACGTAGGTGATCCATCGTTTTCACTCACCAACCGAGGGCTCCACATCAGACTCCTCTTCGTAAGGATGATTGTGAATCCCATGGAGCAGCCCTCGGATAGATCGCGCTCCATAGTCTTGCATCATCTGGACGGAGACGTAGAGGACGTAGAGGCGGAATTCGGAGAGCTCCCGGAATGGGTAAACGGTACGATACCGGAGCTGGCTCTACGAGTGTTGGACTACCTGACGGAGGAAGGTAGTCGGAGTGGGTTCATTGACGATTTCAGAACCTTCACGGCTTTTCTTCTGAAGCGTGAATCATCCCTTCATCGATGGGAGAAAGTGGCCACTATGAACCTGATCACCATCAGCCCCATTACTTCTGTGCACGGGAAGCTTCGTGAGGTATGGCTTTGATCTGAATATACTTCGTTGCATACAGAATGAGTACGCGTACGACGACAATATTTGGAGTCCAATAAAGTGATAGTTAACTTTGAGACAATCGACCTTGCTTGTCAACCGACATGGCGCATAAATGAACAACTTTGAATCGTAAAGTCATGGTCCTATGAAGGACGGGGCAAGAACTACACAGGCGACCCTTTACTTTGGCTGTCTTCATCTTCCTTCAACTCCACCGAAATAAAGCTCGGGACACGAGACGTTCGTCCACCGCGGTGACTGTAGAATTCGCAGACAGCATCGAGAACTTCTACCCACGCTGACTAGCCAATCAATTAACTACATGCGGGTCCAAGTATGTTGATGCAGTACCGCAGAGGCTAAATTCTGATGGGCGGGTGGACGAGAGGGGCGTCCCAGGACACGGATGTCGGAGTGGCGGAGTGCACCGTCAACCTTGCGTTGGTGCATCATCTGCAGGCCAAACCCGCCAGTCAACGAAATGCGTGGTACTGCGTATAGTATAAACAAGAACAGAAAAAGCGTGTTCGTCAGAGACTCTCATCATTCATGTCGCCCGCATTCGGGCCCCAGTGCAAAGCAGCCCATTCCTTCCTTAGCACGCCCATGCTAAGCGAATCAACCCACCCGTTGTCCATCCACACAGCCTCACGTTTCCGTCCTTCCATAACGAACCCTCTGTGAGAAGGATGTGTTAGAAAATAAAGAAGGCGTAGTGGTGGGCAAAAAGAAACTCACATTCTTTCATACACTGCAATAGCCCGCGGATTGTTGCCAAACACGTTCAACGACGCACGATGCAGCCCATACCACCGAAACGCGTGGTCGATAATGAACTTCGTAGCCTCGGTGCCGTACCCCTTATTCCAGAACTTGGGGAGGAGAACGATGCTAAACTCCGCGTCGCGGTTCTTGCCCTCCGCAACGTGAAGGAGGCCCTGGCCCATGAACTCGCCCGTCTCGGTGAGCGTGATAACGGCCGCGAACGTGGGGACGTCCATGAGCTTCTTCAGCGTCTCTTTGTACGTCAGGCCGAGCGGCCTTATGGGAGCCACGTGGATGAGAGGCCCGACGAGCGGGTCGTCGTACAGGCGGAGGAGATCATCGAGGTCTGCGTCGCCGGTGTAGGCGCGCAGGGTGAGTCGGTCCGTCTGGAAGGGCATTTTTGGGTGCCTGAGATAAACGAGGGACAACGAACCTCTTTTTATCTGTGTTTTCCTATGAGATGGAAGACTTGACAGGCGCCGGGGCACGTAGGCTCCACGTCAGCCTGTGGAAGAGCTGACAATGAAGACAATCCGGAAGGAGAGCATGTTACTTTGATACAATGCGTCGATGTGTAGATATGACAACTGCAGAAGCACCGAGTCTGGGCCACCAAAGAAGAGCTAGAGCCACCGAGCCAAGATGAGCGTCTCAACGAGCGAGGAAGGAAGATAAAAGAGTCAGTCACAGGCCCTTGGGCGCTGTGGGGGAGACCAGAGTCGCAATCAGGTCGAGCTGGATACGATGAGAGGAGAGTTTGTGCACACGCTCGGCCAATCCCGCAGTTTCCCCACACGCTTACCCCGCGCGGCTATCCCGGCAATCACATGTCGCCGGACCTCTATCGCATCCAGCGGGCGCCTCGGGATGCTGCTTACCAGAGGAGCCGGGTACACTCGAGAGCCGTTTTAGCTTGTAACAACGTTACCTGTGCTCTCATATCCACCACCTTTACTTCCTTGAACCAACTACGACGTGTCGAAGATGATCACCACGGCCTTGACTGAGCTGTGCGGGATTCGAGTGTGAGTGGGCGTTACAGTTCCAATGTTAGATGTTCAGACGTGCCAGTGAGCTGACTTTCTCTGCGTTTGTAGCCCTATCGTTCAGGGTGGCATGCAATGGTGAGTCTCCAATGAACAACCAAGAAGGACTTACATGCTCATGAGGAGAACTAAATAGGGTCGGCAAGCCGTCGCTCGCAGCTGCCGTCTCCGACGCCGGAGGACTTGGTGCGTTCCGCTCACCTACCAGACCAATGTCCGGAGCTTACAGTACCTGGCATCTACAACACAGGTATCCTCACGGCTCTCACCCAGCCCAGCCCCGAAGCCCTCCGCGAGGCGATCCGGGAGACACGCAAGCTGACGGACAAGCCCTTTGGCGTGAACATCACCCTCCTACCATCCATCAACCCGCCGGACTACGAGGGGTACGCGAAAGCTGCAGTGTCGGAGGGAATCAGGATCTTTGAGACTGCCGGTAACAACCGTGCGTGCTTATCCCCCTCATTTCTACAAGCGCCTAACTCACAGACGCCATCCTCGAAGCCGGACCGCTCATCAAGTTCTTCAAGTCCAAGGGGTGCATCGTCATTCACAAGTGCACGACCATTAGACACGCCAAGGTTAGCATCCGCATCGCTGCCCATCCCCCGTGTACTCTGGTTAACTCGTGCTGTGTAGTCCGCCGAGCGCATGGGCGTTGACGTTCTCAGCATCGACGGATTCGAGTGCGCCGGTCACCCCGGAGAGGAGGATATCGGTGGCGTCGTACTGGTACGCTAACTAGATCCTTTCGTCGCGCATCTGGTTACTTACCATGCACCAAAATAGCTCGCCAGAGCCGCTCAGGAGCTCAAGATACCCTATATCGCCTCGGGAGGGTTCGCAGACGCACGGGGTCTTGTCGCTGCCCTTGCTTTGGGCGCTGCGGTGAGTCTAGCCAGTTCACCTGCAGTCATTTTACTCATATGTCTCCCAGGGGGTTAACATGGGTAACTCTATCTCAAACCAACACCATTGAGCCTAACTAACCGCCCAACCTCGCACCAGGCACGCGTTTCATGTGCACAGTCGAAAGCCCCATCCACCAAACCATCAAAGAAAAAATCGTCGCCTCCTCCGAGCAAGACACGGTCCACATCTTCCGCTCGCTGCGCAACACCGCGCGCGTCTTCCGGAACAAAATCGCGAGCGAGGTCGTCGCGCTCGAGCGCCGGCCCGGCGGCGCCAAGTTCGAGGACCTCCGCGAGCTCGTGTCCGGCGTGCGCGGGCGCGTCGTGTACGAGATCGGCGACCCCGACTACGGTATCTGGACGGCGGGCATCGCGATGGGTCTTATCGAGGATATTCCGACGTGTGAGGAGCTGCTTAAGCGGATTGAGAGCGAGGCAGAGGCCGAGATTGAGAGGATGGGGAGGATGGTTAGGGTGAAGAGCAAGCTGTAGGTGACTTGAGGTTGCAGAGGGGAGTTTTAGGACTCTGATACCTTGGGATGTCTTAATGTTGTAATTTATCCTCAACACGCATTCAAAGAAGAACGGGATAGGGGTCGAAGTGAAGTGGTGAATTATGGATTGGTAGTAAATGACATTCGTACATGAAACAACATTGTGAATCCTTCCAGCCAGTTTCTTACACCTCCTATCGTACAGCTGCAGCTCAGCAGACAACAAAGCAAGCAATAACCTCGCAATCCTCGAGCTCAGACCTCCATCTCAGTCACCCGTTCATCAGACCTTCAAGCAGAAACAGTCTCAGCAGCGGCACCGAGCTCCTCCCTAGATTCGGTGGTGGGCGTATGATCGGTGGCCGGCTCAGCCTTGGCCTCTTCGGCCGCGAGCGTGTCGAGCCACTTGGTGACGAACTTGGCGTGCGCTGCGAAGTTCATCGTCGCGTCGAGGGCGTCGCTGGAACATAGGGTACATTAGCATGAGCAGGGCATGATACAAAGGTGCGTGGACTCTCGAGGGGAAGGGAGGGGGAAGAAGAGGGGGAGAGACGCACCGCACGTTGCCCTGGCCGTCGATGACGAACGTGGTGCGCGCGTCCGTGAGACCGAAGATGCCGCGGCCGATATGGTACGCCTTGTGCGCCTCGCGCTTTTCGTCGCTCAACACGGGGTACTATGCACAGAGGAAAGGATGCGGTAAGCGTAAACGGGGGACACTCCTAAACCCAATCGGAGGGATCAGAGAAGGCGACCAGACGTACGGTGAGCTTCTGCTTCTCGACGAACTCCTTTTGCTTCTTGACGCTATCCGGGCTGACGCCGACGACCTGGACGTTTGATCGCTTGTATATTTCTTTCTCTGCAGGAAAGAAACGACGATGCAGAAATCAGCACTCTTCTCGACTGCAGACTCGGAGATGGAGGGGTATCTTACCGGCCAACGCGTCCCTAAACTGACATGCCTCGCGCGTGCATCCATATGAGCCTAAGTACGCGGGGGTCAAAACAAGCCTGTGGCCATGCAAAGAGGTGATATGGGCCAACAGCGGCGTGCTTACCAGACTCGGGGTAGAAGAACAGCGCGATGGGCTTCCCCTGACCAGGCTTGAACTCATACGTATTCCCATCCGAGTCAGGGATGGCGAACGAGGGTGCAGCCTTGCCGACGAGCGGATGGGGTGCCATATCTTCACAAACTTGGCAGGCTAGTCGTGAATAGGTTTGATACAAAGACGGAAAGTGGGAGATGCGTTGGAGAGTGAGAGCGTTGTGGTTGTGGTTGTTACGATGGGGGTCTGGACGAGAACTTGAGAAGCCCCTGACCACTCTAGTACTTATGTCATTGCCATGCCATGTGGGTATTTTGGGGATGTCATGCGTCACGGGAGACACGTCTTCGGCGTGTACGTTTGTCTCCGCCATTCTCACGAAGTCCCCACCCGCCATTAGGCGGCATTCAAAGCACACAGAGTAGTGGCCTTCGCAGAACATTCTAGTAGGCCATGAGGGGCTTCAACATACTCGTGCCAGGGGGTGATAGCAGGAGTCCATCAGACGTTTCTAGGCTTAGTAAATTCTAGCCTCTCCACCGGCACGGCTGCTGCTTACTCCTGAGAGGTTCTTGTGGATCAAGAGTGCACGTTTACAATCACGAGTAGCTCAAGGCGTCACCTCGAAGGCTTCCGCGCACCATGATCTGGAACAATGCGAAGCCAGAGGAATACCCCGGGGTTAGAACTTACGCCCAGAAGATGAAAGCGGCGATCATGGCTGCACATGACGCTATTCTAGCCGCGAGAGTGAAACAGACTGTCCAAGCAAATAAGAAGCGCCGTGCCTGCCCCTCTTGTGATCGGAGACCGCGTGTACATCTCCACGAAGAACTTAAATTTACCAAAGGGTCTAGCCCGTAAGCTGGTCCCGAAGTTTGTCGGGCCATATAGAATCATCGAAGATTATAAAAATAACTACATACCGCGTGGAATTACCTGATCGGATGAAAC